CCAATGCCAAGCATATAATAGTCGTGAATTGTCCAACACGTACCAGAACAGAATCTCATGACTTTGCACAATTGATCGTATGTGTTGGTATGTACCATTATTACATTACAAAGTGGTGTCTAAAGCTAAGTAACCAGCATGAAACTCCGTCACTGTTGTATTTTTATCATTCAGGGCCTAAAACTACAACAAGCGACCGATTTCCCGTGAATACAATAAAGTGGGGCATGTTTTGCGGTGGTACACAATGTTTAAAGCATGTCAACTGGACATCGATGACAGCCCGGATCACATGCAGACAGCGTGGCTGACAACCCAGGTCTAAGCAAATAAACAGACGTTTAGAGATATTGTCAAAGATCGCACGACAAAAAAAAAACATCTAAATATTAATCAAGTGAAGAGGGCTTTCCTCAATAAAAGTAGCTAATGTTTTGTAAGAAAGGAATGATTAGAGTGAACTATATATAATTCCTGTGTATTCAAGTAAATGCAAGAAAACAACAAAAAACAATAATCCACTCAAGCTTACAAGTTTTACTCGACTTGTTATCTTTAGGTGTAAAAAATTATAGACTAAGCCTGAAGGATTAAACACCTTGTAAGAGATAAAATAAAATAAGGTGGTACAATTTTCGATTCTTACATTAGCCGCGTTTTCATCTAGCTACGCAATAACACTCAATCGCACAATAAATATAAAAAGATGTAGGCCTACGTGCTTTTTAAAAAAGTATACCCTTTGTAAATTGTATTTAATCTAATTGTTTGCATTAAATGTTTTACTGCCCAGAATGTTTTTTAATTGCAACTAGAGTTAATCAAATTGCTCGGTGACGTTTTAGCCTTAAGGTGGTGTTCATTATAAAATAGACAAAATGCCAGAGTTCAAAATATGGAACATCAGTTAAATTAACGTGGTTACGGAGAAAAACAAAGCCTACACATACGGTGCAGTTATTTTTACATATTCCAATAGTACTGAGCGCGCTGATTTTGAAGTTTAAAAGCCTACACACAACTTATTCCTTGGAATTAACAGTATCAACACACTTGAGATCTAATTAGCAATGATCAATGGAGCCCCCGATCTACAGTAGTGTCACCGTTATGAGTGTGTCAATGTCGCGGCAAACGTCTCATTAAAAGAAAAATCCTCCCTATCTCGTTAAAATAATGCGAGGAAGAACTAAGTAACACTTGAAACGAATTAACCTTTCACCTTGGTTATTCCTATTGTCTTAATGCCATTCCCCTCCCCTCTCCTATGTGAACAAGTAACAAAAAGTTTTCGAAAATAATAATCTTGAAACAAACGAACAGCTTAATTTGTTCCTATTATGTTTTAAAAATTGTCAGCTTAGTCATTTTTTAAATGTGTACATGATGACACATTTCAGCCAACAAAATCTTACTAGCTATTGATTTTATGTGCAGCATATGTATATTTTGCAAAACAACAGTTGGTGACATACTTTTAAAAAAGACTATGCTATGTTTAAAGAATGATTTGAATTAAATTACAATAAGCACAATACAAGATGTAATAAAATATTTAAAATACAGGCAAGTTTAAATACTCATGTTCAACAACACTTGGTAATGTCAATCACCAATGGGTAAAATGTACTTTCACAGGGATGAGCCGACTGATCACAACTCACAGGCTATGTGGTGAGCAGGTTAGGCCTACAGCCTAACAACATGGCACATTTTTTAAAATTGTTATGACTCAATTCCACTAAACTTTAGAAGAAGGGGAATCCAAATATTTGATAAATTAGTCACCCACATGTTTACATTTCATGTTTATTGAGTAATAAATGTTGAATGGTTATCAAACAGTTTTAATTATATAGAAAACAAGCATCAGTTAACTAAATATTGTACAAGTTTGTTAATATTCTTGTGTTGTGGTTTATGTAGGTCTATATTTACTTATGTCAAGATAATCATGAATGCTTTTGATACATTTATTACAAAAGTTTTTAGGGATAACTTTTTTACTCACCAATCCACCAAATTAAGGATACCAATTTCTTGGAACACCCATGCAATATAAAACAAATCTACATAACACACCCTTTGCACACAGAAATACAAAGTTTGCCTAAAGTTCTTATTTAATAACTTATAGGACTCATGAAGTATCTTTAATAATGATGCAAGCTTTAAGTTTGTAAGAAATATAACTTTCAGCAATAACATGCGGAGATCTTTTTCCAGTGATAAAACATTTACAGACCCCCCCCCCCCCCCCATAGTCATAGTTATCTGTGTATGATCTTTTTTGTTCTTTGGTTGAGTTGGACAACAGCTATAGTTAAAGACTTAAAACCAAAATCAAGCATAATACAATCAACTAAAATCAATGAAAAGGAAATGTTTAGAGCTATTTAATATGAGATACCCTTGCTATAATTATTAAAGCTTTTGGTTATTTGACTAGCACACAATTTTTAACTATGCTTTTTATACACTTACTGTAAAAAACAAATATACAAATGTCTAATTTACATAAAAAGCTACCATAAATTCAATTGTGACCTTCCTGACTGAGGGATGACGTTTAGATTATACCAATAATTAAAATATCAAGCCTTTTCTTCTAACCAATCAGAGATTTTTAGAAAAAGACCTATTGCATGTGTGTGCTAATATAGGTGTTGTCCATTCCATAGAAAAAATTAGAATAGGATATACTTTGGAGAAAAACCTACAATAATTATGCGTTAACACTAATATTTATTAGAAAAATAAGTATAACAGAATGCTGGAATAAAAAGTATAGCTCATGTTTGTTAGAGGACAACCTACAAGATTTAATCCAAGCAAACAATTTTTATAGCTAACCCTAATGCCTAACCCCAAACCTTAAAAAAAGTTTTTAAGTCTTTATTTACTAAGTACAACAGAATTAAAAATGCAGAGAAAAAAGAATAGAAGCACAACCACTCTGAACACCAGCACAAAAAAAAGATGATAAAAAAACATGCATGCAGGAGCATACAGTTTTATAATAATTTGATTAGACTGTTAAAAATAGCTTACTATAAATAGAGTTCGAAGGTTATTTGTAGGTAACTACAATTTTAAAACATAAAAAGTAAATCACTATAAGCTCATTTGATTTACCTTGTAAGATTGGTTAAGTTTTATTTAATTAATAAAATGCATACTATTACAAATGATGTCAAAACATTACACCCATTATTACTACATTCAAAAATTTAAATTTGCATCTGAACTATTTTGGTATTATGAACCAAATACTTTTATCTAATACTGCAATTGCAGCAGTAAAACAAATGAATTGTTAAAATGAATAAAGAATAATTGAAATGAGAACATCTGGTGGCTCAATGCAGGCAAGTAACAAGGTTTCCTTTTTTTCTTTTAGCTTTTATCAGTAAGGGTGGTTGGGGGCTAGATGCTGTGATTCAGGGTACTCAGAATGTACTGCAATTCCAAAAACTGCTCTACTAGCACCACTGGTTATTAAAGTAGAATTTATTTGTAAATAGTTGTTTTTAATAAAATAAGTCAAAGATAAATTTCAATTCTTAAAAATAAAACTGTTTTTAAAAACTACATTTACATGTACACAAAATTCACAAGTATAAATAATACATGTTTGCACTGACTTGTCACTTTTACTGGGTCAAAACTAGATATTTTAGGCCTATATAATATAATATATACTAGCTAGATCTAGTTTAGATAAAGGTATTAAAGGCCCAACTTGATCTAACTAGAAAAGTAATTAAAATAAATCAAAAATACAAAACTAGTATACTAATTTGTTTATATCTAATTAAAGTTAGTGGACAAGACTCTTCAGTCTTTATCTAGGCCTACTAAATAACTATTAACTTAGGCCCTACAACATACAAGTTTTAAATTTAGCCTAGTACATTATAAAAGGCCAAAGCTATCCAATCAGCCTACAGTTTTTAAATTAAAATAGAATAATTATCAGGTGAACCAACATGTCAGTTTTAATCATTATAAATGCTTTCATAGTAATTTTCACAAGTATTTTTCTCTCAAAGATCTAGAGGATGAGATTTTTTTCCCTTTCACTGCAATTAATGTTTGCATTTATATCACAAAAAGAAAATATTACAATTGTCCAATTGGAACTTTATATTTAAAAAAGTACAGACATCCTTTTCTGAATAACAGCAAAAACAGAAATGGAATTTTCAAGTGAATGCACTAACAACCAACGGATTCATACCAGGTCTTACTGCGTGACAGAGGTGCACTGAAAACATGTGACTGCACTGCGTTATAGAAGTAGTTATAGTGATACTAATTTGAAATTTATAGTTTTTAATGTATTACTAAAACTAAAACATTCATTTCTGATTAAAATTAGATCCACATATAACCCAGTTTTGATTTCAAGCTTTTATTGCATTAATAATTAATAGTTAACTCAGTTTAGACAACAAAAGTCGGATTCTTAGAACAGTCTAACAGTGTTAAATCTAGAATAAAACTGAGCTTAGTTACTAGATCTAAGTAAAAGCTAGTTCTAGAGGATGATTACTGAATACCAATGCCTGATGATAATTATTAATAATAGAGTAGACTCTTCCTAACTAACTAGTGTAAGGTTGTTAGTACTTTTTTAGCAGTATTATAATCTTGACTAGTGTTAAGGTTAGGAATTAGGGTTAGATGAATAGTAGGACTAAGGTTGCAACGAGGGTTATCATTGACATTAGCAAGCCATGTATTTTAGTTAACTACAAAAGTAACCTAACACCCCTTTTTTATTTTTAACCCCCCCCCCCCATTATTTTTTTTGCAGAAGGGAGAAAATCATTGATTATAGCCGAAAAAACGTGTGAGCCCATGATACGTCATGTGTAATCTAGAATATAGGAATAGAGAAAAAGAGACTGATGACGATTAATGATTATGATTAATGATTAAGTTAACAAAAATTACTAACTTGATAAGGTGAAATATTAAAAATAACGTAGACTTACGTTCGTTTTTTGTCATCGTGCTTAACTCGTGGTTTAGCCTTTGAGCGCTTTTTGCGTGCTTGAATGGCCAGCGCTGGGGAAAAGAGACTTAGATTAATATTTAAAATTTTAAACTATAAATTTAGCCTTCTCTGTAGGAGAAAACGCAGAAAAATCCTCACCTTTTCGAGGAATTTTCGAGCTCATCTTGTGTTTTCTTCATTTAGAACATCAACGCGCATGCGTATTTGTTGCTTAGTTGCATTGTGGGAAATAACTTTCCGAACCGATTGTTGATGGTGGACCACTCTAAAAATGTAACAGTGTAAATTTATTTTTTATTACTTCCCTTGGACAGTTTTTAAAAATCTGGAAAAATAAAGCCCATGTATTATTATGGGCAATATTTTATTGTTTATTTATTTATGGACCTACATAGAGATCCACACAGGTCACAATAAATATAAATATTTTTAAATATTATAAAGAAAAATATCATTTATCGTGTAGGATAAATTACGTCACGCTTTTTTTGACGATTTTTACCTTCCCCCTCCCTTCCGTCAGACATCGTCACAAAAAGCCAGACCCCCCCCCCCTAAAATGACGTCACACCTCAGCCTACAACCCCCCCCCCCCTTAAAATTGCAGTTGAATTTTTTTTAAACATCGATATTTTTCCCAAATCTTGTCTGAACTATGTCAAAATAGAGTATTTTAATCAATCCCTATTACAATTTATTAAAACAGTTTTCTAAAAACGCGAAATTCGCTTCTAACATTGCTTTTTTTACCGATTTTACCTCCCCCTCCCCACAGTCACATATAGTTACAAAAAGCCAGACCCCCCCCCCACACACACACACAAACACACACCAAATTACGTCACACCTCAGCCTACAACCTCCCCTCGAAATTAAAGTTGAATTTTTCTTAAAACTGAAAACATCGATATTTTTTTCAAAATCTTATTGCAATTATTAAAACAGTTTTCTAAAACGCGAAATAACCGCTAAAACTCTAACATTGCTTTTTTATAATGCAAAAGTGTGACGTCACACCATCTGAACCCCACCACCCCCTCCCCACAGAGGCGTAGCGACCCTTCCCGGCGCCCGGGGACAAACTTTTCGATTTGCACCCCCCCCCCTCAAGATTTCGATTTGCACCCCCCCCCCCCTCAAGATTTCGATTTGCACCCCCCTCAACCTCTCGCTACTGCCTCATTATACACCGTGACAAAATTACGGACACCCCTCCCCCTACGAGTATGACGTCATTTATGAACGACCCCCTAAACACCATGACATGAGGAATAGAATCTAGATCTGGATTTTGTGGCCGACTTAGCCAACAGCATGTCATCAAACGTCGACCTCAAAATACACAAGCAAAAGACGAGTGTTATGTCAGCCAGTCATGCAATATGGAAGTCCCGTCTTTTGCAGGTAACGATGGCATTTGTATTGCTAGATGGCTAAAATAAATAAACGAAAAAGTTGGAACAGGCACAGGTGTGAAAGAAAGGATAGGCAAAGCAAGAAAATTTTTCACCCAAGATATGGCCCTCTAGAGATCTCTACTTAAACCCAGAGGCGTAGCGACCCTTCCCGGCGCCTGGGGACAAACTTTCAATTTGGCGCCCCCCTAGGGAGCAAATTTTCAATTGCAAAAAAAAAAAATGCAGCTAAAATGACATTTTAATTTGTTTTTACAACCCATTTTGGTGCCCTCTAAGGTCGGCGCCACACCCCTTTCCCCCCCCCCCCCCCCCATATCGCTACACCTCTGCTTAAACCAAAATTCGCATAATCAACTCCAATCTTAAGATTTGTCATATGGAGTGGAAACTCGGAGTTAAATAAACAGCTGCCAGTTGAGGGTAAAATAAGGAAGTGAAGTTGATGCTGGATAGGGAACACTTTATGAAAACCACCAAGAAGCATCATCAGACAAGCTCTCTTAAGTGGAAGCCATGCGCTGGAAAAGCTTTTTAAAACAATATGATGACGTGAACAAGAAGCCGACACCAATAGGTTTAGTTACACTTCAAGTGAAAGGGTCACGATATATAACTATGGAGCACATCGTGGCTCACACCCAGCAGGAATCAGAGTTTCTTCCAGACTTTTTTCTCCGGGGGGGGGGGGGCACTTGAAATCTTCGGGGGGGGGGGGGCGGTAAACTTTCTTCGGGGGGGGGGGGCGGACACTGTTAAAAGTATATATTTTCTATATAAATTATATAAATTTCATTTCTTTCGGGGGGCGGTAAAAAATTTTCGGGGGGGCTAGGCCCCCCCCCCCCCCCCCCGAAGAGATGCCTGGAAGAAACTCTGGCAGGAATAATGGGCTTTACTTTAAGTAAGAAAGCACTTCCACGACGTCTACCAATTATCATGCTAATTATTAACTGTTGGACAAGCTGTAGCATTTAGAGGGCGGAGCTGATTATCACCATAACCATTCAACAAGCACTATCTCGATTCAATTTTTAAATGCCCATGCCCCGTCTCTCTTTTCGGCATAAACATGACATCATTTTATTTTATATCTTTTTTATAAAAAAAGACGTGATGTATCTCCCATTTGGCCTTGCTTGAGTTTGTTTTTTAGAAAATGATTTAGCTAAACAGTTCAGCGTGGTGTGTAGTATATCTCATTGACAGTTACAGTATATTTGATTCATTCCGTGTTAGTAATCTGTTGGCAGTGGCGTAGCGAGGGGGGGGGGGGCGGGGTATTTAGGGGGGGGGGGCAACAAGGCAAAAAATAGCAAAATATATAGAGAAAAAATTAAGAGATTAATTCGAGTGTTAAAAAGTATTTTAAGAGCAAATTTGACAAATCCCGACAAGGGTGGAGGGGGGTGCAAATCAAAAATTGAAAGTTTGTCCCCGAGCGCCGGGAAGGGTCGCTACGTCTCTCGGGGGGAGGGGGGTGACATCCGACCTCGCTACGCCACTGTCTGTTGGTGTATTTTTAAAACCATTTAGTACACTTTTTACTGTTCATCTAGCGGTCGACTGTCTGAGTGAATATTTACTATTATCTGCCCGTTAGAACACTAACATAGTGCGCATTTACACATATGCCTAGATAGACTCTATATAAGGGCGCAGAATTGATAGTTCGCCCCAGACCCGCTATGCCCCTGAGGACATGCCAGAGAGCAGCGTAAAGGCTATATGAAGATCAGTGCCGCCACCACCACCCCCCGAAGAGATGCCGGGAAGAAACTCTGATGAAGATGTTAATGAACAGTAATCCTACGTTACTAGACTTGAACTGATTTTAAGAATCTAAGAATATCAAATGTGTCGATGGGATAAAGGGAAAAATTATCAAAGCTGAAAGTTTATGAGATATCAAAAGTAAAGTAACATCTTTCGATTCCCAGAAATCGCACAAAAGTTACATGTAGGATCTAATACGTATATATGAAATTTTGCCCATCTAGCTGAAAAGATACCAACGCAAGTGCAAATATTGTAGGTTTAGACTAATGGTTTTTTTTTTGTGTTGGATTTTCGAAGTACATTCAGCTTTCATTATTACACTTCCATTCAAAGATCTCTGAATATAATTTATTTTATTATAAAAAAAAACTGTTAATATTAGAACCCGTTTTTTTTATTTATTACTAATGCACTGTATGTATATAAATATATTCTACTCATTCATACAACAATATAGGCTACACATAATCAAATATCATTATTGAAAATAATTAATGAATTAATGTGACATTTTCATTTTGGGGGTCATCTATAAACGACATCACACTTAAAAATGGATTTCACCTCCCTATTGTCACAAAAACCCAGAGCACTACTATAAAATGATGTCACACCTCAGGATACCACAACCTCAAAATTGACATTTTTATTTTTAAAACCGCCACTTCTGTCTAAAGATATACTCAGCTTTGTCAACAGTGCATACATTGATCATGATCAATTTTGATTAGAAATTTCATCAAAACAATAATAAATTGCCAGATAACCAATAAATTTAGTTTTAATATTACTTTGTAAAACAACAATTGTGTCATCAGTGTTTCTAAATTGGGCCCTCCTCCCACCGACCCGCCCCCACCATCCATCGATCCATCACACATCCTCAGACAAGTCTGAACCTCTATAAGTGTAAGGTCGTTTACAGGTGACCCTTGCAAGATCTTAACATTCATTTAAATTACCGTCATTTATTAAAACTAGATTTATTGTTGTATTAAGGCCTTTAAATTTATAATCCATTCAACTTATGTGCTTTAATTAAATAAATTGCAACAAAAAATTATAATGTATGCTACAGTTCTTATTAGGTAAAAAAAAAAAATCTTTCAATTTAAAAACCTCAAAGAATAAAGAAAACAAATTATTCCTTATGTCAAATTACTGTTTGAGGCTTCTAAATCCCAGTATAAAAAAAATTACCTGGAAAAAATGTGTCTAGCTATTGTAAGAAAATATAGAAAATATTTAAAATTAAACTCGTAATTATAATCTGCAGAGTAGCTAGCTATGGAATAAAATAGCAAAAAGTAAAAAATATGAAAAAGGTTTATAGCCTTTATGAGGCCTCTTTGGTACACTTAAAAATGTTTTTAAAATATAAATACAATATATTACTACAATAATAAAACTACCAAAAAATTCAAAATATAAATTATGTGAAATAATGTTTCTTCATCAATAATTATGAAAAAAATCAATCATGTTACAACAATGTTTTGTTCCAATTTTTCAAAAACTTCAACAAAAATCAAATACATGTAAATTATCAATAAATTAATTCACATTTAAAATCACAATTTAAAAAAGAGAAAAAATAACATCTTTCAAAAAATTAAAATTATTAAAGAAATTAAAAGTCTACAAACTGGATATTTTTAAAAAGCGTTTTAATTTGCATTTTTAAGTCTTTTCTTATGGATTAGGAAAAATGCATTTAGTATTATTAGATGGTTTTGAGAAAATGCCTTTGTAAGTATAAGTCATATCAAAATAATTGTATAATGAAATTTATCTATAAAAAAACTAAAGTTATGCTTATTGTAACTTATGAAATAGTCATCAAATAGTCAGTCTATGTTTTATTAAATAGTACAGTTCTTAAACTATTCAACAGTCTGAACCACTGGAGCAGCTGATGCTTGACTATCAGAAGATGCACAGTTATTCATATTTATCTGTTCAGTCTGCGCAGGCCTGATGTCAATATCTGTGTAATTACAGTGAGCAGTTGCTGCTGGCACACGAGGACGATACCAGGACATACATGAGGCCACGGTCTCACGGTGATTAGATTTTCTAAGTTTTGCTTGTCTTTGTCTGTTTTGTGTTGTCAACATCAAAGCTTCATTGTTCATAGCGTTGATAAGATCACGGTTGGGAGAATCTCCACCATACACTGTACGATAAGTTGTGGTATATGCTGTATCAAAAGAAGTCTGAGGACGGTGTACCAACTTTTGTACATTAGGTTCATTTAATCTAAAATCTTTTCTATATGTGGAAGTCAGAGGTCGTCCAGCTTTTAAACAAGAAGTATTGGGGCACCAGGCCATAAAGTTTGGGTCAAACGCCCCAGATTTTTCTGGATGTCTACGTCTTCCCAGTCCCTTTTTTAGGAAAGAAACAGGTTTGTTAATTAAGATTTGATTTCCAAAAAGAAAAGATATATTTTGATTTCATGTACTGAAAGTGTGCTATCTTTTAAATAATCATATCAAACACCCTAGTTGTCTTTATTTAAATTCAAAGTTAATCGTTAACTGTTTGTTTATCTTACCTGTTCAAAGTAAGTTGCATCAATGGTGGAAGAATTTCTGTTGTCATGCAAAGAAAATACATGTGAAGAAACTGGTAGCTGTAGCAAGGAAAAATAAATTTCAAAATATATTAAAATAAAAAATTACAATGCTGTTTATAAAGCATAAGAAAATAAAATGCATAAAAAAGTGATTTTTCAACAACATAAAAAAATATAGTTGTTACCAATTGTATATTTTAAGTTGTGTGGCCTTCTTTTCTAAAACTGAGTTATTTTAAATGTAAACAAAGACAGTGCTGTATTTACTAGATCTCAGTTGTAGTGACACACATTTGTCCAGACAAATTAACACCACACCCAGGGCATGCTGTATGAAAACCTTGTGAATGCACTGAACCCCTTGGTGACCGCCCAGGTGACGGGCACAATGGATGCCACCAGGTATACTACTGCAAGAACAGCAGGTGCAACCCCTGATTCGGTTTAGTTATTGAATGTAGTGGCTCACTGTGTCTCTAATATAAGGTTCTTGGAGAGCCTGGAGGTCCCAGGTGTATTCTCAACAACTTCTTAAAGTTTCATGGCAATCTGATCCATGGTGCTTAAAGTGCATTAAAGACAAACTTGCATTTATATAGAGAAAAAAATATAACTTAGAATACTTCATACAGATGAACGGTAGATGAATTTATTAGGTGGTTGTGGTTTAGCTAGCTGTCTATATTCATTAACAAAGTCAGTTCGTGTCCTACTTCTGTAATGACCATAGTAGCCAGTTGGAAACTGAAAAATAATAAAGTTTGATACATTCATAAGGAAATTAAAAATTCATTTCTATATCATGTTAAATATCTCTAAAAGATACAAACAGGCATACAAAATGTAGGTGATTAGTATTCAATTCCTATTGTTAGGCTATAGAACCTATGTGAATGGATGGATCAGTCAAATCAACATGTTATCACAAAGATTTTTTAGAGGTCTCCTTAGTATTAATAGCAGTGGTGCTTTTGATGATGGGTAAGAATGACAAAAAGAAGCCTAATTAATATTGTGAAGCAAAAACAGTGAGTGTAGCTATTTTTACTCAAGTGTGGATATTCTAAAATTAGTTAGCTATATCTCCATAACAACATAATTGTTTTAAAATTAAACGTAACAAAGCTGAACACATCAGACAAGGCTGCTTGTTCTCCCTATCGCTCTCAACATCTACCTAGAGAGTATTATGACTGACTAACATCCACTTCATGGATGAGACATAGATGTCAAAGAAGAACTTGAAGATGAATTGATAGAATTAGTACATAGATTAAACAGATATGGCATGGAAATCAATGCCAACAAGAAGATCATGACCAACATGGAAGACATAAAAGAGTGCACTGGGCTGCCTGTTGCAGAGTTACTCAGAGCAGCAGATGACAAAGACAAATAGGAGATAATTATTAGAAAATCAACTGTGGTGACCCAACAACCCCCAATAAGGGCTTAAGGATTATTAATTGATTGAACAAGGAAGAGGTAAGCTTATTACTACTACCAAGTAAAACTACTCTCAAGATCCTATATTATATCGGTAAGCCTAAGCCTGAATGAGGACTAAATAAAACTAATAAATTTTTAAAAAGTGCTATAAAGATCTATATAAATACAAAATCAAAAGTGCTAAACTAAAAGGCTAAATTTAACAAATTACTATTATACATTAGTATACATTAACTTCACTGCCCGGGGGAGGGGGGGGGGGAGGGGCTCAGTCTCTAGATCTAGATCTCAAGTACACTTACACAGACTTACTTAATCCTTAGAGTTTCTGTTTAGTTTAGTGTTTGTGTTAAGACTTTCTTTATGCTCACTCTAAATAAAATCTAACTATTACTTTACTTAACTAGTAGATCTAGATCTAGTACCTAGCCTAGCCACTAGCTAGTGACACTAATTTAGTAATTTACCTACACTACTAGTACTACTAGTCTAGATCTAGATCTACAACTAATCTACCTAGTCTAGCAGTCCTAGGCCTAGCACTAGAGTAGACTAGAGATCTTGATCTAGAAATCTAGATCTAGAATCTAGCCTTTTAATTTTTTATCATTAATTTAAATTTTATAATTTAATTAATAATAATTTTAAAATAATTTTAAATAAATAGGCCTAATTATTAAATTAATGAATTATTTTTTAATTAATAATTATTCCTACTTGTACTTATTACTACTTAACTTACCCAACTTCCAACTACGTGCGTGGAAACTTTAGCCATCTTAAATATTTTAAGTCATTACTTAAAAGATATCAGACGACAATATGTATTAACTTGGCCTATACAGATCGTTACCAAGTTATGTCCAACTATGTTACTAAATTGTTACGATCGTCACACAGCCTCGAAAGTGGCGTATCTATGGAACACAAAAATAAGAGGGCGCTTTAGTCGGAATTTCTATTTGTCCAAATCTAAAACATTTTTTTTTAAAACCTGATGACGATCATGTGTCTTTGTAAGATATATATATATATATATATATATATATATATATATATATATATACTTGAACACGCTATATATGTGTATTACGGTCAAATCCCGAAGTCGGCCGACGCATTTGCTCGCCAATATACGCATTGGCCAATATCACCTTTTTTTCGCCGGCCAAAGTCAGAATTAGATGATCATGAGCACTTGCTTTTTTAAAATATATATACTGTTTTGAGCATGACATTGGGTCTTTGTTAATAATTTATTAAATAAACGACAGAAACATTCAATAGCTTCGGGTGTCTTCCCCTACCCCTCTTCCCCAGGAGATACCTGAAAAACATGTTAGCTAAGTAAGATGATGCATTTATAACATAAATGTCGTGTTCTGTGCTCTCAAGATTTCGCATAGTAACTATTGACAGCCTCTGATCAGATTTGAAGTGTCAGGTATCACTTTTACTTTTTGTCCAAACAAAGCATCATAAGGCGACTATTGTTTATAACGGTTTTTTTTTATAAATTGAATGAATTTGACACTCTCAGCCTGATCGGATGAGCCTTGGCTGATGCTGCGCTTTGGTATTCCGTAAACTCGTTTTAGCTCAGCCATATGTTATTTAATACACATATAATTTGATTCGCAAATTCTGTTCCGTTATCTAATAGAAGCACGCTATCGGGGCATCAATGGTAGTGAAGACATATGGTAGGCTAAGCAATTCCAGCCTTTTAGGTTTGTTTTCAAAACTCGCAATAATATGAACTTGGTTCATAAAAACAGTCTGGAAGAAACACTGGTCTGAACTCTGTCAACATAGAGTATTTTAATCAATTCCCATTACAATTTATCAAACAGTTTTGTAAAACGCGAAATATTCGCTGAAATTCGTTTTCTAACATTGCTTTTTTATAACGCAAAGTGTGACGTCACACCATCTGAACCCCCCCCTCCATTCATCACACACAAAATTACGGATGTCCTCCCCCCTACGAATGTGACGTCATTTATGGACGACCCCATAGCCTATATATATATATATATATATATATATATATATATATATATATATATATATATATATATATATATATATATATATATAGCCACTGTATATGAGGTGGATGCTATTCTGTAAAATAGCTTTGCTGTTAATATTGATTTGGTCAATACATTTTAAATGGCTTTAAAATTCACAATTTACCTGGCAAATTCTTTTTATTTCGTCTGCTAGACCTCAGGCCTAGTGTTTAAATTTCTATAAAGACTTAAAATATTTTTAAAAAACTAATTAAAATGTATCAGATCTAGATCTAGAATCTATGTCTGGATCTACCCCATTAAATAATAAATATAGATCTAGACCTAATTTAGATCTATATCTAAGTATTTTGCAGAAAAGTAGCAAAGACTTGTGAATCTGAGAAGACGAGCAACTCCGAGTCAACTCGCCGACAGTACAGTACAGTTAAACAGTACAACACTACAAGTACAACTGTTTCTCAAAGTTTCAATCTCATTCAACGTCCAATCATAACGATAATATTATAATAATGCAAATTATTTTAAAAATTTAGTGACTCTTCTTGGCTAATTCTGATTGACTAGATCTAACTAAACTAGTAATCTAGATTCAGTCTAGAATTTACATTTACAGTAATAGGTTACGCCCCCAATAAATATATTTTTATTTTACTTAGTAATACTAATACTTAGTTTAGTTCTAGTAGATCTACTACTTCTTAGTACTACAACTTACTTAGCTGCCCCTCTTGCTCTTAGTCTTCGTGACTTAGTCGTACAGTAACTCAGACTGTAAGAGTCCTACTCGAGGTCACGTACTCTTAGTGTCCTTATTACTCAAATAAAGTTGAAAGTACAAAATTAAATTAGATCTAAGTACTACCAATATAAATTATTAATTAATAATATTAGTTGAAGTAAGTTGGCTAAATTTAATGTATACTTATACTATACTAAATATACTTATGATCTAATTCTAGTTTTATTTTTAATAAATTAGATCTATGATCTAGTATTCTAGTTATTAGTCATTATTAGAATTACTTATTAATTAGTATTAGACTCCAGATCTACTCACTAGGTTTAATAGTTTAACTTAATTATAAGTTAGGGGTTGTCCATAAATGAAGTCACACTCGGAGGGGGGAGGGGTCCGTAATTTTTTGATGAGGGGGAGGGGGATCAGATGGTGTGATGTCACACTTTTGCATTATAAAAAAGCAATGTTAGAATATGAGTTTTCGCCGTTATTTCGCATTTTAGAAAACTGTTTTAGTAAATTGTAATAGGAATCCATGAAAATAATCTATGTTGACAGAGTTCAGACAAGATTTTGGAAAAATATAGATGTTTTAAGAAAAATTCAACTGCAATTTTGATGGGGGTTGTAGGCTGGGGTGTGACATCATTTTAAGAGTGGTCTGGCTTTTTATGATAATGTGGGGGGGGGGGGGGGGTAAAAATTATCCAAAAAGGCGAGTTGTCATTTATGGATGACCCCTTACTAGATCTAGTGGCCTAGCAGTAGAGAGCTGGACTGCTAACCCGTAAGTCTCGAGTTCAAATCCGGGTTCAAGTCAGTAAACCGCTGAGGCGGGGGGGGGGGGGGGGGGGGAAGACGACATATGTCCCCGGGCGCCGACCTGAGGGGATGGCGCCAAATTGAAAGTTTGAGGGGGAGGTGCAAATGAAAAGTTCGAGGGGGGTGCAAATCGAAAGTTTGTCCCTAGGCACCGGAAGGGTCGCTACGCCTCTGGTAGACCGTCCCTGAGTCCATCCAACTCTGATGGGTACCTAACTCACGTTAGGGAAAGTAAAGGTGGCTGGGCATAGTGCTGACCACACTATCTCTTCATATGCCGAGGTCACAGAAACAAGTGAACTCTACTTCACTTGCCCTATAGACCGTCAGGTTTGAAAAGGGAACTTTACCTTACTAGATCTAATACTACTAATACGTAAGTTACTAACTTAATTCTACAGTACTGTATGACTTAGAATTAGATCTAGAATCTAGATCACTTTAAGATATTATCAGACAATCCCTAGTATAAAAATCCACCAGATATTTTTTTTTAAATTATCTAGCTTTTTAATACTATTTTTATTAAAATATGTTATTTAATGTAAATGATAGGTCAGAAATAAGAAGTAACATTCATATGAAAATGTAAAATTGTTACAAGAAAGAGGGGGGGGGGGGGGCATTTTAATTGTCAAAAAAATTAAATTGTATTGCAAGAAATTATTAAGTCATGTTGTCATTTACTCCAACATTTAATATTATTGCTGCTCATTGAATTCTTTTAATTTTAGAAAAAAATGTGGAACAGCCAAGATTCTGCTCTTAGCAGCCATAATACATCATCCTTCATTCAAGACTCACAATGTTCTGAGTTTTCTCAAATTAACACCCAGGATATGTTTTCTCAAAACAATTCAGGAGTTCAAAATGAAGTAATTTTTTTAAATATTATAATGCAAAGTTGTAATATTGAATAGTTATTTACTAGTGGTATATAACAGTTTGGACTGTCAGTATGGCCTTAAAAACCTTGTGTGCTTTTATTAAAACTTGTTACTATAAAAAAGTGGGTATACCAACAACTCTATAAAATTATATAGCATAGATATTATTATTATTATAGAACCCTCAAAATGGTTACTGTACCCAATATGTTGTAAATAATGTTTTTAAAAAATTCAGCAATATAACCATATTCTTTTTTTTACAGATGTTATACCATCAGAATTCTAAAAAAATGAGTATGTATGAAAAATGGCTGAATAAAAGGTCATTGTATAAAAAAGATCCTCAGCAAACAGGAGTAGTTGAATCAAAATCACAAATATACAATGATGCTGCAAATAATAGAATAACATGTTTATCAACTGGTAATAATTCCTCTGTCAGTTCTGTAAATAAGCCAACTGCACCTGTAAAAACATCCCACTTAGCACTCAAACGTTCTTTGGATAATTCTCAAAGTATAACATCACTGGAAAGGTAACTTCTCTATGTTATACATGGAATTAAAAATATATATTCACATTATTATTTCAACCAACATGTTCTTGGCTTGTAACTTAATTACAGAAGTTTAGGAACAATCAGTATACTAAGTATCACTAGAAGACTTTGAGGTTATCCATAAACATCACATTCCTGGTGATATTTATTTTTCAGCAATGGTTTAGAACAAATGAAAAGTGCATTCCTAGATTACAGCATTGAGGTACTATTTCTACATATTTGGATGACAATTTTTAAGCTATTAAAATTCAATTATTATCTTTTGCTCTGTTATTTTTCTAATTCAATACAAGGTATTGAGTAAATATCATACTGAGTACATCTTACAATACATATCCCTTTTATTAAGTATCTAATAGTAATTGATATATTCAAAATAAGAGTATGGGATAATAAACAATTGTCTTTTAAATAAATTTTAGGTGGTTATTACATAGTCTGATTAGATATGCATCTTATAACCCTACCCATTAGATCTAGCTGCAGTGTTAGGTGTGACAATCACAAAAATAATTTTTTTAAAGGCAACTCCTAGTTAACTATCTAATTCTTAACTGACTTTGTAAATATATCTTTTTAAATATTTACATCTTAATACTAGATATTACCATGGTCTACTATAAATTTTTTAGGTAAAAAACTGCCTCAACTTTATTAAGGAAAAAGTGGAAAATGTTGCAGATATGTCACATGAACAACTTAGCCTAACTGTTACTGCATGTATGTTAAACTTGCATTTTATTTATTTTACTTATTAAACGTAATTAATGGTTGTAAATTAAAACAAAGGTAATATAAGTACTTTGAAATAATCATACAACTTTGTATGCTACTTTTTCATTTTACAGTATTATTGCATATAATAAGTTTAATACCATCGAGCATAAGGAAAATTAATTGCATTAAATATCTCTGACTTTTTACATATGCAATACAAATGTTTTTTTTAAAAAGAGTTTAAATGCTAATATGACCTATATTCAAAATTTAAAAATAACCTAAAGTGTTTTAAATTAATGTATTTTACAAATTGTCATTTTTTAACTCCGAATTGTTGTTGCTAAGACTGTTCAAAAAAAGTTCTATCGTTTTCTGAGCTTCCTGCAATTTGATTGAATGGCATTTTTTTTAATTGCAGTTAATATATGTTTAAATGTTAAAACAAATAGTTCATTAAACTTGTGTTTGAACATCTATATCTATAGTTCTTGAAGACATCTGGAAGAATCAAGAAAAGTTACAAAAATTTATTGAAGATCAAAATAAAAGCAAAGCAACTGTTACAGAACTTGAAAAACTTGTTGCAGTGGTAAAATGATGTTTTATAATTTAATGCCATTAAAAGCAGTTTATACAAAAAGTTCTTACTCTAATATTGTTGAAAATTGCGTGCACAAATAGGTCCTTACTAGACTTGTTCATTTGACCCTGCATTTTACACTCTAACATATAAATTACTTTTTCTCCAAGCTCAATGAACCTAAAATTTGCTTCAATTTTTATTTCAGAAAGATTCCCAGATCTCTTTTTTGCAAAATCAACTGCAGAATGCTAACAGAGAGAATTCAGAGACATTATCAAAAACAATAAAAGAAAATATTGCTGCATTTCAGCTTCAAAATGACCAAAAGTTTGAGGTAAAAATTACCAAACATTGTGACTAATTCTAAATTATTACAATGCTGGCATTTTCTTTGACTTAAAACTTATTTTGAACAGTCATTAATTCAAGCAAATATAATTTTTTAATATATTGAATTCTACTTATTTTTATACATAATTTTTTTACATAATTCCTGGATCCCTGTTTCTGACTTTCTTCCATGCATGTTTAGTGTTTCATTTAACATATTTTCATCTTATTATGATGTTCATATCTTTAAAAAAGATAGCATAATTTTGCATTCATAATAAAATGAATCATAATAATATTATTCAAATTATTTATGTTATTATTGATTATTTTAACAGGAAATTTTTAAACTGATCAAAGAATCATTTCAATATCAGCATGACCAATTAGACAAACACAAGACACACATGGAGAAGTCATTATGTCAACATGGGACTTTGGAAAATTCATTTACGGACACAATAGCTGAACTTGAAAAAAAGTAATATTAAACAACTAATTACCCGACAACAAATAATCTAATTAAGTGACTCCATCCAGTATGTGACAATGTGGTATACAGTACCGTATACAGAGCGCTTGACTGCCAACCCAAAAGTCTCGAGTTGGATCTTGGTCGTGAGTCTGTAAGACACTCCTGAGTCCACCCAGCTCTAATGGGTACATGACTCAATTAGGTTGAGAAAAAAGGCCTCTGGGCATAGTGTTGGCCACACCCTTCAAGTTGTAGATGTTTTCTTTTATGGATCGTCAGGTCTGAAAAGGGGTACTTTACTTAGGTTATTTTGGACCCTTTTTTACAATAGATAATATCTGTTGTTTAACATTGACATGCTTACCAAATATAAACACAGCTTTAAAATTTGGAATGATCACGAATGTTTCTATAGACAAGAGAGGTAACAATTTATCCATTTGGCTTCTTATTTGTTACAAAAAAAACTTCTGCAGTGTCATATGTAATGAAATCATTCCTAGATTTAAGCACAGTGTTTGTATTAGTAACTAAGAGATTACTGCCATTCTATTTTCAGAATATTGTCAGAAATTAATAAATTTCAAAAAAGTGTATCATTAATTGAGAAAAATTCCAAACCTAATTCAAGAGAGGACTTCAGCAACCTTTTCAGAACATATAATAAAGAAATTATGGACAGTCTGGCCAAATACGTGAAGCAAGCTGAAAAGCTACCATCAGGATTTAAAAATATGTTTAATGCACAGTACAGGGAACTTTTAAGGTAAACATTTAACAATCCTTCTTCTTTCTTAGTTTTAACATGGAGATTTCCTTCAACATAATTTATTTTCTAGATGTGCTTCCATGTCCATCCAAATACAATCTGCAAAGCAGCAGTAGTCTGATTTTGGAGTTATCACTCTTTGATTGGATTGCTGTCCCCAGTTAAAGACCCCCTTATCTGGGCTTTTGGGTTGGAAACCATAAGCTCTACAACTCTACTTTGCCCATTCTTTTAATTAACATTTGAGCAATATAGTTTATGCAGCTCATGATGCTTTTAAAACTTCTATTAAAAATGTCTAATATTGTTACAACTAATAAAAATAACAAAAGTGATTTAGAGCATATTTAGAAATTATTTGAAACTTGAACTCGAGTAGAGTGAGCTTTATATACAAAATGTATGTACATTTAATAAGGATGGTGATTAAATATTAATAGACCCAATACTTTTTTTTCAAGTACCCAGATAAAATCTTTGAAAACTCAGATTGATGAAATAATGAAAGTCAACACAAGTTCTACAAATATCACCCTTGCAAAAATACAGAAATCAGTTACAGAGAATAATGAATTGATGATACAGGCTGTTGGTCATAACATCAATAATACTGATACTTGTGCCATTTTAGAACTCATAGATGAAAGGTATCCCACTATTTATTTTTTGCATAACTATGCTAATTAAATTACTTTTAATGATAAAATTTTTTATTTTAATGTAGTGCCTCACTTATTTATTAAAATGATTATATTTTAATGTCGGGCCTGATTATAAATATTATAATATGTAGTTTAAAATAAGCAATGATAATAAATAAGCCATTTTTTAATGCAGTAATATGTTAAATTTTATTTTAATTATTTTTAAACAAATTATTTTTTTCCTGCAGAATTAACAAATTTTTGTCTTCAATGAACGACCATTTTCACCAAAATAACTCCAATACGTTTGCAAATAATCCAACCAAGTTTTTGCATAGTCCTGGAAAAGATCCTCATTCTAAAAAGGACTCTGCTATTAGTTCAGCGACTTATTTAAATCACCAAACACCATTCCCCAGTCTGAAAAATAACACTCCCAGTACAAGACCAGTGCCTTCTAAAAAGTACTGCACTAGATCATCAGGCTGTTTGACATCCAATAGTCCTAATATACAATATGCCAAAAAATGTCAATCGAGTGACAAAATTTTAAGGAGTAATACATCTAATGATGGGTGTCTTAAAGGTCAAAACTGGAAAAGTATGAAACATGATGTCAGCAGTCACGAAAATTATGTTCCAGATAAAAATTCATCAGATATGCTTAATGCAACAAGGTTAAATAAAGGAAAACAGTGTATGAAAGTTAGCTCCGATGAACTGGTAGGATATTCTGAAAATTTGACATACCTTTCATCTACAAAACAAAAGAGCAAAAACCAAAATACTGAAAATAGCATCTATACAAGAAAGAGAAGTAGAAGAAACAGCAATTTTGTTGTTGAAGAAGACATGACACTTGTCTATAATTCTAAACAAAATACTAATTCACCGATGCATTCTGTATATGAACCACCAAGAAAATCTGCTAGGACAGAATTTGCTTCAAATGCTTCAGAAAATGCAAATGATAGAATGAAAAATCAACAATGGTTGAACAGCAGAACTAAACCACTCAAGCTATGCAACAGTCAACACTTACAACCATTCAGTGTCAAAGCATCCACTCAAAATGATAAATTACCTTACCCTAACTTAACACTATCATCTTTTATTACAAAAGGGTAAGTAATACTAAGTGTAACCTCACCATCACAGTACTATAATTTACTCAGTCTGCCATTTCATTTTCAGTTAGTCACACTATAACAATAATCTAAACAAATCGCATTAATAGTGATAGGAATTTTTACTTGTCAAATTACCAAACATTTCAGATAATAAAATTTTTTTAAATTTCAGATTTACAAAAAATGACGGATACGCCAGTGATGTAAGGGCTTTATTTAACTAACATACATTCATTATGAAAAATTGTATCTGTTGAAAAAGATTTTTTTTTAGGACAAAATAATTTAAAAATCATTTTTTCCCCAGACAAACAGTTGTCATTCATCTCCTACGATATCGATAACCCAGATGACCATTAAAAAAGTGAATGCCCGCAGCCCTTATAGAGAGCGTATGATGCCAAGTATGTTCAAACTATTGTGATCAAATAATTTTAAATTAGTAAAAGATTTTAGAGTGCAACACACTACGGATTCACTGGGTTACTATAAATATAATCATGGACTAAAACGAACGGAACAAGTCCACCAGTGAGCACTATGGCAACTACATTTGTTTTAGAGAGCTCCCTCCCTATAATAGGGACATGGTTGGCCACTACATTCAATGACTACACCAAACCATGTGATACACCCCGTGCTGTCATAGGGTAACCAGTGGCTCCTGAGAGCATCCCAGACAAAGAAAATCACCCAAGTGCATTGTGTGTACTTATTTTTGAGGTGATTAATAACATTCAGCATGCCCTGAGGCTTCTGGGCAGTAGTGTGAACAAACCTTTCCCCAACAACTAGGATCCAAGAAATATTAAAATGATTATTAAACATTTTTTGCCAGACTGATATTTTTTTGAGTTTACACCCTTCATCACTTAAAGAGTTTTATTTAAGCCAGATCAACACTATGTTGCTTGAATTCTCTATAAAGTTAATTTTGCCCTCTATTATTAATGACATTCCTGACATAATTTGTGAACTAACTTTCATAAACAGATTGACTTCCACATGGAATTTAAACTATTGCATAAATATTTTCTTCACATCCAGTTTTCTTATTAGTTGACTAATAATACTTTACTAATTTTTTTTTCATGCAGATTTCTACAAGAACCACAGCTTTCAGAGGATTACAAGCCCAGTGCCAACTTTGCTTTCAGATATTAATAATATGTAACTGTAATACAAAAAAGAACTTGTTTAAAGTTATTTTACTTAAATTTCACTTAATAATTAATTGCCCACTTATTTGAGAGTTTGTCAGTTTTGCATGGTTTATTACTTTTATTAATGAAGAAAGCAAGAGCACAAGCTTTTAATGGCCACTTTCAACAAATATAATGTTTATAATCTCCTAAGCACAATTAAAATAAAAAGGGCAAAACTGACTTTATCTTTTTTTTGTTATGTTGTACTTGTCAAATCATATGTCCATACAGATTTTGAATGTTAGAAGAGGAAAATATTTATCGAATTCAATTTTGACTAGGCTCCATAGAGCCAAGTACGAAAAGATGTACCTTATATTGGCCCTATAGTTGAACTGAAAAAAATTAGACTGTACTGACAAACAACACGGTGAGATTTAAAGGGGACAGATTTCAATTAGTCTGACACCAGTAACATGACCATCAAGATAAGATATTTTACTCCTCTATTTACAGATAACTACATTAGGAAGCTACATTACTTACTCCTGCCCTGTTGCTCATTTATGTCGTAATAGATGTAGGGCTAGATAGACAGCCCACTAATTGACGATTAATGAATTACAGGGGTGGCATATTTAATTACAATACCCAATGACTGATAAAAACCCTTGGTGAATTTTTTAAGAAGTCCTTTTGATTTTAAAAATTTTCATCAATTAATACACTTAATGAACTACATGTTCACCCTTCAATTAAAGTTTAAAGGAACTCCAATATACCATAAAAATTTAATATCTTTGCAAATTATAAGGTTTTTTCTTGTGCTGCCACATTTTAACTTGTACCAACATTTTAACTTGTACCGGTGTAGGAAACGTTTTAACCATACTACTAGTAACTAGTATAGTCCCCTTTTAATCCTGATGGTCCATGGGGAAAGCTGAGTTTGTTTCAGTGGCTGCATTCGAAGGTAAAGTTTGGTTAGCACTTTATCCTGCCGTCTATGCCCTATGTGAGTTCAACACATGTGCTGGGTGGATAGGGATGTCTCAGGGACTCAAGTCCTGGATCCCCACTCCTCCAATATTCAGAATAGATCAAACGCTCTACCATATAACCATGCTGACTCTTGAAAACATGCGGATATATTACATACAGAACAATGCCATTGAATAAACTGCCTAACTTGATTATCTATTTCATTGTGTAACCCTTTTCACTTCAAGTAGTTTAGATTTTCTTATTACAGGGGTGCCACTCATTTTTTAAGTGAATCCTGAAAATGAATCCCAAAATTTTACCAATCCTGAAACTAAAATTTGAAATTTTTGAAACCCTGAAACTTAATTCCGCGCGGAATTTCAAAATAAAATGGACTGTTATTTCATTATTTTTTGTGACATTTGATTCATATATTATTATGTTCAATTTACATGTCTTTAAAATGGATTTATTTTCTTTGTAACAAGCTTCAAATAAAAATTAATCTTTAAAGGATTGTGCTTACAACAAAATTAGTTTACAATGTTACTCCCATCTCTAGGCCTACCCCATAATGTGCTATTGTAGAACTCCCCCCCCCCCCCCAGACAGCTTTTATAACATAACTATTTAATTTTTTAGAACTTCCTAGCTTGAGTTAAAGTGTGTAGTCAGCCAACTGTTAAGTAACAAATATTTTGCTAACCTCTATGTCTTGTTATTGAATAATAAGCCCACTATATGCAGACCCCTAATAAGATTGCCACTGTATTAAAATACAGGGTTGACTTACTGTAGCTATTCAAGGCTTTAATTATTAACAGCCACAACAAAAACCTTAAACCCTGTTTTCCCAATCAACACCAATGGGATCATCCATAAATGATGTCACGCTTTTTTGACGATTTTTACCTCCCACCTCACCTCGGTCACATATCGTCACAAAAAGCCAGACCCCGCCCTCTAAAATGACGTCACACCTCAACCTACACCCCCCCCCCCTAAAAATTGCAGTCAAATTTTTCTTAAAATACGATATTTTTCCAAAAATCTTGTCTGACCTCTGTCAACATAGAGTATTTTAATCAATTCCTATTACACTTTATTGAAACAATATTCTAAAACGCGAAATAACGGCTAAAATTAGTTTTCTAACATAGCTTTTCGATAATGCAAAAGTGTGATGTCACACCATCTGAACCCCCCCCCCCCCTCATGACAAAATTACGGACCCCCCTCCCCCTACGAGTGTGACGTCATTTATGAACGACCCCAATGCCCCCACCTTTGATATACATGATGATAATTTTAGAAGTAGTAATACTCATGTCAGAGATGTAGCCGCCCGACTAAGTGAAAAGCTGATTGTTTTTTACAAGCGGTTAAAAGAGATGTAGCCGCCCGACTAAGTGAAAAGCTGATTTTTTTTTACAAGCGGTTGGGGGGGGGGGGGGGGCAGTGATAGCGGCTATTTTCAAGGTTGTTTAAACATTTCAATGACGTTTTACCAAAGTAAAAAAAAAAAAAATTAGATGTAGACCCTGCTAGATCGTGTAACTAAATTATAGCAGGCCTACATATTTTTTTTTACTTATATAAAACGATGCAGATCTAATTTTTTTTCTTGAATTAAAAATATCCACGTTAAAATTAAACAGCGGTTGTACTTGTAGAACTGCCTTGACCGAGAGACATGACTCAGACTGTGTTCACGTGGTCTCGTGACGTAGGTCTTACGGTCAGCGCGACCTTGAAGAAGCGGGTAAGAGGTGGTAAAAAGTGACGGTAAAGTTGAGTGAAAACAGCACAGTTCTATTTCATACATAAAATAGTCCTCCAAATAGATTTTTTCTTTTCTTTTTGTAATACCAAATACAAAATTTTTTTTTTTTTATTGGAGCAAAATCTTTGTTTTTTTTAAAAGACGATCGGCGATGCTAGTGAGCTAGATCTAGTAACTGTAGAATTTAGTTGTTTTATTACACAGCCTAGCGGTATCCCATTGATGACATCGCGTAAATAATACGAGTTTTACCCCCAACCCATATCGTCATAAAAAATAGCCAGACAGCCACACCACTAATGACATCAAAAAGTTTCGTCTACAGCCTCACCCATCTGATACAGCCGATTTGTATTTGGTCCTTGGCGCACGCGTGAGATTGTTGCTGACGTCATTTACTATTCATTTTTTTTCGGAAAAGGCTATTAGCGGGAGTGTTGATGATAAAAACAATTTTTACAATGCCAAAATTTTCAAGCTTAAAACGATCTAAAATTTTTTTTAAACTGCAAACCCGGAAATTTTCAAACTCAAATCTTGCGAATCCGGAAAGGGAAAAAAATATGATTCTCGAATCCGGAAATCCGGGATATCCCGGAAAAGTGGCACCCCTGCTTATTATTAACCAGTATAGAAATGATTTCTTAGAGGTATCTACCTCCACAATAAAAATGATGACTTTCACTCCACATACACAGTAAGTAATTGACAACAAATATATTATGGGTATCAGAAATTTATTTTACAGTGGTCTCTAAGAACGAGGACGTTCCTTCTTTCCTTTGAAAAGAGCCAAAAGAGATACGTTGGCAACTTTGACAATCTTAAAACGGACACCAGGAATGTCACCCACAGCATGACCTTTACGCCCAAATCCAGCTACAAGTACTTCATCGTTTTCCTAGAAATACATTGAGAAACATGTAAAGCAAGAAAAAAGAGCTGTCTTTAGTTACATAATAAAAAGCAAAAACAAAGACACTCTTAGAATGAAAAATAAAAACTACAAGCTGGCATAATAGAAATTTTGCAGAATCTCACCTCAATAAAGTTGAGACAACCGTCATTTGGGACAAAAGCCGTTATCTTTTTACCATTCTTAATAAGCTGCACTCTAACACACTTGCGAATGGCAGAGTTAGGCTGCTTAGCCTCAACACCGCTGTAAAATTAAATATAGCAAAATTATACTCTGAATGATTAAATATATGTATAGCTAAGCATACCCACACAAAAAAAGAAAGCTTACACTTTTTCCAAAACAATTCCCTTAGCATGAGAAGATCCTTGAAATGGGTTAGCCTTCCAGCGTGTCCCCAAGTGAGCTTTTTTATACTCTTTGTCATGCCACCTTTGCTCTCTGCGATGATCTTTCATCTTGCGAGCAGTGTGTAATCCCATTGGCTTGCCTGTAAAATATATAAAGAACTACATAGGCCCTATCTCACAACATTTTAAATGTAGGCTTAATGATAGGGTAACTCTGCATTAGGATTTTGTTATCCTGGAACCTAAATAGATTCCGCAAGTGGGCCTTCATTCTTTAGGACCAGTGTGCAAAGTTTTATGATATCTGAAGTTAGATCTAGAGTAAAGTTCCGTGTGTGGTCAAAACCACGGTGTAGTCACATTCATGTTTATGGCTTCGTATAATATTTGTTTGGATGTTTTATACGAAACTACCAATATCTGCTGTAAACATGTCCATTTCTAAATATATCCAGGTCAAATTCTTTTGTTTCCCTCCTTCTGAAAGACGAGTTTTTAAATTTTCAAGTTTCGAGGTATGACGTCGTAGGCGATTCTAGTTCCCCCGTATGAAAAGCACTAGGTCCCGGATGAGATGAATAAAACCAACCAATCAAAGCTTTTTATAACTAGGTTAACTATAAATAGCTTCTATTTATGTGCAGGACACTGAAAATACTGTAGTTAAGGCTATTAAAAGAATCTTAGTGGTGAAATGGGGGTGATCACAGCTGGGGTAACGATTTTTGTGTTTTACCCTCGCTGTGGTCACCAATGACTTGAGCTAGACTAGCCTAGATCTAGATGCTCTATATTTCAAGCTAAGTCTAGAACCTATATAATTTCTATTTTTTTCTGTTGTTTTAAATTATTTTAATCATCTACATCTTCTAAATCTAGTTTGTGTCTCTACATACAATCCAATCGAAGCAAATGTTACGTTTTGTCTTATTAGTGATTGTTACGTCCCTTTGTTATGATTATAATAGTTGCGTCCCTTGAGTCATCACTGGGTCATCCGTAATTTGTAGTTAATAAATTTAATCAACGTGTTATTATTTGGTTTTGCAAATCTATTAATTAATTATACAATCATCAACACGTTTAAATGAGTAAAATGTTTATTTCAATTATTAAAATTGGATCAAAACGTAAAAAATACGCTAGTGATCACAAGCTGGAACAGGTAGTTAGTCTCATAAAAATTCAATTTTCTTCAAATTATAAAAAGAATAGTATATAATTGTAGAGCTTTAAAAATGCAATCCAACAGTACCAATTTTATTAATTTAGCATAATCGGTTGATTAAATATAATTTTTTTAGTGTCGCAAATAAAATATATAGAAACGCGACCAAAAACGCAGGTAAAAAGTCAAATTCACTTGTTTTAAAGCTAGTAAGCAAGAAAAGACATGATTCTTTCTTACTATTGAAATCAGTTTGCTTATACCTACATTTTTTTACACCAAGGTGAAAGTAACTAGTTTATATAAATTTATAAAATGCCATTTACATAATTTATTGTATGTTTTGTGATGAATTTTCAATTGGAAAATACCGCATTTGGAAGCAGAAAGGTAAATTCTACAGAACAGATGTTGTTTGGAATGTTATAGATTATAGATCTAGGCCTATATCAAAATGTTTGTTTAATAAAATTCAATTAGAGTCCACCCATTTCTGATGGGTACCTGATATACATTGGGGAAATTAAAGGTAAAAAGTAAAGGCGGCTGTGAATATCGCTGACCACACGGACAATCACTTCATATGCCGAGGTCAAGAAACATGAACTCTACTTCATCTGCCAAATAGATTGCTTTGTCTACAGAGGAATCTTAATTAATGTTTACAGGGGCCTAATAAAATTGAGTTATGTTTGTAAAAACATTAGGCCTAAGCTTTAAAAACTTATTTTGGTCAATATCGGAAAAAATAAAAATCTTTTCGACTAAATGGGTTGAAAAAAGCTTTGAATTTGTTTCATTGTTTGTTATTATATCTTGTAGTATTTAGAATTGAAGCTTTCTTTCTTAATTACAAGTTGTATTAATTTCAAACCTTAATGTAATTTCTTTTTAATTCAGTATTAGCCTAAATGTAAGGTAGGCTACAGAATTCAGATATTACCTATGGTTTTGTGATTTTTATATGTTTATAACATTTGTGTTTATGAAATGACCTAATGAAGTTATCAAGCAAACTGTTTTATTATTATTTTAATAGGCCTGCAAGTTATAAGTACAAAATATAGATATCTAATCACTAGATCTAGGTCTAAGTTTAAGAAAAAACTACCAAAAGGGTTTGAAATACTTAAATATAGTACTAAAAGTAGCTATGTTTTGAAAAAAAAATATCTTAAACTGGAGACATTCAATTTAAAGTCATTATAAAAACTCCACGATCTAGATCTAGATTTATTTCTAGATCTCTAGATCTAGTAGGAATACAGATTTAGAGGCTTTCCCATCAGTATCAATGTACTATCTTAGCTATGTGGGAGGTCAGTACGAGTTCACTGGGAAAAAAATCGGATCTGCCGTAGGGGGGGTGGGTTTAGTGCGCAAATGCTCCTGACCGATTGCCAAAAGGTACAGAAATTCTAAAGATACATTTTAAAAGAAAAATGGACGGCTGAACTGCAGTTATCAAAATATCTGTGTAAGTAGAAGTATAAATAATAATATTTTACACAAATATAGCTGTCTTTTGCTAAATCTAGCTCAATTTCCACGAAAATCGCATCCGGTCGCAATAATTTTTATATCAGCTTGTCGGCCATTCAACGATCTATCACGTGTACCAGACGCCAAACAGATTTACCCGTACGGTATTGCGCGAATGCTATTTTTAGCAACAGTGCCGAGACGCGATCGAAAAAAACGAACTAGAAAGTGGCCATAAAAAAGCGGGTCAGGGGAGGTAATTCAACTCGCGTTATGAGACTAGCTAGAACAGGTGACCACAGGCAAAAAAAAAGGGGGGGAAAGTTGATCACAAGGAGGTTCGTCACTAAAACATGAATATCTCAAATACTATGCGTATGAATACAAAATAACTCATGCATATTAGAGTAGAATGGCAGTGGAGTAATAAAGTACTTTCGGTTTGTTTCTGTGTGAAACGATTACAAAATAGCGCCCGATGAAAATCGGGAGTTCGGAATTTTTTGCTATGTGTGACCACACGCGGAACTTTACTCTAGATCTAGCTTCTATAGGCCAATGCAGAATTTACCCAGATCAAACTTCGCATGCACAGTGGGAAATGTACTTTCCTCTCTTCATGGCAATATTTTATGCACTGCAGAGATCTAAATTTACTCTAATCCTTCCTAACCTCAACCATATATAACGGATCTTAATTATAAGACTTAATTAAAATCTAAAAGAAATTTTTTACGAAAAATAAAAGCATCAAAATGATTGGAACCCCGCTTTCCATTTTAAATCGACCCGCCTGATCCCCAAACACTTGGACCACCCGAAACGTTATCACAACATTGAAGAAAAACATTAGACCTCGATGTAAGCTATATGAAAACTGGTTTAGGCTAATTTAATTAATAAGCCTACATTTTTAGACAATGAATTACATTTGTTATTCCGATTTGTGAGCCATTGTGACGATTGTCGGAAACAGGTATTGCCGCCATAGATTACATCTGTTCGTGGTCTCGCAAATAAAAACTAATTAGGATGTAATTTTGAGTTAAATCCCATTTCTAAACTACTGAAGTAACATTGATACTTCAAATTAGTATGAAAATGCACAGAACTATTTTTAAATCAAGTATAATGTTCTCATTATTGTAGTTTTTTAAGATACACGTGAGATAAACGTACCCATGATTGCAAATGTCCACTCCAAAAGGAAGTACCTTGCCCCGACAAGCGGAAATCACAGAATTTTTAACCTCATAGGCCAAACTAATTTCAAAGGAACTCTAGCTAAATTGGATAAATGTTTTATGGTATTGAAGTTATCTATTCAGAATTTGTAATTGCATTGAAATTTGATTTTCTACTATACATCTCATCTTTTTTGTGTGCGAAACCACGTGGACATATTATTTCAGTCAGTGAACGGAACTACCGACATTGTATTTGAAATTACCATTTTTGCAAATATAAACAAGCTTTGGTGACCACTGTTTTAATTTCATTGCATCAATGAAAATATAATGATGAATGACTATTTCAGATGGCATTAATATTTTGATTATTCTTAATATTTTTAGAGAGCGTAAACAGAATACATCATAAAAATTTCAAGTCCTAACAGGCAGATAATTTTTACACTGATTTTGGCCTAGGCCTAGGGGCTTAGCCAGTAATCTTACTAATGGCGGCCTAGATCTAGGCTTGATTAAAATTAGACCTAAAACAAATATTAAAACCTTTACAATAATAAGCTTTAAAAGCACTGAAAATAAGAAAATGATACAAATTATGAATGTATCTGTAAAATGAACGAAATCGCTACTTTATAAGTGGGTCAAAATTAAACACAGATATGCCACCATGCAGCTCGTAGCGACCCACTTCGGCACCCGGTCGAACTATCAATTTAGCGCCCCCCCCCCATTTAGGCTATATATATAGTAATTAATGTTGGTGAAAAGGCGCCCCTCCCCAACATTTTGAATGATCCGGACTCTTTTTACCAGTCACAGACCCTTCATAATTTGTATTTTGGTGTCATACGATAGATGTACAAAACAATTTTAAAAGTCCATTATATATACATCAAGTAGCAGTCTATTTTTTTTTTCTTAAAATCTTCTGCTTATATTTCAGCGAATCAGCTCAGAATGAACTTTTAATTTTTTATTTACTCCGTTTGGCGCCTCCTTAGGGTTGGCGACAGCCCCCACCTGCCATCTATAGCAGGCCTCAGTTTGCCGCTTCCCACAACAAACAAACAAAAAAGCAAACATATTGTGAACTAAATAAAATCTAATAAACTTCGTATTTGTCTGACAGAGAAGTGTAAATGTCCTTAAAAGTAGGGATTTACTTGAATCTGATTGCGACTACTAACAGCTGCAAGATATTTCATGTAAATATTGTGGGTCAAAACTTTCATGGAGCCGCTTGAAACATTTATTTTTATTTTGCATTGTGCGTCTTTAATATCGAATACGGTAGTTTGCGATTAGTTAGAACAATAGCATTTCTTAATTATTTATGCAAGTCAAGTAGATTGCAAAAGTATCTGACCCCACATTGTAGGAGGTGGGATAGTAGGCGCAATTTAATTTTTAAGGCACAGGTCAAGCCTTAAACTTTTTCTTTTTCATTTTGTAAGCTACAGTGGGTTTTTTTTTAAAAGACATATCTCTCCGGATAGGCGAAGTGCCACAGAGCACATCTACTTAATTCAAGTAGAATGCAAAACCCGACTTACAGTGATGACACAGAAGAATCCCCTTCTTCGATTTTTGCGGACGTGACAAAGGGAAGTCCTCTTACATTTAGAAGTCACAGTGTGACATATCCCAATTAAAACTTGAAACAAACTGTAGTTTTTCTAGCTGTTAATATGTGTACGAAAGATTTTCTTTAAATACATAGTCTTTCTCCTCACAAATGTCTATAATCTGTTGGTTTGTTTATATTTTTTGCAGTATTATGAGGAAAGATGTAAGGGGACATCCTTTTGTCACATCCCCAAAAATTTAGTACACCTCACAATACGTACATCCAATTTACTATTTCAATAACATGTATTGTGTACCTATTAATTGATATACATATTTATATTAGTGTTTATTAATATTAAAAGTAGAATCTAAACTGAAGAGAGAAAGATTTATGTTTTAAACGTCATAGCATAAAGTTTAAATATATTATTTATTTCAGTGATTTCGTGTTAATAATGTAAGTACTTCTACGTTAAATTCAACATACGAGCCGACCCGCGGCATATCATACGCCGCTATTTAGTAATTCATAATTTGTGAATTCGACAGTACCAATGCTGCCACTGAAAATATCTGCTTTAAAACACTATCAGTAGGTCGTTAAGGACGATACTACCCCCACCCTCCTTTCCCCCAACCCATACCCTACACCTTCCCCCCCCCCCCGTGAAAGCAGCCTCCTAGTTACCTCCCCTAAGTTTAAAATCGTTTCAAACTAAATTATCTGCCCCTAATAGCCGTCACTAAACCCGGCTCTACGACTGTAAACATTTATCGTGAACCAAAGCTCACCAGACCATGTAGGGGTGGGGTGGTAGGGAGCGCGCTTACAGCTTGTTTTCTAGCGTCTCCCAAAAGAGAATTATATATATAGATGTCCACATAGACCCGACGCCGCTCAACCGTTTACACGCGTCCACAAAAGTCAACTATTTTTACCAGCTCTAATCCCGCCCAGTGTGTTAACTTGCCTCACAAAAATCCTTTAATTATTTTTAAAATTGAAAAGTTTCTAAAGAAAAAGGGTTACTGGTGTGTAGACGATATATAGATTAGTACATTGGACTAATGCAGAAAAAACTTAGCAATAATTAGCAATAATTTCTAATTTTAATTTAAATACCAAAGTAAGTGACATTAAAGGCGTGGGACGCTTGGGTCAACTTGCTCATGTGAATTCCTTATCCACCTTTAGTGGCGTTATACCCAAATATCAAACGTGGAAGAAGTCCACAGGCCATCGAGCTTTAACATACGAAATTTGAAAAAAAAAGTTAATTATTTAGGTATCATGGTTCTTAACCTTAATCCTCATCACTCCCTGTGGAGTATGGGGCAACAACAAATCTCCGCCATTCCACTCTGTCTTGGGCGAGCCACTTTAGTTCATGCCAGGTCTTGTCAGTAGCCTGCACTTCTTCTTCCATCTATCTCCTCCATGTTCCCAGTGGTCTTCCTCTCTTTCGCTTTCCAGGCGGAGTCCACTTCAGCGCCATGTTGGGGAGTCTTCTTTTGCTCATGCGTAGGACATGGCCCAGCCATCTCCATCTCCTCATTCGAACTTCTGAAACAATGTCGTTTAATCCTGTCCTTCGCCACATTTCCTTGTTCGGGACTTTGTCGTCCCACTTTATTCTGAGGATGCGTTGGAGGGATCTTCTTTCAAATCCTCTGAGTCGGCGCTCTCCTTTCTTGTTTAGTTTCCATGACTCTGCAGCATAGAGGAGTACAGAACGTACATTAGACTTAGACTTGTAGATTCTTATTTTAGTTCTCTGCTGCAGTGTGAGTCTGTTGAAAGCTTGTGCTGCCACTGCTATTCTGGTGGCCATTTCTTTATCCATGCTGCCATTTGCTGATATATAGCTGCCGAGGTACTTAAAGTCTTCGACCTCTTCTAGTTCTGCTCCATTCGCAAAGGTCTTGAGAGCACTTTTGGTTTTTATTTTCATTATCTTGGTTTTTCCGGAGTTTATCTTTAGCCCAACGCTTTTAGCAATTTGCTCTATTTTTGTGGTTTTTGCTTGGATGTCTTTATAGGCATGTGAGAGTAAAGCCAAGTCATCAGCAAAGTCACAGTCCTCTAGGTCAGGGGTCGGCAACCTTTTGAAGCGGAATAGCCAAAAGTTACTATTTTCAAAATTTCCCTGGTTTTAAAGAGCCGCACTAACATTTTTTTTTTCAAATATTTTTTTTATTAAGATTATTAGTATTTGTTCAAGGAGCTGGAGAGCCGCATCTTGATATCAAAAGAGCCGCATGCGGCTCGCGAGCCGCAGGTTGCCGTCCCCTGCTCTAGGTGGCTGGTAAGTTCCCAAACAATTCCTCTTGGCTTATCCTCAGCGGCTCTTATCATAATCCAGTCTATTACCACCAAAAAGATGACAGGTGAGATGACAGTCCTGTCTGACTCCTGTTTTTACCTTGAACCATTCACTTTGCTGATTTTCATGTCGCTCACAGCATTGGTTGTCATGGTACATGTCCTTAAGTATGTTTATGACTTTTCCTGGAAAGCCATGATATAGCTCTTGTATCTTCCATAATGATGGATGTTGGATGCTATCAAATGCTTTCGCAAGACAAATATTTGGTCATTACACGACCTGTCGGCCCTGAAGCCAGCTTGTTCTTCACGAAGGATCCCATCAATTCCTTTCCTCATTCTTTGTAATAAGACTCTGCAGAAGATTTTCCTGGTACTGACAAAAGATTAATGCCTCTCCAGTTCTCACAAACATTAAGGTCGCCCTTTTTTGGTAATTTGATAATGATTCCCCGTTTCCAAGAGTCTGGGACTTTTTCTTCATTCAATACTTTATTCTGCACCTATTTTTTGGGTCTGCCTTTTTAGCATCTCCTCAGTGATAGGTACCAGGGTAGGCTATTCTAAATAAAGGGATGCAATCACGCGCAAATATTGTCTGAAATCTGGATTATTGGCAAGGGGAAAGAAGTATTTCTATCAATTGCAGAACATTGGCCATATCCTTGCTCCATGTATTGCCCAGATAACACTGTTATTAACAATATTGTTTTTATGTGTATCTAAATGAAGCTCGCTTATTATTTTCTCTTGATTTTTGAGCAGAAAAAGAAATCGATTCTGCGATTCTATCGATTTCGGAAATGTCATAGTGATGGTGGTACAACTGTTACAATTTCAGTTGTGAAATGTACATCACACAATTTAACATTGGGATCCACTGATTTTGTGGAATTCAATGTTTGGAAATAGTGTTTGCTCAACATTTCTAGTAATTTCTAATATTTTATATAGTTTTTTTAAGGTGCGAGTTTTCCAGCATTAACTCCACACAGCCCTGGGTGTTCTGTATGGAAACCTTGAGTGAAAGTTGATCATCCTCAGCAAACATGAGGCGAAACACACTTCGACGACCAACCAGATGTCAGGTTCGCCCTTGAAAGTCACCGGTTACACTACCGCAGGGCATCGGGTGCCACACTTTGTTCAGTTTGGTCATCAGCTGTAGTAGATCGTCTGCTTTGATTAGTGGGATACATCCTAAATCCCGAGCAGGGCGAGAAGTTTTGAAATGAATGAAGAATGAAATTTTAAAAATTTGTGTTTATATGAGAAGAGTAATGAAAAGTTAGAGTATAGATCTATATTTATATACTTGAGAGATGTAGGCTAGATCTATCTATAGTTTAAAAAAAAATTATTTTACGGTATGTAGAGATCTAGGGCCTAGGGCGACACCTAGCTTACATAAATAAATAACAAGTCACAAGATTTCCGGTATTGTGATGTTGAATGGTGCTGAAGGTTAATCACAAGACCTGTTGGAGTTTACTAGATTCTAGATTAGATATCTACACTAGATTTTCTTCACATTGAAAAAGACTTCTTTAAATTTGTTTTAGAAAATCTAGCTATTCTGAAAATGTTGCATTACGCCTTTGCCATCGTCATTTTATGTAATGTGGCAAGCAGCACAGCATCGACAGTTCCAGCTTTGTTGTGGTCGTCAGAAAAGTGAGTTAATTTTTTTTCAAAACTCTATAGAATCTTATCTAGATCCAGGTTATAAATTATTGATCTAATAATTAGGTCTATAGACCCTCAATTTAAAATTAGACCCATTATAAATTTTATTAGGCCCAATGCCCAATCAATAGATCTAAATTCGGTAATCAATCGTAGCGATGTTTACAACAGATGCAACCTTGCTCATTTACTATAGCAGCCATCTATACTAGCGAGGCTCACTAAATCTTAATTTTAATTTTTTATTTTTTTAACCAATACCAATAAAAGCTAGAGATATTTTTCTAACTAACTAGGCACTACATTTGATGATTTTAGCTCATTATGAACTAAAATACATGATTTTAATTATTGGTGCCATACAGCTTAGCTGTGAAAGATTTTTCCATGACAACCAGTCTGAGATCTGATTCCTAAAGTTGACCTGAAAACTACCTAGGAGGTTCGTAAGGATCATGTGTGGGGAGGGGGAAGTGGAGGTATGCTGCAATAAAACGAAATCGAAAGGATACTCGTAACTTGGTTATGTAATCTATTTACTATATTTTTAGCAAACGCCAAATGAATGAACCAAAAATAATCACGTATAAATGTTTAAAAATATATAGATCTAAACTTTTTAAAGGTATTCATTTTCACGTTTTATTCAGTCTTGATTAATCAGTGTAAATAGGAATGTTTAATTAGGACAATTATGCATAATAATACATAGATTGAGTTAACGGCGGAATCTAACCCTCCTCCCTTATCCAGCATGGAAGCTTTGTCTAGGCTGAGTTTTAAATATTAAAAAAAAGTATATAGGCATAATAAAATATCTGTTTTTATTTTTAAAACTGTCGTTGCATTAAATTTCATCACATGTGAGCGAGAAATGTATTCCAAACATCGCCACTCATAGGCTGTGCGTAGTGACGGCTCGCTCGCGTTGTTTTGTCAACGAGAGAAACATCGCCCGTCCGAAGCTAGATCCAGGTGGAGTTTTAATACTTAAATTTGTATCTAGAGCTGGTGTGTAGATCTAGATAGATCTATTTAAAGATTGTTAGGCTACGCCTATCACATTAACGTTGATCACTTGTGAGTGAAAAATTATGCAAATTCGTCACGAGCCCGCTTGCGTTCTTTCGTCACGCGAGCGTGTGCGCGAGTCCCTGTGTACTGTGTCAACTCGATCTAGATCTAAGAATGCAAACTTTTGTTTATGCAGGCTGTCCTCTAATATGATTATTATAATTTATTAGCCTAGCCCTTCTGGATCTAAATCATAATAATCAATTATATAAAAATGAAAGCAAATGAAAATAATATTAACTATAATTCGATCTAGTAGTAATTAGTAATAATAAAATCAAGTAAATAATTTAGCACCTAGACTTTTTCGAGATCGCGTTTCACCACGAGATCACAGGTTTACGGGCTTTTACAGAAATACCAACTAATTCCTATCTTCCCGTGTTCAGATCGAAATACTTAATTAATTTGTCCAGCAATGTAAAAATCAAAATTGGAAAATATTCACTTAACGCTCGTCAACACAAACGTAGTAAAGAGTCGATAGAGCCACCTAGGCGAACGTCTGCCGCCCAATAGCGGTCACGTGGGTTATGGAATTTTTACTTCTGGTGGTGACCGTTTTGGAGAATTTTTTAAAAAATTAGCGCATGTAATATTCGATTTATTTTTACACAGACTGTTAAATCTAATATTGATGTACTTTCGGTTTCCGATCTACATCGTAGTTGCTAATATTTAAAAAGATCTACGAATGTTTGTCGGCACCACTTTTTGAGCTTCGGTCTTCATTATCCAAAGCAATTTATAGCGTTTCTCTGGCATATTTAGCACTGCCAACTATAGTTTGTTTACATTATGTGACAAAAACGCAATTTTTCACGAGGTAAACATTTTAAAAACGAATTCCTATAAAGTCACTTGGGCAGACAAGAAAAATGTCCGAAACTAAGCGTCCGGTTTAGGACGCCATGTTGTTGTTACAGAGGCGTAGCGACCCTTCCCGGCGCCCGGGGACAAACTTTTCGATTAGCACCCCCCCTCGAGATTTTGATTTGCACCCCCCCCTCAAACTTTCGATTTGCACCCCCCCCCCTCGAGATTTTGATTTGCACCCCCCTCAAACTTTCAATTTGCACCCCCCTCAACCTTTCAATTTATTTTTCCAACCCATTTTGGCGCCCCCTAAGCTCGGCGCCCGGGGACATGTGTCCCCCCCACCCCCCCCCCCCTCGCTACGCTACTGTGTTGTTAGCAACCAGAGACGCTTTCAAGTTAGTTATCCTTGCTATAATAAGTATGCATCAAATACTCTCACCAATACCAATCTGAAGGGTAGATCGATGTGTTTCGCGGGCTTTTATAGCCTTGTAAGATACCTATCATCACATGGCCAGGTAAAAGATCACTAATGATTCTCAATTAGCCTAATTACGCAGGAAATCAAGGCCAAATTGTGAGCCCATTTGAAATAATATACAACCCTTTTAGCGTCTATTGCGCATACTTCCGTACAGCATCCATCACAATAGCGATGACGTCACAATTAAAAATTACGTGCTTTCAGTGACCTTTTTTGGGCGCCGATTTCTTAAAATGGTTATAAAATAATTACAATATTTTTTCACTAAACGATCAGTCTAATAATAGCCTACCGTACAGTGCCATTTGGACACCTAACAGACCATTATTTAAAGTTTTTAAACAACTCAAACTATACCCATGTTTACGTTTGACCTACATTGTCGGAAGCAAATTTTAATTTTTTTTTCTGGCAAAAATAGCTTTGTCATCTTCAGATAGCTTAAAATACGCAAAAAAAAACGCCATTTTTCGCGTGATAATTATTTTTAATGTTAATGTTAAGGTGGTCTCTCGAACAAAGCTGAAAAATTGCCCAATCGTAGGCCAAGGTGTGGTAGCCATGTTCTGGTTAGCAACCAAGGACGCTTTCGAGTTAGTGAGCCTCGCTAATCTATACTATATACTACTAAAAGTCAAGTTTGTTTACATGTTTGAATATTTATTTTTTTGTTTGTTTGTTTGCCTGATCGGATATCTCGCATGGTTGCACTCATCGTGGAAAGCTGTAAAATAGTATGTAGGTAGAGAATAATTTTTTAATGCAGACAGACTGTTAATCACAAATTTATTTAAAGACGTTAATTAATTTATTGATTTATTCATACGCAGAATAACCCATTTTTTTTTAAAATGTTAAAACCTTGACTAAACTTTGTGGGAATAGTGACGTCACAGGTTTTTGTTTACTCTTTAGTACAATAAAATGGCGGCGTCTATTGAAGAAAATTGTGTTCCCATTCAAAAGTTTAACGCGTTCTAAATCTAATTTTCTGTCGGTCATAACTTTAACAATACGTCCGTTTGCTGTATTTATTACGTCCCAACACTTATATCAATTTTAAACTGTCTTTTTTCATTTAGTTTTTCAATAAATTTCTCTAGATCTAAAGATCAGCTGTCGAAGGAAAGTTATTTATAGATCTAGATCTAGAATCTAGAATCTAGGTCAAATCATAGATTTATTAGTTATAAATACAATCCAAAAAAACGAGACTTAAGCAAACCAGTCGTAGATCTAGAATATAGATAATTCTATCTAGATTTAGATAATAATGAGTTTCTATATACTAAAATATTTTAGACCTTTATTGTTTTGTATAAATCTTTGTTTTGACTAGGCCCCTATGCAAATTTTGAAGTGCTGGAGTCAGGGCCTAGATCTAGATCTATTTGCGTAGCTTAAGATTCATACGCGGCTTCTATACCACTAAGTGTGCAAAATTATAGACGTAAACTCTAGATATAGCTCAGTCGTATATCTAAAATATAGATAATTCTATCTAGATTTAGATAATAATGATTTTCTATATACTAAACTATCCTAGACCTTTATTATTTTATATAAATCTTTGTTTGGAATATGGTAATTTTGAAATGCTCGCTCCGGGCCTATCAGCGTAGCTAATGATTAGATCTAGATCTAGATCTAGCAAGAAAAACTAAACTTAAGACCTAAGCAAGCGAGTCGTAGAATATAGATCTAGATAGAATTATCTAGATCTAGCTAATTTCAGAACTTCTTTATTTTATATAAATCTTTGTTTGGCTAATTTAAGATTAAATTTAATTTGAAAGTTACTACTACTAGCCTAATATCTAGATCTATGCGCGGAGACTCAAAAGTATAGTATAAAAATTCATTTGTGACGTCACGAGTAAATAGCTAAGTTGGTAGCGTAGCCCGCTCTCATGTGGGTGGCACAGGTTCTAGACCAATATGTCAATGATATTTTTTTTTCAATTTTTTTTTTTAGATGTGAATGATAAAGATGTCTATCTGAACTTGCCAGGATACAGGGCAGGTGAAGTAGAGTTCACCTGTTTCTTTGTCCTAAGCATATGAAAGGATAATGTGGTCAGAGACATGCTCGGCTGGAATCGTTTTTTAAACGATAGAAACATGTTGTCTGAGACTTGGCGGGACACTGGGCAGGTGAAGTAGAGTTGAGTAGGTCACATGTGACGTCAGTATATGAAGGGCTAGTCCGAAATCGGTGTTTTCGGTGTTTTTAAAAGATAAGAAACATATTTTTGAATGTGGGGTCTGTTTTTTGTGACGATAAGTGACACTGCAGTAGCGTAGCGAGGAGGGGGGGGGGGAGGGGGCGGGGGGGGGGGGGGGGGGGGGAGGTGGAGGGGGATAAATTGAAAGGTTGAGGGGGGTGCAAATCGAAAGTTTGAATGGGGGGGTGCACATCAAAAGTTTGAGGGGGGGGTGCAAATCGAAATCTTGCGGGGGGGGGGGGGTTCAAATCGAAAAGTTTGTCCCCGGGCGCCGGGAAGGGTCGCTATGCCTCTGAGTGACAGACGTGATGTTTTTTGATGGATGACCCCCGAAACCCACAGTTATCCAACGGATGACGGGTAGTCTAGTCTTGTTTATTTTTTTTTATAGTAAACTTATAGCGCAAGAATCAGGGGAAGCCACTCTAACTTACAGATGGTCGCTTCTTATATAGCAAATCCTGCTCGCAAACACTGCTGTTTAAAGATAATTTCTTGCCTATATTGATATATTTAGCCACTGATTTAGGTTTATTATTCATTTATCTATAATATTTGAAACAAATATATCACAATATACTTCTGTTAAAGCCTTGACAATGAGTTAACTTTTTTGTACATTACTAGCTGCGGGCAATTTTACGTACCTAAAACGATTACCCTAAATTCTTTCTATGTAGTAATGTAGGCCTATACTATAGGCCTAATTCTAATTATTATATTATTTTATTATTCTTTAAGGTAGCATCCTAAACAATTTTTTATTTTTTTTACTTATTTTTATCTCCAATTCCATTTGAAAGTCAACTTAGTCAAGTGATCAAATCTTAACCACTCTTTGTTGTAACTTGTAGTTTTACTTATAAAATAAAGACCAATACCATAATACTAGTAGATCTAGCCTACAAATACTATAGGCCTATGATACAGGCAGGTCAGAGATTCTCGCTCTCTTTCGACTTCCAAAATTAAGACAAAACCAAAGCTGCCAAAGCAAAGCATCAACCTGGCATTACTGTTTTGGTTAGTGGTCATTTCATTCAGCAAACGGACAACAGGTCATGGTGTAATCTGTTTGTCTGAGTTTGGGTCAATCTTGTATGTTTTGATTTATCTGTTTAAAATATCATTGTAAACATTTCCATTAGGTCTACCAGTAACCTGCCGGAAGTCAAAGTGCACGAAGCAGTTAGCAGTGAAGATTTTCACTCTTTGTTCTTGGAGCCTTTTTTGAAGAGTAAAACTGAAAGTGCTGTGGTATTTTTGCAAAGCAAGGTAATTTTTATTAAATAGAGCAAGTATCCACCCCATGTTTTGCTGCTGACGCAACACTTTAGAGGATTTCTCAATGCTTTACCAATCATGTATTTTTAGACGCGGGGCCTTCTTTTCTGCAATTGAGTTATTTAAATGTAAACAAAATAGGCAGTATATTTCTTGGATTATCATTATTGAGGATGTGATTTGTCCACAGACATCCCAGGATGTGCTGTATTAAAGCTTTAAGTGAATGTTAATCACTCTGTAATACACTACTGCAGGAGTGGTGGGTACCCCTGGGTTTAGTTTAATTGAATGTTGTGTGTCACCCTGTCCCTATTATAAAATGCTCTTTAAAATGATGTAGGCACCATAGTGCTCACAGGGGAACACTGGGTACTGCAAGTCACCTGATGGAGGCGCCTGATTCAATTTTGTCCACGATTATAGTAGCCTATTGTACCAATAGTATATGGCACTCTTTAAAACAAACGTAGGTGCCATTTAGGTCACGGAGGAGCCCTGGGTGCCCAGGATCACCCAACTAGCAGGACACGGGAATGGACAGACACAGGCTTACATTTTTATAAACAGATTTTTAAAAAAATGGTTTTTGTGTGATATTATTGAATGCCTTTTAAAATATTAAAGATTATTTAATCTCAGACTTAACATATTTATTATATTTTCCTTATGATTGGTTGCTTTGTAAACATTAAGAAGTTAAATTTGTACTTTTCTGTTTCAGTTGCATGTGGATGATTTCACCAAATATGCTGATGTCTATTCAGTAGAAAGTGATGGAGGATCCTTTAAACACACTAAGGTATGAACATACTTAGTTTTGGCTGTTAATGCAAATGTTTTCGATGTAAATATTGTATTTTACAAATGTTGACAAAAAATTAAATTTAAGTAAGCCACATTATTGAGCAACGCTTTTTTTTTTTTTTTTAAATATTTTCAGAGGCTTATGGAGGATAACTTTTCTCTTGAAGTTCCACATGTATTGGATCCTAATCTTGCTGTTGAAAAGTTAAAGTCATCTTATGAGGGAATTGTGTACACTGCCAGTTGTCTGCAAGATGTTGAAAACCTCAACCTTGATGATCAAAAACCCTTTTTGCTCATTATTCAGCTCAGCCCTATTAACAAAGATGATCAAGAGTCTACCATTAGTCAAAATGGTTAGGTTTTGTAATTATACACCTGTCTCTCTCTCTCTCTCTCTCTCTCTCTCTTATGCAGCTCTGCAACAGTATGTAGTTTCAAGAGTTAGTTGCAGCCTTGTTGCCAGCCAGGTTATAGGAGTTATTTTCAACCCCCCCCCCCCCCCCCCCCCCAAGGAAATAATCAACACTTCCTTATTACATTTTGTACTAAGCTTCTAATACTTCTATGTAATTTATTTTTAAACATTTTCAGATGAATCTATTGGTGCAATAATTGACCACCTAGAGAAGAGAAATATTAAATACTCTGCACTGTTTACTGGTTTGTCTCAAGGAGATGATTTGGTAGGCTTATACATATATTTTTAATGGGTACATTATGTCAACACCTTTTTTTGGATAGTAAAAAGTAAACGGTTTTGTAACAAATATTTTTAATTTATGATAGTGTTCAGACTCTCCATTGATACAGTTACATTAGTAAATATTCATTGTAATTTATAATTATTTTAACATCTAATTACCAATGTCATTTAAATAATAAAACTATTTCTTATTATAGAAAGCTGACGCTGATGTTCATGCCAACAGACATTTGCTGGAAACAGCAGTGCCCTCTGCTAATGGCACTTTCATGAATGCTAGTAATGGTCAAATTTATGTTTATCTACGGGAAGCTTATTTTTGTTTGATGAATTCATCTGATTCCAAAAACTGTGCTCTTAACTTTACCATGCTTCCCACTGAACTAACTGCAGACAAATCGACAAGGGACAACAACACAGCAACGTAAGGTTTTTTGGTTTTTTTTTGTATGTAGATATTATGTAATTGGGTGGTTATTTTAATAACTTTATATCATGGTTAAAGAATATTTTCCATAAGTTACTAATATTTGGTGCACAGGATTTAAACTTGTGCTTAATAAAAAAATAATTTGAAGAATAACTACCCTTTAATATGATTTAGAAAATATGATTGCTTTATAAACATTTGTTGCAGAGTTGTACTCGATTTTCCAAAAGCTGGTGATGGCTCAATGTACAACTTGCAAGTCATGTATGTATTCATTAAAGTGTATTCCTTAAAATAATTTTTACAATTTTTGAAGACAGCTATGCTATTTGAAACATAAGTATAGCAGTCAAAATTTCTGAATTACATTTAGTTCAAACGCGCCAACTGAAATGTCAGTTTGTGATAACTATTTTCTGATTACAGAAAGTAACATTAATTGTCCTGTAGTTTTTCAGTCCAAAATCATCCGGATCGTTGGGTAATTACAAGTGTGGCGCTTAATTTAACATCAGAACATGAAAAAGGTTTCAACTCTTCTTTGGAGAATGCCACATTGAGTTCAGGGACTATGGACTTCACCCTACCATTTCCTTATTCATTCCATTGCACTGACATGGTAATGTACATAGATGCCCTCCATGACAAAAGTGTTGCCGCTTACAAAGGTTCATATGTGGGCCTCAAAGGATTTCAGGTGAGCTTGTTAGTTTACTAGCTACACCTACATGACCTTAGAATTTCGACCAAATTTTTTAATGTTGTCCTGACATGGTATGTCAAATTAAATCTCCAACAGTCACGTATTACGCAAATTATGAAGTGTACATATTTGTGCAACTTGTCACATTAGAGTAAAATGTCAGTAAAACCTTGTAAAAAATGTAATTCTTGAATGCTATTTAATTCATATCAGAAAGAAACACTTTATCTGAAAAATACAGAGTTCTGAAGCCATTTAGAAAATAATAGAATTTAATTTTCCAATATTTTAACCACTAGCTTGAACTCACATTTAAATATTGAAAATGTAAATCAATAATAATAAAGAAAAGAAACTTTGTGCTTAATTAAATTGATGAAAAGGTGTGCCAGAATACAAATAGTGCATTCTTAAAATTCTTTGTTTTTACTTGGAAAAATAATGTCATGTATAAATATTTGACCACCATATCAGAAGGGGGTTATAAAAATTAATAATACTTCTGTTTTTACATCATATTTAATTTTAAATTGTATCTCTCTGTTACACTGCCTACATTAATTTTTTGTTGAAATATTTTCTCAGATGCAACCATTCAATCTTCAAGGAAATTACTTCTTCCATCCACAAGACTGTGTGCCATACTTCACAACCCCCATATGGATGTTCCTGTTTTCATCAGCATTCCTCCTGGCAATCCTCTATTTTGGGGTAATTATGATCCTGAACCTATCCATAATGGATAGGTATGATGACCCCAAAGGCAAGACTATTACAGTAAATCAGGGAGCTGAGTAGAAAGAAGCAGTTGTAATTTGATTGGGCTTTTGGACTGGACAACACAGAGTTAATATGCTCAGAAAACTTGTGAAATAATTAAGTTAGAACTCTTTGTATAAGAAAACAATTTTTGCTACTAGTTATCTGCTTGATGAAAAAGTTAAAGTATTGCCATGTTTATCATTAATTTTTCGAATTTACTGTTTGTTCGCCCAATATGACTGTCCTTATTAATTATAACAAGACTGAGCAAGCATATTTTTATTGACATTAACAAGAGTGTACTCTGTAATTGACATTAATTAAAATAAATATTGGACTATTGTTATAATCAAGATAAAGCTACATTTTAATTTATAATTCCATCTTAATGATTTATTACCATTCCATATTTCAGGAAAGAATTAGTTACTATTTTGATTAAATTTTTGTCTTTTGAATAAAATATATTGAAAGTTTTTGGAAAATAAAATTGCAGCAATTGGAAGTAATTTTTGAGTTCATTTTTCATATCTGCTGTTTTTATCTTAAGCAAGTATTTTTAATAAAACTAGGAGCCCTTTGGAGTGTACGTGTATATTTGTAGTATAATTTTCGAACATTTTGCATAAAAGACTTACCTGGTAGTTGTTTAAAGTATAAATAAACAAATATCACTCTAATATACTTCAACTTCTAAGTATTATTCACAACAGTCTCTAGAGTACTTCATGTGCTCAGGTATGTGCCCGAGAAAGTTACCATGCAATCAGCTTAAAAGTCATTAAGAATAAATGAACTGTATTTAATCCGTTTAATATTTTGAGTTATATTCTGTCAAACTTTTTCCATACATATCAGTGATAGTCAATTTTTGTTGGATTAATAATGGTATGAGGGTCCAACTGACTTGTGACAAGTGAGAGAGGCAGTAAAGGTAGATATTTCTAAAATTGCTTAAATACACTGGAACTAAAGGGAAATTAACACAAGGTGATAAGAAACCTCCATAAGCTGTCTATTGACCAGTAAAAGAATAAGCCTTTTGAATCTCTTAATATTATAGTTGGGTGAAAAACTTATCAATGCTTTTGTAGACCTAACAAATATGACAAGGTAAGTCAATGTATTTGGTTAATTTTCTTTTAATCTGCATTTTATAAATGGTTTACTTCACGAATTGTATAGAATGGGGATAAACCAAAGAACTAGTTCTGTTAAAAAATCGACATGTTTGCCAAATCCAATCTGTTGTACAAATTATTGTGTAAGTGTGTGATTTGATTATGTGAGCTGAAACCAGAGGTGGATGGACGAAATTTTCCAAAGGGAAGTGGGCATCGACGACAACACAGGTAAAAAAAAAATCGTATATGAATTCTAATTAGTTCTTTGGGCGGAAGACTTGCTTGGGGTGGGTGCACTGACCCTGAAAGAATCTCTGAAGGTTTATGCTCTTCATTCTCCAATTGCAACGTTTTGTCTGTGAGTTCATTTTTTCAGTAGATCGCAGACTACATTTTTTTGGCTATTCTTTCCGTGCATTTTTCCATCGGAGATTGTCGGGGGGGGGGGGGGGGTGAAATGGGTGTTAGAATTATGGCATCGTGAGCCGAATAAACGGGAAAGTGAGATTTAGAAAGTGTGATAACATACTTTTGCATTTTGAAAAGTAATGCTAGAAACACAGTATTAATTAGCCGTTATTTTGCATATTTCGATTTTTTTGGAGTAGTCCTAGATCTACATAACAACTAAAGAATCAATCTTCTCGATGTTGACCGAGTTTTGAAAATATTTATATACTAGCCGTCCCGGCCAGGCCCTGCTCTGACTTCTGTGAAAAACCCTTCTGTTAAAGACCATCACCTGTGTGTTTAGTAATCATCATAAACCCGGCATTGCCCACCCAAACCACAACCAACCAAAACAACAAAACGCAAACATAACGCTAACACAATTACAAATACAAACGAAAACAAAAACTTACAACAAACCAACCACAACCACAAACACCAATACGAACACAAAGAAAAAAGCAAACGAAAACAAACCAAATCCAAACACAAAACCAACCACAAACACAAACACAAACCCAAAGAAAAAAAACAAACGAAAAAGCAAACGAAAACAAACCAAATACAAACGCAAAACCAACCACAAACCCAAAGAAAAAAAACACAAAAGAAAAAACAAACGAAAACAAACCAAATCCAAACGCAAAACCAACCACAAACCCAAAGAAAAAAAACACAAAAGAAAAAACAAACGAAAACAAACCAAATCCAATCGCAAAACCAACCTCAAACACAAATACAAACACAAACCCAATGAAAATAAAACACAAACGAAAACGAAAAAAGAAAGAACAAAAACGAACCAAATCAAAACGCAACCACTAACGCAAACCCAACCTAAACACAAAGAAAACACTAACGCGAATATAAACGCAAAGTGCTCACGGGGCTGAATCGCCTACTTCAACTTAATAAACGACTATAGTACCCCAACTTATTCATAGTCTTTTGCACTCACTTTAATGAACGTAGGCGCGAAACCGAACACGGGAGGCCCGGGACCCCAAATAGCACCCTGGTTGGGCCGCCAGAGGACGCACCATGACGTCACCGCCTGATTGAACTTAGTAAACGCCTATAGTGCATAACTTATTTATAGTCTTTTGAACTCACGCGAACGTAGATACCATAGCGTACACCGGAAGGCCCGGGGCGCCAAATAGCACCCTGTCGGGGTGCCGGAGGACGCCCGGATTTGATTCACTTAAAGACTATAGTAACCTTTCTTATCCATAGTCTATCGCACTGTTTAAAACAAAATTATGCAGCATATTATAGCGCTCACATGATAGCCCAGGGTGCCAAATCAAACCGTGCAGGGGCGCCGGCGGACGCGCCTGTTTCAATTTAGTGAACAAAAATGATAATACTCCAAGCTTATCCGTAAATGGAAAGAAATAAACGTATATGATTTGTAGGACCTGGCTTATTACATGTTATTGATTTTTAAAAAAAAATAATAATTATTGAACAGTATGTTCAGTGTATAGAATAAATAAAAGGCAGTGTTAAAAATACCTAACGACATTGCACTTAATCAATCCCCGCTAATTGTGTAATTATTTTTTTTTTTCTTAACACCAAAAACAAAGTAATAAAATGTTAATTCTCTCTTCTTAAGGATTTATTTTTCATTAAAGGGAAGTAACTTTGCAGTCAATACATTTCCGACACAATTTTAGAAATTTTATAAACGTCGATACACTTTTTAAACATTTTATGTCGTGTTCATAATTGAAAATTATTCTTCTAAGTAAATGGAATGAAAATTGTTTTTAAAGACTTTCAATGGTAATTTTTTGACTCGTAAATTTAGACTTTGAGCACGATAAAAAATCTAACACTTAAATCCGTAGAAGTGTCAACGACAAACTTTTTTTTTGCCACACGTTACAGAACTGAGCTTTATATATTAGACTAGCCGTCCCGGCCAGGCCCTGCTCTGGCTTCTGTGAAAAACCTTTCTGTTAACGACCATTACCTGTGTGTTTAGTAATCATCATAAACCCGGCATTGCCCACCCAAACCACAACCAACCAAAACAACAAAACGCAAACATAACGCTAACACAATTACAAATACAAACGAAAACAAAAACCTAACAACAAACCCAACCACAACCACAAACACCAATACAAACACAAAGAAAAAACAAACAAAAAAGCAAACGAAAACAAAAACCTAACAACAAACCCAACCACAAACACCAATACCAACAAAAAAAAAAAAAAAAAAAAAACGAAAAAGCAAACGGAAACAAACCAAATCCAAACGCAAAACCAACCAAAAACACAAATACAAACCCAAACAAAAAAACACAAACAAAAACGAAAAAAGAAAGAACGAAAACAAACCAAATCCAAACGCAAAACCAACCAAAAACACAAATACAAACCCAAACAAAAAAAAAACACAAACAAAAACGAAAAAAGAAAGAACAAAAACGAACCAAATCAAAACGCAACCACTAACGCAAACCCACCTAAACACAAAGAAAACACTAACGCGAACATAAACGCCCGGGGCAGAATCGCCTGTTTTAGCTTAATAAACGACTATAGTACCCCAACTTATTCATAGTTTTTGCACTCACTTAAACGAACGCGCCTGTTTCAATTTAATGAACAATTATAATACTCCAAGCTTATCCGTAAAATACCTAAAACATTTGCACTTGATCAATCCCCGCTAATTATGTAATTATTTTTTTCCCAACACCAAAACAAAGTAATTAAAAAGTAAATGCTTTTCAACTAATGCAATGGTTTCATAAAGGGAAGTAATTGTGTTTTGCCTAATTTATCAAAGGGAAGTAAGCGCTATAGGACTAAATAAAAACATAATTAGAATTTTTGTAAAAGATGATATTTTTTTAAAACTTGTGTTTAATGAACATGCCGACAATTATTACTATAATTTGAAAAATGAAAATGATTTCCCAACACTTTTAATAGTAATTTTTTAACTCATAAATTTAGACAAACGCGCACGATAATTGATCTAACACTTAAATCCGTAGAAATGCCAACGACAAACATATGCGTTACAGAATTGAGCTTTATATATTAGATAGTATATAGATCTAGACCTAATCGCTTTGAATTTTTCTTTTGCATGGAAAAATGTTTTTGCAAATTTTAATATAGATCTAGGCCAGGGGTCGGCAACCTGCGGCTCGCGAGCCGCATGCGGCTCTTTTGATATCAAGATGCGGCTCTCCAGCTCCTTGAACAAATACTAATAATCTTAATAAAAAATAAAATATTTGAAATAAAAAAAAAATGTTAGTGGCTCTTTAAAACCAGGGAAATTTTGAAAATTGTAACTTTTGGCTCTTCTGCTTCAAAAGGTTGCCGACCCCTGATCTAGGCCTAAATATACTAATATTAGTAATATTCTATATTGACTGAGCTTATTCAATATTTCAGAAAAAAGTCGATGTTTTACAATAAAATTAAACTACAATTTTAAGGGGGCCTGGTTGAAGTCAGTTTCTTCCAGGCATCTCTTCGGGAAGAAACACTGGTTGAAGTGTGAGTTGTGAAGTCACTTTATGGAGGGGCCTGGCTTTTTGTGGCGATATATGACGGCGTGGAGAGGGGGAGGTAAAAATCGTACGAAAAAACTTGACGTCATTTATTAAGGTGACGTCATGTGGATTTGGGATTTTAGTTATTTGTGACTATAGTATAGGTGACGATTGGGGATTGTGTGTGTGTGTGTGGGGGGGGGGGGGTGTTGGGGGATGAGGTAAAACCGTTTTGAAAAGCATGACATCTTTTAATTTATTTTTAAAGATGACCCATTAAAAAAAACCCAGAATTAAACTATTTCGTTACATATACTTTCATAACCACATCGATCTTGATCTGCTAATACTAGATCTAGATCTATATACTAAACATAATAATATCGAACAATTTGGCCTGGCTATATATAGAATATCAATATAATTTTTTTCTAACGTTGTAATTTAGTATTATAATTATAATCATACTAATAGATTAATAGTATTACTATGATTAGTATGATTTCTTTATTATTTCATTAATAGTTCGAAACTATTTTTTCTGTATGACCCTTGGCCTTGATGAATAAAATGTTATGCCTACTGTTGTAGATTTACAGATCTCCGAAGTTTGGTTCAAGACTACAAGACTACATCTAGTTCTAGAAATCGCGTAAAAATATCGAGTAAATTCATCACTAGTTTCATAACTAACAGAACTATATTTTGGCAGTTAACTGCGAAGTGGGCCCAATTTTAAAATTATTTTTATTCCTACACTACTACACTTACAGTACTTGTAGGAAGTAAAAGTAGTAAACTAGTAAAGTTAGTAAAGTATAGGATAGGGCCTAATACTTTAATACTGTCTTTAATACTGTTTAATAGTAATATTAATATAAGTGTAACACTATAAAATATAAGTGTATGTAATTAATTAATTCATCAGGCGCTAGTTAGAATCTCTCTAGTAAAGGACTAAAGGTGATCTTCTAGATCTAGTGAGGGAGAGGTAGGTACTAATTTATTATTACTTATTAGTTACTAATAAATTTATGGCCATAATCCCCCCCCCCCCGCTTGTGGGGAAGCCAAATGTTACAATCGGTTTGAGGGGAGGGGGCGGGGATAGAGTTACGGCAGCATGTCATTGAGAATGTATGTATTTGTTTAAAGAATAAAAATGATGAAGAACATGTTTGTTTTCGCTGGAAATTGTGATTTAGGCCAGTTTAGGGTAGGTTCGTTTAGCGACCATTTGGCTTAGGGTGGAGTATAGTATGTGGAAAAGTATATCATTTATGGGCGATTTAAAAACGGCTTTTAGGCCTAGCTGTTTATGTTTTTTTTAAGTTACTTTTTATGGTTTTTCATAAGGAATTATCCTTAACATTTTATAATTAAAGTATAAGGGGTCATCCATTTATGACGTCCACAATTTTTTGGATTTCGGACACCCCCCTCCACAAAAGTCCACTTAACTCCCTTTTAAAAGTCCACATGCGTCCGCAAAAGTCAATTTTTTTCTGACCCCTAAAAAAAGGATGACCCCTAATTTTTTGCCTAATTTAAAAATAGAACATGCTTAAAATATTCAGAAAATTTAGTAAAAAGACTATTTTAAAAATAGTCATTTTACTAAATTTTCTGAATAACAAGTAAATAAAGTAATTCCTTTGTAAATAACTAACAAAATAAAATTCAATTAACTATTCTAAAACAGATGTCAAACACATTATTAATGAGGGAAGTTGTGTGATCTGGCTTATAAACTTGAAGATGCCACCATTGAAAGAGGGATCTTGGATAATACCATCTTCTACACCTCAGAAGTTGCCATTTACATGGAAAGCATCCAGTCGATTTATTACTGCAGCAGTAGGATTGTATGGAAAACTATGGCTAGGTAAATACAATGTTAATAGCACCATCTAAATTATTATTTTTATGGCTTATGGTTTTTTAATGAGTTTAAAATCTATTTTGCAGCATGGTTAAATAAAGTTCGTGTTCACAACAAAGAGGTCCTACATAAAGTTTTAGATGAAAGGCCAAAAGGTCAAGGCTTGTTGACAGTCAGCAACCACAAAAGCTGCCTGGATGATCCTCTCATGTGGGGTAATGGGACGAAAGCAAGTTATTTAAAAATAATTTGAGAAGATACAAATATTGTTTTAAGAAAAAAGCCCACCCCACCTACAGTTAATAAAAAGCCATAACCACCTAAAAATGGCTCCCTTTCCCAATAACAATCATTCTAACCAAATTATGTTTTTATTTTTAAAAATAAAGTTAATGCTATGTCACTCTTTTTCTACCTCCTTACACCATAAAGTCTGGCATCCTTTATTCCTCTGGTGTAAATTTTTATTAACATTTTTTTTTATATTATATATAGGTATTTTAAAAACAAGACAGTTGATAAACTGGGACTTGATGAGATGGACATCTGCAGCTGAAGACATTTGTTTTCGAAACCCAATTCACGTTTTATTTTTCTCCCTTGGCAAAGTGTTTCCAATAGTAAGAGGAGATGGCGTTTATCAAAAGGGCACAGATTTTTCTATCGAACAACTTAATTTAGGAAAGTGGGTTCACTTTTTTCCGGAAGGTATCTTTAAAATTAGGGATTATCCAAATAAATTGAATTTCATATGAAAAATCATTAATAATTGCATATACCTTACTTGTTAGCACAATATATAATGTTTTATTCATATTTAAAAAAATTACAACTATTAATGAAATTGATGGCATCTGTTTGAGGATATATTATTAAATAATTATTAATGCATACATTTGGTATAAACATTAATTTCAGGCAAAGTAAATGTTACACAGGAGGCAATACGATTAAAATGGGGTAAATATTTTTTACTTATTAGGTTAGAATTTGTTTCAAATATATTTAAGTTTTAAAATAAATTTGTATTCTATTCTAATGACTGTTTTATTAAGATTTTCTGTATATCTTTTATCTATGAAGCATGAGTTTATTTGTACAAATAGTTTAATATGGTTTAAGCAGAGTAAATTTACACTTATCTAATTAATAAAAGTAACTATCATCTTGGTAAATCGAGGACAGTGATAGCGATATGAACACTTTTTTAAATTGCAGAATGTGCACCTTTAGTCTAGAAATACCACATTAAAAAAATATGCCCAACATTTTTATTGTTCTTAATTTTTTCTCAGTAAAAATATATTGATGGATTCCAAGGATGATAATCAATGCTTTTTAACTTATACTTAGCAAGAATTTCTTAAAACTATTATTTATTCTTGAGATGGTAGAAAATATTTGGTTCCCAAACTCATGCTCATTTGATATAACGCTTTAGTATAATCTTTTATAGTTTTTAAAAATGTTTTGTAAGGTATTTTTTATCACTTTTAATGTTACAATATTACATTTTTAATATTATGGAAAAAAAACACTGTGAATAAATTTGCAGTATTTGCAAATAACTTTTTATTATGTTTTAGGGGTTGGACGCATTATAGCAGAATGTGAGAAACCACCACTTGTTGTACCCATATGGCATGTTGGTATGTAATTATTAGTTTATGTTTTTTTTAAATTTTAATAATGCTAACAATTTAATTAAGCATAGCTTATTTTTAAAGGCTTTTAAATTTGTTCTTCAGGTATGGACTCGGTTCTTCCTAATCGTCAGCCTTACATTCCCCAAATAAAACAAGTATGATTTTTATTGTACAAAATTTGATAATGCTGTTAATATTACTATCTGTAGCTCTGCATTTACATGTATGAATCTGCCTTAACTTTTGTAAATGTAATTGGAAAAAAATGTACTTTATATTATTGATTGATGATAAATAATTTGTTCACTAATCCTTATAGTTAAAAAAAGTTCATGTAAAATGTCTTTGTTTACAGAAGGTAACATTTTTAATTGGAAAGCCTATGGAATTCACAAAAGATTTGGAGTTTCTGAAGTCTGCTAAAAAATCTCCTGTAAGTGCATAGTAAAAATTTTTTGATCATACCTACCTTTTTTTTTTTTACCATTTTTCATGGTAACAATGTCAGCCATAAAAAGACCAAGCTTCATCTTCACTTGCTTAAACAGTTTGTTAGTAAGTTTGTATCTGAAATATATCTGTTCAATATGCAGGGAATAACTCAATAAAGGGTCGAGAATATAGAATTAGAATTACATGAGTCACAGTATATAAAATCATATGCTGAAGTCACAGAAACAGGCAAACTAACCTTACTTCATGTTTGAAAAGGAACTTGAGCACCGGACTGTTTTGAGAATAGAAAATTAAATGCCTGTTGTTACTAAACTAATTTTCACTATCAAATAAACTCACCACCTAGAAGAAAATCTCACACAGCACAGGTAAAAATGATTACAGTACTGCAAAGAGATACTTTTAGCATTTTTTTTAAAGATAAGCTATTTCCTGGCTACCATTTTTTTGTGCTAATTAGTATCAAATTAAAGGTAAAAAAGTAGCTTTTGATTGTTTGTCTTTTAGAACTATAATGAAGTTATAAATTGCAGGCAACACCTTAATCTTTTTTGTTTTATTCATTTGTCCATCTAATAACAGAAAGTTTAGAGGGTACAAAAAGCTGACTGGAATCTAATTTTACTATGTTGTTTCTAAAATTGTTAAACAAAAAGTAGAGATCCATACAAATAAGGAATTTTGTAAAACATTTCAGAGCTGCTCTGAAAATTATACTAGTTATGTTGCAGTTCTGCTATATAAGTTGTCTTTCTTTACTTAAAAAAGATTATTATACTTAATTTTTTCAACAGCAAGAGATCCGTAAACATATCACAGATAAAATTCAAGAGGAATTCAAAGTGTTACGGAGTGTTGCAGAAAAGCTTCATAATGAATATACTTCATGACAGCTTACTATTGAATTTATTATCCAAATGACATGTATATCATAAGCTATACTTTACCATCTAAGTTTACACTAAGTTTCCATACCATCCATTTATATTAACTAAACAAAACAAATTTTAAAATGTTAATGGAGTACTTAATTGGACGGTGATACAAAAGTCACTTATACCTTGCTTGTGAATACTTTTTATCTGTTCCTGCAATGTAAATTCAGTGCATATTTCATTGCACACTTTATTTAGTAAATATCAGTGTTCTATTATTTAAGATGCTGAATTGACTCAAAACTTTATTAAAGAATTTTTGTTTAGCTCATATCTGTGGTAACATAGTATTAGATTAGCTCCCTTACTTTAAAAAGTTTACTTGGTTTGTTTATTAAAGCCTGCATTAAAAACTTGAAAATATGTAATGTTTTTTTAATACTTATTTGTTTAGGAAAGTGTAAATACAGCAAGTAAAAATGTGTCAGTTTGAAAATGGTGCTATTTTTACTTTCTCGTATACAGAGTATTGTAATCGTGCATAAAATAACATGAATTTGAGTTTTCACCGTTTTACACCTGTCCTTCATCACATCCGGAGTATAGAGGACTTATTTTAATCGGGCATAAATAATAAATCCAGATATCAAAATTATGGCGTTTTATGCGTTATCGAGTAGAAAAAACTGGACTTGGCAATTCTGCCTGTATGTGTATGTCTGTAAACACAATAACTTGAGTACCGTTACAGCTAGGTAGATGAAATTTTATATATAAGTATTATATCAAATTTGTAGATCCGTATCAACTTTTCAGCTATTTCCCTAACTTTTTCTACTTTCAATTTTCCAAAAGCCTATAACTTGAGTACTATTTCAGATAGATATATAAAATTTCACATGTAAGTAAAAGATCTAATTATCTGCCTTCTTTGAGTAATTTCCGTTGACCAGAAGTAGTAATTTACGCTATTTCTGATTTCTAACAAAAAAAACCGCATGTGAATTTATAGAGTACTAATAATATTCCGCACTATTATACACATTTTGTTAGGCGTTCACTTGGTGTGCAATTCTTTATTCTACGAGATTTTATTCTGTTTTAAAAATGGATTAAAAAACCATGTCTATATCCCGAGTTGCCATCCCGTTGTTTTATATAATATAATATTCGAAAAAGTTTAGGGAAAAAAATCACTCCCGGTTTATTTGTAAAGCAATCATTTTGTCTATGCTATTTCTTAAGTTAAACCTATAAATTGAATTTTATATTAGCTTAAAAAAAAAAGAATGTAAAATTAAAAAGGAATCACATTGTATTTTTTATTAAGTATTTATATAAATTCATCACTAAAAAAGAGTGCTTGGTAACCAGATTTTGTTTCTTGTTTTGGTAAACATTAAAATTATATACTTGTGGATTAACAATAACAAGAAACAAAAAACTAATTAGGCTGAGATTTTTAATTCCAGTGACATTACTGACAAATGTTAAGGCACATACTCACAACCCTAACAATCATTCAATTGCTTGTTGTTTTTTTTTAAAAAGAGCATAATTATCAGATTCATTACCCAACACAAATGGCAAGAAGACTGATAACTAGGTCTTAATTTTCTTATTGTTATAAAACCTGCAAACCATTTCAATTTTTGATTACACCTTTGCGGACTAAAAGAAGTTTAAAACATTTAATGTAAGCCTACAACTAAAATACATTCTATTATTTTTTTTTGTTTATGACGACTTTGATCAGATCTCGTGAATACCATTTATTTTACCCAACAAAAGAAAAAAAGGTTTATCTGACTAATTTTGAATCTAACAATAACAAGCTGAGAATATTTAATAGCTTTAAACATTCAATTTAAAATTACCTGCTCAGATTCGAATATTTAAAAAGTAAGGGGTGAACCATTAAATGACAATTCAATCAAATGTTCACTTGCGCCCTTCTCTCCAAACCACAGCAAGTTTAACTGTTTTGCACCCCCGTACGAGTGACATTTAATGATAACCTTAAGCCAAGTGTTTTTAACAATAAGGATGTAAATATTATAGCTATTTATTACTATTATATAATATTGTACTAACTAGCTCCATAAAATTTAAACTACATAGCAGGAACCATTTAACTACACTGAGATTTCAATAAATAAATTTAAAGCAAAACAAAAAAAACTTAATTTTGACCTTTGATGAAAGGCCTAAGTCAGAAAAAATATAAACATAAAATACTTTTATCCATAAGAATGCTTTTCTGCTCCATTCACTAAATTATAATATACATTTAAAAAATGAACAAGAAAATAATAATTAAAAAATTATTTACACACAAGGTTTGTTCCATTTTGCAAAAATAAATAAATAAAACTTCAGGTTAATACTAGTAGATATCTGAATATTAAACAGCTCTTAAAAATTAACCTACTTTTATTATTTAAAAAAAATAAATACTAGTTCTACTAGTCCATAGATTTTATATTTATAAAAGGCAATAGTTCAATAGGCTTTTGAAAGATACAGAAACAAAAATAATTTTCTAAAAATGAAATACTATTTCCCACTATTAGACTCTATAAATTTTCATTTGTTCACTTTGACAAGCAACTTTCAATCCTGAGGGCTGTTCTCCCACTGTGAATAGGCATTTTATTTTTATACCAGTCTCCAACAGGGTTATTTAGTATTCAGGAACATAATTAACAAAATGCCAAAAATCTAATTAGAAACCATGTTCAATTTTATTCACAGATAAGACTATAGATAAAAAAAAAAGCATATTTGCTTATGAATTAAAAATTCAGACAAGTATTAACTCTATGAGAAACAAAAAACACTTGTTAATGGCTTTTTACATTTCGGTGGGTACTTTTAAATACTGTACATAAAGTTGTGAAAGCTGAATGATAATAAATTAGCCAAATTAAAATCATAATAAAAGGGCTCTCAATTCTTTAGTTAAAGAAGCGTTAGCCAAAGTAGTGTGGTGTACAGAATGTAAGAAAACAAAAATATGGCAATAGGAAATCAATAAATAATCATTAAATTCACGTAACAGTAAGATCATCATTAGTATTGTTAGCACAATAGTTTAAGGTTGTCTCTTTAAGAAAACAGTTTCAAAAAAATAATTTGGGGGTCATCCGTCTAGATACTGTAATTTAATCAACAGTAAGCTGTTAAATGTTAGATTTTATTTAATAACACCAGCAAGAACCCAAACACCCATCTATATTGATATCAAATGGATGACACCTTGTAGTAATTAAAGAGACATAACGTTATTACAATAGACTCCAAGAGTTTAAATGACGTAATCTATTTAAACAAATGTTCTGACAATAGAATTCAACTTATTTCTTTTAGTCATATTGATTGTCATTTCCAGAAAGAGCTTGGCTTGAACACAATGTGGAACAAATGGTTGTTCTGACAATCATGTCATACAACAATAAGCAGTGTAGCTATCTGTGTTATACTTTGTTAGGATTAGCTTTCAAAATTTGTACATCTCTCTTAACAACATTATATGCAAGATATTTGTATGGATAGTTAAAATGTTCTTTAGGGCGTTACCTGAGAAGTCTTCTAAAACAGGCAACTAATGCAGCTAGTCTGGTTTATTAAAATGTTTGCAGGAGAACAGCTGATTATGTTTAAAAATAGAAATTTATTTTTTCTTGCGCTTAGGAAGTGGTTTTTTGGCAGCATGACCATGAATATTATAGTTAAAAGCTAAATTCACTGGGATAGATTGAGTTACAACTGGCTTTTGCAGGGCACTACGAAGAGCTGGATCATTAACCACTTGCTCTTCATTTGCCTTTTGCTGTTCTTTTTCCAGCACCTGCTCAAGGGCTTTGCTGAGAGTCTCACGAAATCTGTTGCGAACAATGCGCAATTGTTCTTTGGAAGGAAGAGTCTGAATCTGTGAAAAGTCTCTTGAGATTTTTATTTTATTTGGAGGTGTACGAGGGGTCATTCTTAAGCAGATCTGGTTATTGTGAAGCTCTGTATGTGGTCGTAATAATGTAAACTGTGGTTCGACTTTTAACTTTTTGGAGCCAGAGGTATTTAAAACACTGGAAGATGTAGGCAGGTTACTGTGACTGGCTTGGGATGAGCAAGAACTTGGTGCAGCAGAAGTTACAACAGCTTTAGTATGTTTGTGCCGGTGACTTTTCCCCTTTCCTTTGCCACCTGACTTCTTGCTGGCAAGAGTAAGGTTATCTGAAGTAGTCCAACCCACAGGAGGCATAACTGTATAATCTTCATTGTCCTCATCGTCTAAATGTTTTAAATAAGTCGATATACTTTGGGTAGAAGTTGTGGTTTCATTAGCTCCTTCACTGAACATTGAAGAAGATGTTTCATCTAACGATGCAAAAGGAAGTGGTGTAGGCCAGTTGCTTATAGAGCTGGAGGATGATGGCATGAGGCGTTCTGGACTCTGTAAAAATAGTTTCCTCTGCCGTGTTAGTGGCCGGCCACCGGTAACACCAGGGGTTTTCAATAACGAACTAGGACTATCAACAGGAAGCTTTGGGCTTGATGTCAGTAGAGGGCTCTTAAATGGACTCACACTGGGTGAACATTTTTTAAAAGGACTGTTGGTTATAAAAGCATGTCCACGCCTAGGACTCTTAAGTGGACTGCGAACCAGTCCTTCCAAGTCATCGTTTCCCAGTCCAAATAAATCTTCCTGGAAATTGTCTAGAAAATTGTCATCCCATTCTGGTATTGGTAAATTATCCAACAGTGATCTATTGCCAAACAAATCTGTACCTGTGCCAGCTTTATGAGGACTTGGTGTACGAGTAAATTCTGCTTTAATTTTGTTCATCCCTACAGGACTCATAAACAGGCCAGATTTTTTGGGAGGACTTGGCGTTCGCAGCATATAACCAGATTTATGTGGGCTGGCAGCAGGCTGAACATCTGGTGTTGGGTAGTGTTTCCTTTTAGATGGGCTAGGTGTATTCAGAAACTGAGAGAACACCCCAAACTCATCTAAAGGAGATGAGCCACCCCATAGAAATTGTTCACTCTCCTTTTTGGGTGTGCGCAGTTTTGATCGATATTCATCTTTATCTGCCATGATCTGACAAAGAAATATAAAAAAAAAGTCTGTTATGTTATTTGAGAAAAAAAAGAAAAGAGCTGAAGGTAAAGGAAAGATAGGCAACAGGAAATAAGTTGCCCAACAAAATGAGGAGGCTTAACAGATGTTGAGAAGTATGTTATCAGTCAATGATTAGGCCCATAAGAAGGATATGAATGTTTAAGTTAGTTTTTATTATGTGACTATGAATAACGGTAGTTGTCTTGTGTCCTGGGAATGTCTGTTATATGGTGTGGTTTTGTCTAGGGTGCCTGATACTGGTAACAAGATTGTTGTCTTGCCTCTTTTATGAAAGTGGAAGAAAGTCATCAGTGAGAAGGCACCGTCATTGTTTTGATGAATAAATAAGTGTTAGTACAAGGACTTAATCATTTACTTGCAACTGTGATGTTTGCAAGAAGGTTAACATTTTTTGATAGTGTAACAATATAAAGGCTCTAATATGGCTAAATTAAACTTAACACCAAAGCATCAGAACAATGCTAGTAATAGTATCAATGAATTAAATGTAGTTCCAAAAAAGGTGCAACAAAGTTTAAAATATAAATTTATAACCTAATATTATATATACATATATACACAATGGCACATTAAACAATTTTTAAAATATTAATGATAAACTATTCAAGTGTAATTCAGAACAATCTATCAATAGAAATAATAGATAGATCTAGAATCTGTCTATTACACGAAGTTTCAACAGCCAGCAATAGTAGAGGTGTATGTGATGATGAAATGGCGGGAACACAACTGAAATTTGGATGGTGATAACTAATGTTCTAAAAGGAATAGGCCTATCCAAAAACAAATATTTTTATATGAATAAGAGTGATAAGACCCTGCTGCTCAGAAAAGATATCTTCTCTAAAATAGGTTTAAAAATGAGATTACAACCTATTTGAGACTAGCCTTGTATGCCTGGGGAAGACCAAAGGAGAGACCTCATTCAATCATATAGCAAAACCGTTTAAAACACAGGGAAGGCCATTCTACTTTTCTATTTCGCTTATAAGATGAAAATGATCACTTAAACTGTCTTAGACTAAATAATAACAGTGCTAAGCAATTTACAACAAATTAAAATGAAGTGACTACACAGATAGCGAATGATCTGAGTAATGAGTATTATTGAATTCCGTAGGATGCATTCTAAAAATAGGTATCGGGAAAATTATTATAGGCCTATACCCTATACATATATAACTAATAAACTCTAATATACAAAATTATATCCAGTAGGGCCTAATAGATAATCTACTACTTATTTGTTAATCTATTCTGCTGTAAGAAAATGAAGCAGTGTTTATTTCCTTTGGGATTTGCCATTTTCTGATTAAAAATTCTTAATATTTGATTTGTTAACACATTGGCTATTGGGTATGGTAGAGTAGCAGCTAAATTTTAAAGCCCTGGAGTAACGAGTTCAAATCTGGGGTTAATACGACCAGAAAACTGCATTTTGAAATTTTATTTTCATATTAAAAACGTCACATGTGATTTTTTAAAATTAAATTTCTAAACATCGTCACTTGCGTGATCGCTTGCCTACGTTTTTCTAGCCCGCTGGTGAAAAATCCCATCATGGCAGGCTTATGGCATACACCATAACAGCATAGAATTAAAAAGATCTCGTTCGACCTAGGTTGGAAAAAGATTTAGCAGGCTGCAGAGCGATCAGCGCAAATGCTGCCAAATTAAAAAGTTAATATGCAAAAGCAAGGCGTTAGATTAAAATGAAAATGTAATGGGAGTTTTTTTTTACCGCGACCATGGTTGATAATAGTTGATATCATTCAATAACCCCACATATCTAGATCTAGGCCGAGGCCCCTAGAATATTTTACATGAAACACTACACTACAAGTAGATCCAGACTAGAGCTATGCTGTAACTAACATGTATCTAACAGTTTAGTAATAGTTTTAGTGTTTTAGACTTTTTTTTTAGGCATACGTGAGTTCCAGTGATAACAGCTTTTTTTTAGCGCAATTTCCATTCTGGAGAATTGCGTTTATTAACTCGTCATTTCTGGGAATGGATGGATGGATGGATGAATGTGTGTCCGGGCTTTAAGTCGTATCTCCTCCTCAACGAAGCAATATCGATGACTAGTTCCAAAAGCAATTATGTTAAGCAAGTTACGAGAATGAGCATAGGCCATAAAAATTCCGGGTTTCTTTCATGTATTTCCCGTAAAAGCCAAAAAACCTCGAAAAAATGCAGTTTTTGGCCCATATCTCGGCAACCAGACCACTTAGCGACTTGAAACATGTACCAATCGATTCCTGCCATAATTTAGAACAGTATTGCCGAAGAAAGTTTTCAAAAATATCCTCTCGTTCGGTCACAAATTTTAAAATTACATAAACACCTACAAACCGATCGCTCTTCAAGCTTGAACGCACCCAATCATTATACGTCAGAGCTATTTTTAGATAACATAAGGAAATTGCGCATAAATGTCACTAGACTTTTTTAATTAACTTGTTTTAAACTTTGTTTTAACAAAACCTCAAAATTGAGTCAAAATAATCAGGTTCGGTGAAGAACAAACTTAGAAGAGACTAATTATTCATTGTCATGTTCAACAACAGAAGAACAGCTTGCTAGTCCTACTCTTCCCAGTGATGTTCTAGATTCTAGCTGAGTCCTAGTCTAGATATCTTGAGTCTAGAACTCAGAATTTTACAACTTTCATTGTCTCATTCATGCCGATTGTCGTCTCATGAACGTGCATGAAGACAAGTGAACGAAAAACTTTAGAATACACATTTTTACATGCAAACCTTAAAATTTTGTTATTTTAGTTTATTGGAATCACAACTGCTAATGAAAGTAAATATTACCAGTTTAAAAAAAAGAAAAATTACGATAAAATGTCAATGAATCGAACTTCCATAATTAGGCGCATAAAATTTTGTTGTCATGTTTTATCATTCACACATTGGCGCCATTGTATTAGGCGGAAGTGATATTATGGTTGGTAGAATGTTAACTAATCAGAACAGAGTTTGTCTGTTACTGCTGCAGGAAGTAACTATATTTAGAAGAGATAGAGGAGCCGAGGTATGTGTACTCTGCTGTGTTTATTTTTATAAGTGCAGTGATTTATATGTGTATTTAGCTCAAAATGCACTTGCAAGAACTATAATATTTCTTCCCAGTAATTGCTTGCAAATTCCTGTGATAATATGTGTTGACATTTTGTAAAATGCATTTGCCTGAAATCAAAATACCTACAGTTTAGTACGTCCATCCATGATTGTTCATGGCCATGGTCTTGCAATGAAAATAAAATAACACGCAGTGAACGCAGTGCTAGATCTAGAGTAAAGTTCCACGCGCGGTTAAAACACCGGTGCGATCATCGCCTGTTTATCGCTTCGTACAATATTTGTTTTGATGTTTTATACGAAACTACCGATATCTGCTGTAAACCTGTCCATTTCTAAATATATCCAGGTCAAATTCTTTTGTTTTTCTCCTTCTGGAAGTCGAGTTTTTAAATTTTAAAGTTTCGAGGTATGACGTCGTAGGCGGTTCTAGTTCCCCCTATGAAAAACACTAGGTCCCGGATGAGATGAATAAAACCAACTAATCAAAGCTTTTTATAACTAGGTTAACTATAAATAGCTTCTACAATATATGCGGGACACTTTACATACGATAGATAAGGCTAATAAAGCAACCTGATAGGTAAATAGGGGTGGCCGCAGCTTGGGTGTCGATTACGGTGGTTTCACATCGCTGCGTAACCAACGACTTGAGCTAGACTAGCCTAGTTCTAGATGCTCTATATTTCAAACTAAGCCTAGAATCTGTATACTTTCTATTTTTTTCTGCTGTTTTAAATTATTTCGATCATCTACTTCTTCTAAATCTAGTTTGTGTCTCTACATACAAGCATATCTAAGCAAATGTTACGTTATGTCTTTTAGTGGTTGTTACGTCCCTTTGTTATGATTATTATAGTTGCGTCCCTTGAGTCATCACTGGGTCAACTTTTAATGTCTTTAATTAATTTAATTAACATGTTTTTAATTATTATTTTTGCAATCTATTAATTAATAATACAATCAACAACACGTTTAAGTGTGTAAAATATTTATTTCAATTATTAAAATTGGATCAAAACGTATACAATACGCTCGTTGGCAAGCAGGTTCTTGCGTACGCAGGCAAAAAAAAAAGGGAAAAAAAATATCGCAAGGAGGGACGTCACTAAAACATGAATATCTTAAATACTATGCGTAGGAATACAAAATGACTCATACATATTACAGTAGAATGGCAGCGGAGTAATACAGTGCTTTCGGTTTGTTTCTGTGTGAAACGGTTATAAAATAGCGCCCGATGAAAATCGGGAATTTGGAATTTTCCGCTATGTGTGACCGCGCGTGGAACTTTACTCTAGATCTAGATTCTATATCTAGTCTACCTATTTTCTACCAAGATGACCTACTTAGTGAATGCATAAATCTGTATAACTAAAAAACAACGATTCATCAACATTGCTGTATTTAATTTTGAAATTGTAGGCCAAATATTAATATTTTAATACAATCCACTCAGTCAGCAGTGTTGGTTGAATCCCTTGCCCTAGTAAATTAGTTTAACTAGATCTAGCTATAGATAGGGCCTTTAATAATAGCTAGAATCTAGATTCAACCATGAAGTCTACTAACTTACTAAACTTTTAAAATATTTAAATAAACTTAGATTGTAGATCTATTCTAGAAATCTAGTACTAGGCTAGAATCTAGTTATTTAAGCATCACAGATTACTTGAAAATGAAAATAGGCGTAGATCTAGATTTCCCTAGCTAGGGCCCTAGATCTGTTCTATATTTAGTATGTAGATTTGTTAAATTAAACAAATAGGTATTAAATTTAAAACCTTTTAATAACAGGCTTTTAAAGCACTTCTTCTTCATTCTTAATTTTTAATCTTGGAAGGGTTTGCCTCCAACACAATTAAGTATTATGTGCCAACTTGTTTAAGCGCCATATAGGCTGTTGGCTGTGGTTTTAGCCTGCTTTTCAATTTGGATTTGCTTCCAAAGCTTTTGTCCAATGAAGAACAAGGCAGCGCTTGTAACGGCTTTTTTGATTTTGGAGAAGAGTTATTGTCCCCAGCTATCTAGACTCATCTGCCAGAGGGTTCGCACTCTGAAATTTTCAGTTTAGCAACCATGAGCTTTACCGATACGACCTTGCTGACTGAAAATAAAAAAATAAAACAAACTTTCTTTTTTTAATTGAAGTATTGGTCGCTAAAATATGTAATATATCTCAAGTGCAACCTAAGATTTTATCAAAGAAAGCAAGATTGCTTTATTTTCAGTGCTTTTAAAAGTTTGTTATTATAGGGGCTTTTATATTTGTTTTATTTTCTACGTTTTAGTCATTAGTTGGAAATGGAGTTGACACTACATAGGCTTCGACTAAAAATATTTGCACTAAAATTCGACCAGTAACTTTTGATCTCTAAAAGTTATCTGCCCCATCTTTGTTCATGGTCAAGGCTCAGACAAGATATCAGCCAACCATGACAAACATTTTACTCTCGGAGGGTAAAAATCTGATCGAGCTATCAAGTATTTAGCTTGATGACTACCCTTAGTTTCAAAGCCATTAAATGAATATTTGGTGACTAATTAAATATCTAGTTAGATATTCTTGCATTGTCAAAATTTGCTGCATTAGAAGTGGGTAAAAATTAAATTATAAGATTTTCCACAAACTTACAAACAGACATTGTGAACTAAAACAGTGCTATTAAGATTCTAGGTCTAGATTTAAAAGCTTTTGCAACATGTTATCATTTGTGTTTATTACTGCTACTTATCTGTTGTAATGTCTTGACTCTTAGTCTCATGTCTTAAGTTGTATCTATATATATAATTCTCTTCTGGGAGCCGTTAGAAAACAAGCTGCAAGTCCCCTCTCTTTCTCTCTATCACTATAACCCCCACCCCACCCCCACATTGTCTGGTGAGCTGTGGTCACGCTGTTTACATTTTACAATCATAGAGACGGGTTTGGTGACGGCTATTAGGGGCAGATAATTTAGTTTGAAACGATTTTAAACTTAGAGGAGGTAACTAAGAGGAGGCTGCTTTCACGTGGGGGGGGGGGGGGGGGTTAGTGTTTTTAAGCAAATATTTTCAGTGGCAGCATTGGTACTGTCGAATTCACAAATTATAAATTACTGAAAAGTAGAGAAAAAAAACAACTAAATAGCGGCGTATGATACGCAGCGGGTCGGCTCGTGTTAATTTAATGTTGGTCATATAAGAGTGCTAATACTTATTTAACATGTATCTGGGGGTCTTGTTGCAGAGTAATGAGTTTCTTGCTGAGACTATAAATATCAAAGTAAATTAGCATATCCAACAAATCTAGAACTATCATATGACAACTGTGGCTTCCAAGTGTCTTGTTTCTGTATTACTTAACCTTGAAAAACAAAAGTACATAAACTGCTCTTAGTCAAAGAATAATAATACACATGACATCTAGTATTTTGCATTTATTTCCTAATTAATTCATATTTAGTGCATATGTAGTTAAAAAAAAAATTGATCCAAGTGTTGTATCTTGTCTGGCTACACTGCACAGTCTTTACAGTAATTATTTATCTGTACCATTTCTTATTGATTCAGTTAAATAACAGTGTATGTCTAATATTGCTTTAAAATGAGTGGGACAAAATAAAACAAATTAATTGTGGCTAGAACACAATTTTATGGGATTTGGCTTAGTGTGACTATTGGGTGGGTGAGGGGTATAAATCAATAAAAACAACATGATAGCGTATGCTTATTTTCATCTTGTATCTCTTTAATAGTCTCCTAAATACTTGGTGTACATCTATTTTATTTATTGCAAATACACATTTTGATTTAATGTTTTTATAAAAGTAAAGCAAATTAAATAACAAACGAATACACAAATTTCAGTTGAATGGTAAAAAAAATGCACCACATACAGATCTATATTATATACATCTATACTTTTAATGTTTAATAATGAATTTCAGACATTTCATGTATTCATCTTTTATCAACCTTAACACGAGCAGGGTCAGAATGTGTTTATCACTTTCTCTCCTGTCCAATGGATAGTTAAAGGGGTCTGAGGTATTACCTTGGTATTACAATGGTTTGATGAGGCATATGTAAACCTGCTCTTCCTCATGGAGTCATATTTTTAAATTCGTGGCAGCCGGAGGGTACAGTAAAAGAATGTTTTGTCTTGGCTAGTTACACGATTTAGCAACTTATTTGATTCTTAAATTAATGATCCGAATGATATAAAAGACACTCTTTTCAAAAGTCATTTCAAGCATCTTATAGAAGACAATATTATTTGTACAGTTATTGCTCTCAGACTCTTAGATAGCTCAGTAATTTCAAGAAAAACTTAAAACAGGTAAAAATATGACTTTACTCAGGTGGGGGGGGATGCTGTTCATTAATATTATCATAATCTTGCTATTTCATATCAGGTTGTGGTTAAACAGTAGTTGGTCTAAAATGCATGTTCAGAATGAAACATAACTTGCATGAAATTGTTTGAAAATGAGTATACTAAATTTTAAATGTTCAGTAATATTCAAACATGCCTACTATCCCACCTACAGTGAAATTGTTCAGCTAATTTACAAAAAAATTGTGTCTCATTCTGCTTTTGTTGGAGTTGGTTCTGCTAAATCAATCTAAAAGAAAACAAAAATGTATAGTTTTAAAAAAGAGCAAAGGGAATGCAATAATTTCCTTCTGGTATTTGGTTTTTTTCATTGCTTCACTGGAGGAAAATATAATCACTAACTAAAAATAAAGACGGCTCTTCAACATTTGTTGGTTCAAATCATATGGTCTATTATTACAAGTCTTGTACATAACAAGTTATAAAACAAGTGGGCTTGGCAAGCAAGCCAAATAATCACAAAAATGTTTATGCATGTACTAAAATGTTTTATTATTATCCAGGGGAGGGGGTGTGTTATACGGTTAAAAATGTAAGCTTAGTTAAAAATGTAAGCTTAGTTAAAAATGTAAGCTTAAGGGCATGGGCGGGTGATGAAAACCAAATTAGCAAATATGCTTTCAATGTTAAAATGGTTAAAAAAAACTCCAAGGTGGCAGCCATCACCATGGCAACTGCATGAAATTTTGGGCCTTTTATTTATTTTTTGACTTAACTCTTTGAGTTACAGGACATTTAAGACTTTTAAATAAATGTTATCAGGTTAATCTTTTGCTAATGGTACCCAATTAATAAGAATGCAACCATTTTATTTATTATTATTATTTATTTTTATTGGACCTACATTAATAAAAGGACAACACATTTATTTCCCCAGGAATGGCTGGCTCCAAATATCCATTCATATTGTTTACAGATGACAATTTTTCATCGCACCAATCTTGCGATGTTTTATTTCTACACGTTAAGAGTGGCCAGCAGGTAAATTGCTATCAGATACATAGCTGCAATTTCTTTTCTACATGCCCCTTTTTAAGAACATATATTATTACAAAGGAATTAAGATAGAAATCTAATGCGGCTACATGTTGTCACTAAATTTTTAATAGCATAATGTTTATTGCAAGATATAAGCACTATATAAGTAGGGTGACTTTACTTTTTGTGGAACCATTGTCAATTGCCATTAACTAAATCTAAAGTTTGTATTGTTGCACTTAGGCGTCCTAATAGATTTTATAACTGACCCAATTCCAAGTAAATAAAACATCTGTGTCCTAATTAACAAGTTACATTAGCATATTGTTGTGAAGAAAGGAAACTCAAAGACGCTTATGATAACATTCAGTTGTTAGGTTAGGTGAGGTTTGCCTGTCACTCCCTCTGGGACATAGGCCACTGACAAGGCTTTCCAGTTGTTACCAGTGGTGTATTTTTAGATATAACTCATTTTTTGGCTTCTGTATTGTGAATGGAGCAGGTAATAATAGATGCTGATTTCATCAGGGAAAAAAAAAGACATTTGAGCGCTGAATAGTAAAAGGAAAAATATAGTATTTGAAAACTTAGAGGGCCTTGGAAAAGTTGAACAATATTAATTAATTTATGATCTGCACTGCTATTCAAATATATTAGTTTGTGCTGTCAGCTTTTCCTAGATACGCAATTTCAAAGTTTTGGTTGATAAGCTCTTGCGTTAGTTAAACGTAAACAATATTGCCCAGACAGGGTAGTCTGTATGAAAACTTTGAGTGTATGTTGATCACAATCCGTACAGGTACAGTAGAACAACACTCTGCGATCACCCAGGTGTCAGGGGTGACATGGCACGTTAATGGGAGCAGCCTATATTTTCCATTTAATCATAGCTACCACAGTTTATTGGGATTTGGAATTATTTTAGATTTAAATTTCAATTAGTTTTAACACCAGAGAAATAACCACTGTGTTATCAGAGAATGTCCTTAATTTAATTTGACTGTGTACTCAAGTAGTACCACTGGGCCCCTGTGTAGGGTGCACTCTACCACCGAGGCGCCACTATATTAATTTTTCATATTTTATATATAAATATAGATTAAACTGGTTAGCTACTTATGTTTGCGTTGCTGATGCCTATTGTAATACTTCATCATTCCTTTCTCTTCAGGTTGACCATCATTGGATTTTGTTGCAGCTTACGTAAGCAGTTTTTGTGAAGCGCCAACATAATTGGTTCAAGATGCGTACCAAAGTAGAAAAAAATCACAAAAAGGCAGCTGAGGAGAAGCTAAAAATAAACCTGCCTTCTCCGAAGGTGGTTTTGAATGCAGATGAATGTGCCAGGTATCTTGATGGTACTGGAAAAACTTCTGTTTTACTTGTTGAAAAGGGGGGCAAAATGGTAGCTGCTACAACTATAACTTCAGATACTTCAGCTTCGGAAAAAAATCATTTAAAAGATGAGGCAGCAAAAACGACAAAAAGCTTGGAAAAATCAGACTGTATTAAACTGGATGCTAAAACAGTGAGTAAAGATGCTAATAATGCCACAGCTAATGTACAAAAAGAAGAGGCTCCAAAGCCAGCTAAAGATATTCTTAAACCTCCAAAGAAACGAAGGGGTATGGATAAAACAATAGAAGAGTCTGTTCAGAATACAGCAGTCCTCAACAATGGGGATACAGCTCCTCCGATCTCTCCTTTGAGAGAAGCTGTTGACACTGTTCAGAAGCCGCTGGTTAAAGCTGACTTACCTCATAAAGTAGACTCATCTCAGAAGCACAGTGTAGAAAGTTTACTGCAGCATCAACCAACCTCTCTGGTCTCAACTAACAATCTGGTGCTTGGAAGCTACCCCCATCATTCATTTGATCCAAGGACACATCATCTACCATCCACATTTCCATCATTGCCATCTAGTAATTCAGAAGTCATCCCCCCTTACCATTTAACCTTAGCCCAGCCACCCTCTCAACTCTACACTCACTGTTCATTTAACCCTACCAGCAATAGCCAGACAACACTTGGGTATACTGTCAACAACGGCACTCCACAAACTTTTACAAATAATATCAATCCAGCTACGCCAAGCCTCACTTACTTGAGCAATCAGGTTTCCAATTCTTCAACACAACCTCTCCTGGTGCCAGCCAGTAACAGCATGCCACGCTGCTCAAACTTCCAGCAGCTTCCTGAGCAGGAAGAGCCCATGAACTTATCCAAATCATGCAAACCCGCCCTGGGTCTTGTAACACTTCAGTCTCATTTCACTCCCAGCTTGAATGAGAGCAGGACTGCAGAAGATGTCTCTAAGATTCTTGTCCCAGCACAGAGTCTTACCCTCCCACCCGAGTCTCAGCTAGATAAGCATATACAAGTGTTACCCAAACAGAAAGGTGAGGTTAAGAAGTCCAAAAAGAGAAGTGCCAAAACACAGCGGGCTAATCAAATTTCCTCGGAATCATGTAACTTGCCTCCTGAGGCTGCTGAGTCAGGTAAAAACACATCAGGTAACCAACCAGAGCTTGCCAGCTCATTAAAAAGTGAAGTCAATTTGACAAGTTCTGTTCAATGTGAAGATAATGTGTCGTCTATTAAAGATGATGCTATTTCTTTATCTCAAGTGCCAAATCAGACTGTTGGAGATGATGTGAAAAATGATGAAAATCTGCCCAGTGTTCCCACTAAAAATCCAGACAATTTATCCAGTCAAGCTGATACATCGGCTGTCCCACAGCCTACCACGCAGTCAACAGAGGATGACCCGTCCTTACCTGTAAAGGGCAGTGCGTCTGACCCTGTTGTTCCAGATGTACCTTCAGTCTGTGAAGCTGATCCAGTCCAGAAAAGTAAACGATCTCACAAGAAAAAAGTAGATGTTCCAATGGATGAGGTGTCATGTGCTAATAGGATGTCCAGATACTTGCTGACCATTGAGCATGTTATTTCAGATTTTGTCTACAATCCTGAACCAATTGAAGAGTTTGCGTTGACTGAAGAAGAAGCTGCAACCATTAGAGATCAGTTTGAAGATAATCATGACACCAGTGCCACTAAAGACATGCCAAAAAATGAAACTTCTTCAGCTGACCCCCCTGTTGCTGCAGTGAAGTCTCAAAATGAATTACCCTCTGAGAAAACAGCACCAGCAAAGTCTGCAAGGCCGCCTAAGAAAAGACCAAATGTATCTTTGCAAAAATCTGATTCTTCTGGCCAGGGTTCAGAGGTGAAGAAAAATGATACTAACATTGATAGTGTTTTAGCCTTTGTAGCAGCTGATGTCTTTAACTCAACACCTCCAGTAGAAAGTGGTCTTGGGGAGGTAGAAAATGTAAAGAAAGCTAAAAAAATCCCTGCAAAGAAAGAATCACCTCCAGTAAATGATTCAGTTCAAGATCAGTGTGAAAGTTTACCAAATAATCAAAATATTACAGATAGTAGTTGTCCGCCTGAAGAAGTAAAATCCTCTCCAAATGAAACAGTGGCAGATGACACTCCTGGTGAAAGTGTGGCAGCTGGTGTTGTTATAGATGAAAAAAAGAAAGCCAGTAAGCCTAAAAAGGTGCAGAAGAAATCCAAAGATGTAGATAAAGCCCTGAATGTATCAGTCCACAATGATCAGGTGGTAGAGGCTGACCAGGATAAAGCCACACAGGAGTCTCCGGTGAAGAGAAAGAAGAAGCCAGGAGATAAGCCCAAGCTACCTAAAAAAAAGAAAGAAACCTCTCCCCCTATTGTGTCCAGTGATTCTGCCCCTGTTTCAGATCAGGACACGGCTAACAGAGCAGAGACATCTGATATAGGGGAGAGCATAGCTTCAACGTCCGGTGCTTCAGAACAAGACACGCCTGTTCATGAGTTGGAAATAAAAGAGGAACATACTTGTCTAGACACTGAGTCGATTGATAAGGAAAATCAGGACACTGGATTAGAGAGTGGCGGTGACGAGAACAAACCTGTGAGGAGATACAAGAAGAGGTTAGACTTTGTCAAGTGCAGTCACTGTGAGCACCAGGCTAGGGGCAGGTCAGCACTGAGCCGGCACATGAAGAAGGTTCATATGATGGATGTTAACATGCCCTACAAGTGTAGTCACTGTGACTATGGCTGCACCAAAATGGCGTCCCTCAACAGACATCTGTTCACACATGGGGTGTACCCCTGCTCCAGGTGTAATTTTGTGTCTGATGAGAGGGCGAAGCTGTCTCAACATGTGATGGAAGAACACAAAGACAAGCTGGATATGAAACTGTGTAAAGTGTGCAATCGTTATATCAAGTGTGACAAAACGACTATTGAAGCTCATACTGAGGCATGCCAGGGACCAACACCATTCAAATGTGCTGAGTGTGAGAAGGAGTTTAAATATGCCTCTTCATTGAGAGTGAGTAGCACATTGGCTTTTGTAACGTCACTTGCATAAGCTGTTTATTTTTATGCTATTTTAAACTTAATGCCAAGGATTTGAAAAGCTACAAAGAAAGAGAAATTTCTAAATCTGTAATTTTTCAATCTGACACTTAGCTCTAGGAATATATTTTTAAAAAGTAAAAAAAGTAAAGTAAAGTTTCCCTTTCAAACCTGACAGTCTATGGGGCAAGTGAAGTAGAGTTCACTTGTTTCTGTGACCTCGGCATATGAAGAGATAGTGTGGTCAACACTATGCCCAGCCGCCTTTACTCTCCCTAACGTGAGTTAGATACCCATCAGAGTTGGGTGGACTCAGGGACGGTCTACTGACTTGAACCCGGATTCGAACTCGAGACTAACGGGTTAGTAGTCCAGCTCTCTACCGCTAGACCACTCCGTCCCATAATATATATTTTTAGTGGCTGAATTTAACTTTCAAACTCTGAAGCTAGCTACTTACCTCATATATTTACTGTTTTTTGTGAGTCTCTGTCTCTTATATCCTTTGGTTTTTCTTAAAGTTAATTATTTTCTTTTTTTTTAACTTCATTTTATATTTTGAGGCAAAAATGTTTTCTAAAATAAATCAGACTCTAGAACAGTCAATTAAGGCAGAGTTCAGAGTAAAGGAATTATTTGTGGAGGCCTGTAAATGTGATTGAAGTCTTGGGGCACGATATGACTACCTTGTAATCCACTTTGAAGGTTGTGCTCATATATTTTCACTTTTGTTTTGTGTAGGTTCATTACCACACCCACTTCCCTGACCAGCCAAAGAAGTTTCAATGTGAACAGTGTGGGTACAGGACTAACTACAAAGCTAACTTGCACAAGCACCACAAAAATATGCATGCATCTAAAGACAGGGACGTGCAGTGTCCAGACTGTGGCAAACTTTTCTCTACTGAGGACAACATGAGGAGGCATAGGAAGGTAAATTATAATTAGTCATAGAAGGGCGGTCATTTTTTAACAGTTTTTTCAGTTTTAAAGTAACAAATATTGACATTATACACCAGTTGTTTTGTTTAAAAATCAAGGAATTTTTTAAAAAAGAGGCATTATACAATTATATAGCATTGAAAAATATAGGCCAGTCACACTCATTCAGCTTAAATTAATCTCAGTGAATTGTTGTCGTCAATGAAATAATATCCACAATAAACAAATGTATCACCATATACATTACTTAAGTTACATTAATTCTTATTTTAGACAAAATGTAGTAAAAATATAGTTGAAAATAGAACACCCCTTCCTCTGTGTTTCAAAATTTTTGTTCTTCATTCTTAATTATAATGTTGAACGGTGTTTCCTCCCAACACAATCAAGTATTACATGTCAACTTGTTATGTGCCTTTGATTCCTATTCAGCCTACTTTTCTTTTTGGATTTGCTTCTATGGTCTTTGTTTATGAAAGGCAGCAGTTGTTTGATTTTGGAGTCTTCTCTCCTAGATGGGTTGCTGTCCCTAGCTGTTGAGTCTCATCTGCCGGGGGGGGTTGGAATTTTGGAACTTCCAATAGCAACTATGAGCTTTACCGGCCTGATACACACACTTGTTTAAAATGTAGACTATTAAATAGGGTCTAAAAACTATAGCAAAGTTGAATTTTTTGAAAATTGTTGCCTATTAGTAAAGTAGCAGACGGACACATTTTTACTGTTGTAGCAACATTTACATAATTAACTTTAATTGTTTTATACTTTACATGTAAATTATAAGTTACACTCACCGTGAATCAATTTAAAATTCTATTTAACCAACCATCACATATAGATGTTCATATTAAAAATATATCAGGCCCAATTAACAGGAAAATATAACTAGAACAGGCCTAACAAAACTGAGGGCAGCATACAGACTGTTAAAAAACAATTTAAATTGATTTAAATGCTTTTTAAACCATTATTGAGCATAAATTCTGTCAACGTATTAACATAAAAAAAAAACTAAATAAGTCTTCCTATTTAAAATTTAAGCTGGATAAAGTTGCTCAATTGTTATGAGAAAACAGGTACAAGCAGTAAAAAAAAATCAAGGAATGCAAACATTCAAATGATTTTATTATATACTTTTAAAATTTACAATTATTTCTAAAAGTTTGTATCAAGATTCATGCTCTTGATATAAATCTTCTAGGAGCTCCTGAAAACCACATACAATTTTAAAAAAAAAATCTCTTGGTATTCTTCAGAAATCACTGAAATAACTTACACCTTTGATTTTATTTCTAGGTTCATACATTGGTTCGACCCTTTGCATGTGAGACATGTAAAAAAACATTCAAAACTTCCGGAGCACTTAAAGGCCACCAGCTTATCCATACGGCTACGAGACCATACTCGTGCAACATCCCTGGCTGTAACAGGAGCTTCAGGACCCCCAAGTTCCTCAAGAGCCACCAAGAAGAGTTTCACAGACTAGTCCCCAAAAAATTCTTCTGCTCTGTTGATGGCTGCAATTATTCTTTCTTTAAACGGAGCCATCTGAAACGTCATGCCATCACACATACTGGCAAGTATTTTATTTGATAAGAAAATCACCAGTTTTGACGGTAGTTTTGTAATGGTTGTTAAAAACTTTTCCTGTTTTCTTCCTGTAGGAGAACGCAACTTCCATTGTACTTGGCCGGGGTGCAGCAAGTCCTTCCGTCATGCGGACAACCTGAAGGTCCACTTCCGCTCACACAGCAATGAAAAACCTGTGCACTGCAACCTGTGTGAGTTCAAGTGTAAGCAGAAAAACTCTCTGTTCTGGCACAAGAAGAAAGTTCACCAGGTCATCGACGCCTCCGTTTGTCCCCGGCGGTTGGGCAGCAAAGTGAAATCCATGGAGGCTGACCAGGGTCACGACCTCAGTGAGTCCACTCAATCAGATAGTGATAACGTGGCTATGGCTGATGAAAAAACATCACCAGCTTTGTTAAAAGAGAACAATACAGAGAATTCCATCACAAAACCAGGTGATTCGTCTGATGAGACTAAAGTTGACTTGAAAGAAAATGTAACAGAGGAAGGTAAACAAGATGGGGCTGAAAAATTGGTGGTCAAAGAACAAAGTATCTCCACACAAACTCCTATATCATTAGACCGAGGTCCGAAAGATCTTTATGAGTTTAACTCTGATGATGAATCTGATGAGGAAACGCCAGGTAACTTTAGAAGGGACAAAACTGCCATGAATAGTTTGACCCCTCTTCCCCCTCCACCCAAAGAACTTTTACGAAAAAATGAAATATTAGAAATGAAAGAAAAAGAAAAGAAAGAAAAAGCAGAGAAGCGTGAACAGGAGAAGAAAGAGAAGGCTGAAAAGAAGGAGCAGGAGAAGAGAGAAAGGGCAGAGAAAAAAGAACAAGAGAAAAAGGATAAAGCAGAGAAGAAAGAACAAGAAAAGAAAGAAAAGAATGAAAAAAGAGAACAGGAAAAGAAAGAAAAGTTGGAGAAAAAAGAACAGGAGAAGAAAGAAAAAGCAGAGAAGAAAGAACAAGAGAAGAAGGAAAAAGAAGAGAAAAAATTATCTGTGAAGAAACCAACCAAAAGAAAGTCTGATTCTTCTGAAGTTCCTCAAGAAGATGTTGAAAACACTCAGGAAGTTATTGAAGAGAAAAAAGGAAAGAAAGTGCCACCAAAACGCAAAAAATCAACAACAAGCACAACTAATGAAGTGGTTGAAGAACCTGAAAAAAGCACTCGCAACAATAGAAAAAAGAGATATCCAGAAAAATCAAAGAACAAAAATGAAGAAATTGAAGAAGTGCATGAAGCTTCTCCCCCAAAACGTAAGAAATTATCTCCCAAGAAAGAAGAAGTCACACCCATATCTTCCTCAAGAGCCAAGAAAGCTCCAGTAGTTAAAGTACAGAGCAAGAAGAAAGTGATCCCTCCTAAGAGAAAGCCCAGTGCAAGAATAAGAGCCAAGAAGAAAGCCACAGCCAAGAGTAAACTTCCAGTGAAAGCTGCAAAATCTGTAAAGGTTGTACAGAAAAAGAGGTCACTCAGAAGAAAATCCTCACCAAGAACAAATGAGGAGGAACCTGAAGCAGATTTAGTTGAAGAACCTGAAGTATTAAAAGATGAACCCAAAGTAGAAGAGAAAAAGAAATCCCCAGGTAGAAAAAGTGAAGAACAAACTGAAGTAAAAGTGAGCACTGAGGAAGTGTCAACAGCTCCTGCTCGTCCACCTTCTCCAGCCTACTCCGAGGAGATCATGCTGCAAGGCAAGGCCAGTCCTTACAGAGATTTCTCTGATGCTGAAACTTTGGAAGAGGGCTCAGACAGTGAAGACACAGAGGAAAAACCTGAGACTCCTAAAATAGAAAAAGCTCAGTCTCCAGCCATGTCTGAGCCAGAGGTGGTTCAGAAAACTGAACTAACTGAAGCTGTGGAAAATACAGAGTACAGTGAGGACAAGTCAGTCCACGATCATGCAAGCTCTGTGGATGAATCTTCAGACGATGAAGTTAGTAACGACATACCGCTGACACCACCTCGAGCTCCTGCTCCGCCTCCAATGGAGAGCTCTGAGGATGAAATGGAACCCGAGGTAGAACCTGCTCCGTTTTCAGTACCTGGTCCTAATACTCCATTTTCTGTTCCTGGGCCCAATACACCCATCTCCGTCCCTCCCTCCAACAGTATCATGCAGCAGCATTCAGTGCACTCCGAAGATGCTCCCATGTCAGCTGTTCCATCAGTTCCTTCTATGGAAATGCATTCGCAAGGCTCAGTTGAAATGCAGCAGTCTCTGGGTTCAGTTGAAATGGCTCATCCACATGGCTCTGTTGAAATGCATCACCCTATAGGCTCTGTGGAGATGCACCATCCCAGGTCAGTGGAGATGCACTCACACAACAACTCAGGAGATATAAGATCGCATGGGTCAGTGGAGATGGTCCAGTCTCACGGCTCTGTTGAGATGCACGGGTCTATACAAGAACCAATGTCACAGCCAGACCACCGACTAGCTTCTGTCAGGTCACCAGAAAGTTCCGGTAGAGATGCCAAGTATGAAATGCTTCCACCAATGCATGATCAGACTTCAGATGCTGACAAAGAGTTTTTTGATCAGTACCTCAAGAACCTCAGTGCAGCTAACAATCGTGCTGCCAATGGGGGGTTGGAACACCCTCCCAGTGGCTTGAGAGAGTTGGAAGCCATGGTTGGAAAATCTGAAATCCCAGACTTGGGGAGCAAATCCCCCATCAGCTCACTGCCAACAAGTGTTATCACCAGCCTAGAGAGCACTCTACCCATCCTCACCTCTGGTGACCTGCGGGCTAGAATGGATGCTTATGACAGACACCATGAATCTCTGTACGTCAGGGACACACCTTCCTCCTTGGCCAGGCTCTCTGATCGCCAGTCTCCACTACCTCCCAACCCATCTGCAGCATTTGATGCATTTTCTTCTCTCAACTCTCTTCACCCTGGTGCTGCTGCTGGGGGTAGGGAGAACACTTTCCTCAGACAACCTGAGAATCTGTTCCCCACTACGCCCGTCAGCAACAGCTTCATGGCCGAGGCCATGTTTCAGCGGCAAGCCATGACAACTCCCTTCCTCCCCCCACAGCCGAGTGACCGGAGCAGTTTATCACGGATCCCGGACACGACCCCCCTGCGATCCAACTCTTCCTCCTTGCTGCGGCGCTCAGGCCCCATGCCAACAACTGACATGTTCACACCACCCACAATGCCTCAGGCCATGCCTAGAAATCCATTCACCAATGCTTGGGCCAGCCAAGAAGCCAGACCGGCTCACTGGCAAACACCATATCTCCCTCGCCAGCCAAACATGACCTCGGCTGGCTCATTTTTTCCTTCCAAAGATAACTACCTGACAGGAAGAGAGTTCATGTTTGATCCATCCGTCCGACCATCCACAGAACGAGGCATGTTCCCTTCTCTCTCCACTGGTCAAACTCAAGACTCTTTCCAGCTTGATAGATTTGACCTGAGCAATTATTTTCCAAACGCCATGCCACATTATGGCAGTTCAACTGGAAGCTTGGATTACGGTCGACCCACACACCCTGCTGCAGCCAAATCCTTTGATGAACGTTACAGGCAGTCAGCATCTGCTGGGATACCAGACTTCCGGGGCCTGCCGCCATCCACTGGCTCCACTGATATGTTTACTGGACTCTCTGGCGTCAACAGTAGTTTTAACTTATATGCTAGCAACCCCATGTCCTACCACACACAGCACATGACAGACAATGTAAATAGTGCATTCCTGACACACTCAACATCAGCACAGCATGCCATGTTTGAGAGGGATTACGCAGCAGCCCACAGGGGGCTCTACCCACAGAACTCCCCGTACCCATTTATTGATGAGCGGCAGTATGGCGCACCCTCTAAGCTCACACACTCCCACCCCGTGGCACCCACCCCAGCACCGCAGGAGAGAGACTTGATGAGCAGGTCTGGAGCTCCTGAAGCCCAGATGCAAGACCCATATCGCAGCATGCTGTACAGGTACTAGTTTCATAGTGTCAGTATTTGGAGTGCAACTCACTGTCAGCTCTAGAGAAGCTTTGTATTTCTACACCTACTCTGCTAAAATTTAGCCTGCAGAACTTATTCAAAGTCTTGCTATTTTCTAAATATAAAGTGGGTTAAAAGCTTGATAAACTTTTTTAACTGTTGATCTGAGGTTGAAAGATGATTGTAAGGTTCGTGCCACAGAAACAAATTATTGTATTATATTAGAACATATTGGACATGATGTAAAAACTATATATATTTAATGTATTGATCATGCCTTTTTAACTTACGACTGGAGAGAAAGGCAATGTACACTGTAAGCATATTAATGGGTTTTGCTTTGTTGGTTTCTTGTAAATACTTGTATTGTGTTAAACTAGCAATAACATTTTGTGAACTTTTTCCTTCTGGCATGGCTATGTGTGATATATATGCAACTGTAACTTAATTATTGAAACCACATTGTTTAAATTTTCTTTAGGTGTAATTTGGTGTTAACAGGAAAACCACAATTGAATAGATTTTTGTTTTCTTGCCCTAAATGTGTACAATAGCATTGATTACAGTTTTTACATTGTTTTGAATCATGACTTTACCAATTTCAAATACAATGTTTTGAATCATGACTTAAGGGGGCAGTATCACCCAGACTAAGGGAGGAAAACAAAAATATTCACACAAAAAAAAATATTCGACATACACATGTCATAATTGTGCAGCAGTAGTAACGTTTCTTCTGCTATAATACAGTATATAAATTGTAGAATATATGTATAGCAACATATTTGCAAAAATTATTTTGTTAATATTTTATTACATTTTGAATTTTTGTGTAAACAATTTTCCGAAACCATAGGTAAAGTACTTAAAATTTGGTATAAACCTTCCTTGCGTTAATGGCTATCGTCGGAACTAAAATCATAGTATTCTAATGAGGGATACTTTTTATAGAAAATTTCTAAGTTCAATTTTTTTGGTCTGATTTTGAAAAATTCTAATAATTTCGAAATTTGTCACAATGGATATCTTCTAGTTCCAGCGATAGACTATCCTGTTATGCGTCTCCCAGTGTATTTTCAGCAGGAAGGGCCTAAACGTTGGAAAACCGCAGCCACAAAGTACTTAGTAAAAAAAATTTGGTTAAATTATTTATAAAAAATGTTTGCATCATATGTTAACTTTCTTTTATGTGCTATTTTATAGCTCCTTATTAATTACTATTATGGTAAAAAAATTATGTGTGTATGTGTAATAGTTTTTTTTGGCAAATTTTTTCGTCAATTTTCAAATGTCTGGGTGATACTGCCCCCTTAACCTATTTCAAATACCACTGTAAGATGTTTTTAAAAGAAAATGTAACTCTTGAACTCAAATAATTTTTCCTTGCATTTTAAAAATATGCTTATCAATTTGTATAAGATCACTTCAAATTCAATAAGACTTTTTTAAAGCTATATACAGCTTTGTACTTACAAATTTCATATTGTATTTTTTCCTCCTTACCTATTACTCTACATTGACTGTACTAGTTTACTTGTTATGTAAAATAATACTTGCAAGAAATTTTTTTTAGTAAATTCTTCTATTGGTCTTTAACTATAATGTTCTTCTGTAACAAGCTGCATCAAGTCTTCAGGTGCCAAACTTAGAGCAGTTCATAGCATAATTTAGAGGGCCGGTGGTTAAACTTCTCTAGCAGTTATATTGTTGATAATTAAAATGAACAAAGTTTTTTTTTTATGTTGACTTCTGCTAAACCTAGTGGGTTTTACTTTACAACTTGAGCTAATCTAAAAGTAACGTTTACACACAGTTCATGTTTTAATTTTTATTTAATGGAGTAATTTGTACAAAGCCGAATAATTATACTAAATCTTATACAAATAAATGTTGCTTTATTAATGGTCTATTGACTATACTTAAAAGCTGTTTTCTATTTGCTTTAGGCTACATATTTTGTCATTTAAATTTTTTAAAATAAGATTTTATTATTTTTTGCCTCTTTTTTAGCTTTAATTTTTAATTATACATCCATTTATTTTAAAATTTTTATATCATCTGAACCTCTAATTTAACTTAATTCCAATTAGAGTAGTTGCAGTTGGGTAATCTTTTCTAATAAGTTTTTATTTTAAACAAAACCCTATTTTCTTAAGATCACGTTGATTCCAGTTGTTTTTTTTTAAATCATATCTGTAAATATTTGGACTAAAGAATACCTTCAGGATCAAATTTTAAACTATTTTTAACACCCTTACTGATTTAAATTTTCTAGCAATTTGATTTCGTATATTTAAAAAAATTTAGCTTGTCTTTCTTCAAAACGTAAACTAATGTATAATTTCCATAAATTTACAGTGTTTTAAAACGTCACTCATAGAATAATTCTGCATTTTATAGAACATTTTGCTTTAATGTGACTCAAAACTATAAAACTAATTATTTTTGGAATAGATTTTTGCCAGTTGCATTATAACTTGTTTAATGTACATGTCAATTGGGTCTACTTTTCATTTTAAAATAAATTTCATCGGTCCAGTGAATTCTGAGAACTAAATTCAGGCTTTGTGTGATTTTCAATGACATGAACATTCAGTGTTCAGATTCTTTTTTTTTTTAATTCAAACTATTAAATCTACTAACTCTGTTTAGTTAGGTTGACAACCTCCATCCAGCTCAGTTGAAAAACTTTAATTTTTTTCTGTGCTTACTTCCCTTGTGTAACCTTTGGTGTAATTTGTAAACAAGATCTGATATAAAAAAAATACTTGTGTTTCAAATGTTTATTTATATTTTATTTTTTAATTATTTTTTTATTATGGCAATGTCATACAAGTTGTGGGTGTGAATTAAGATGTAATTTTTAAAAATCTTTTATTTGAACATGTGCCCAGTATTAACCTTAAATAAGTGTTACTATTTACATTAAAATGATGTCCACATTTTGAAAGTTAATTTTACTTTGAGCTTATATACAGTTTTAAAAAATGTTGGTTCATATAATGTGGCAGCAAAAAAATTATTAACTAAATTAGGTTTAATGAAACGTTCTGAATTCTGTTAGTTTTTTTTTAACTACAACAGATGTACAAAGTCAGTTCCTGTTGGAGCAAGTAAAATGACTTGATGAGACATTCTGTTTTTTTTTTTTCATTATCATGTGACAGTGTAATATCTCTATAGATTGCAGTTTGCTATAGTCTTTTTAAAGCACTTGTGTATAATTTTAATATAAAAACAGCAGTTTCTATTGACATAATATTAGTGAGTACAGAAATAAATTAGTCCCCATGACAGAGAGTGATCATCTGTTTGCCTTGCTAAACATTAGCATTGGTTATTTTTTTGTTTAATTTATTAATTGGCTCATTCTTCAAATGCATCCTATTATATTCAAATACCTTTATTGTAAGATGTTTTATCTTGATAGTAAGAGCATTGTGATAAACATCATTCTGCATCGATGCTCTCTATCAGTGACAATAATTATAGGGTGTTTTCTAGTGAGATGAGTGTTATTTAATTAGTGGCACTGTTAAATAGTGGCAATTTTACAAGCTGCACTGTTTTTTAAATAGTGGGAGTGTTTTACTGGCTTGCGATGTTGTTTAAATGGTGGAAATGTTTTACAGCGTACGCTGTTGTTTGATTGGTGGGAATACTTTACAGGGTGCGCTGTTGTTTGAATGGTACAGTTCTTTCAAAAAGCCGCAGTTGTTTTGATTCTAATTAACTTTATTGTCCACTGTGGAATTTTATTCTGGGATGCCCATTGTTTCTTAATAAATAATGTGATTATATTTACACATGGTGATTTTAATCAAAGAAATATGTTTACACACTACCAAGCTTACAGAGGTTGGAGCTGTATCTTACAAATAAAAGTATAGAGCCACAACTGTATTTTAAAAGAACAAATATCTCTGGATGACAGGTGATTTTTTTCTACCGATTATTTTCTATCAGTTTTATTTTTTTTAAATTCTGAGGTTGTTTTTTTTTTTGTTTTCATTATAAAAAAGAGAGCCTACAGTGTTGAAGAAAACATGAATGCATGTTCTCCGAACTATCAGCATTGGTCCATCATAACAGATTGTAAATAGCTGAGTTTATTTTGTATCATTTGAGGTTATATTTGAACTGGCTGTGAAAATATTTGTGTTGTAGTTCATTTCTTGCAGTTTGTGATTTCACCAGAGAGGAAATGCAGCACAATATTTTGCTATTTTTAGAATTTTTTTTTTTATATGAATGGTTGTTAAGGGCTATTGTGTTACTCAATAGCTTTTGTGGGCTGACATTTCTTGTCTAGAAGCGAACTTTTTATAACATTCTATTTTTACTCACTGATTTAATTTTAGTGTGCTTGATAGATAAAGTGGAGACGGAATCAAATCTTCTGTACACAAAAGAAAGCTATGTATGTTGGATGTTAAGGTTAGAAAAATGACACCTAAAACCAGGGTAGAATGTACTATTCTCTTCTAACAGCACACTCTAGGCTAGAGCTTAAGGTCAACTCGGTAGAGTAGTGTAGCTACTGTTAACCTACTTAAGTCTTAGTCAATGACCTTCTTTGAGACCTAATTGATTTGAGGCATAATTAATTTCTGATATTCCTGGGGGGAAAGAAATTGTAGGCATATTTGCACTAGGTTGTGTTTGTTCTTGTAGCATAAATTGTATTACAAAACATGTAAACAAGTTCCACTTGATTTCTCTTTGATCACTGTAGAGCAGGTTGAATAAATTCAGGGGAGATAATTCCAAAATAGACTTAATTTTCTAGATTTAAATGGTAATTTCTTATTGTAATGGCCAGTTTAAAAAAAAAACTTGTTCTGGATTTTTGTTGGCAACTTAATGTGAACATTTTCACAGTAATTAATAAACTTCCGTTTTAAATATAAGGTTCAATTTAGTTTCCTTAATATAGAGGGTAGGAGACAAGGATGTGCACCATGTTGAAGCCTAGGTTTAGGGTGAACTACAATAATTTTAACAATAGGAATAGTTTGGTCTTGGCCAGGTGCTGGGACTTGTTATGCCAGGTTGTCAAATATTTAAACTATAATATCAACTTAATTGCATAAATATTTTTCTTTTTTTTTTTTAAATTGGAACTTTTTACATTTTTTTCTTTCATTTTTTTGTACATACAAATATTTTTTATTAAATGTTTAACAAAGCATAATACAATGTATATGAGGAGAAGCATATTTTTTTTTTGTGTTCAGCATTTTGAAGAAAAAATTGTTGTTTGATACATGTACAAATATAAATCATATATACACTATATACTAAATCATTACAGTGTGATTCAACTATTTTAATGTGCATATTCCCCCTGTGTAAATACGGTTATGTTCCCTGCTGCTTTAAGGAAGAATATCTTGTGTGAACCACACTATATACTGTGAATGATTGTATTACTCTCTAGTACTCTCCAATAGGCCTGTGTGTGATTGTTGTACAGTCGGCTGTTCTAGAACTATCCTAGCTTTTCTCTTCATTGTTCTCTGTAGTTTGGACATCGTAAATGTACATGTCATTAGATAGATTTTCATTTCATAATAAAAGTCATCCATAAAGATGGGAGGAGTTTGTTTTGATATTTTTTTTCATCCTCCCACAATGCACGGTTGAGTGATTTTTATTGAGTGTGTCATGTTGGAGGTGTGTTCTGGGAAGATGTGCTTTGTGTCGCCAGCAGACAGGTGGCGGCAGGTCCGTGGTGACCTATTATGGGGAGAGTTGAGAGACCGTGTACACACGTCAGTGGTGCTCACACCTGCCACCGGCACCACGTCTTCACTTAACCAGCACAGGTGTACGTGCTCAATCAACATCAAAGCTCATGTGACGTTTTGGTACGTCAAGGTCAAAGTCATCAAGTTAATTACTAAAGATACTTTCCATATGTTTATACTTTTGGGGTATCAGTCGTTTGATATATGTACCCACAGTTTGAGATCCACTGGTTTCAAATGTTGCTCTTTTCAACCGTGACGTTTCCTCACTAATGCTAGCACAGTTATCGTCCCTGATGTCAAGTTTTAGAACTACCTCGCAACAAAATGTCCTCCACTGCGCTTTTAAGGTGTTTAAATGTTATGACTTGAGCTTGTGTGAAGAGGGGGTGAAGTGGGATGAATAATGTTTACATTGGGCGAATACTTTTTCTTTTATGTGAGATTAACCACTAAATTGTTGTAAGGGGTAGTTTAGTCCCGCGGGCGATGAAAACCTAATCGAGAATGCAATGCAAAGAGCACATAGACAAATCCTTGCGATTATGAAAACATTTAAATTACATTTTGTATCAACGCTTGTGTTTTTTTGAGGTTTAATGTATAGAAACATAACTTTCCATCTCTGTAGTGTAAGTTATTTCAACATCCTGTTTTGTGCCTGCCAAGGGTATGTGGGTACCAGTTTGTATTTAAATAAATCTGGCAACATACTATTGCCGATCCTCATGTGACATTCCAACACACACAAAATGGCGCTGTTCGCTCCTAGTTCTCGTGACGTCACGATTCTTCAGATCTGCTTTTAAAATAAACCGGGAGTGATCTCCCCTAAACTTTCTCGAATATTCTTATATAAAATAACAGGGGATGGGAACTCGGGCTATAGACATGATTTTTAATCCATGTTAAATACTTAAAGTTTTAAAAATAGAATAAAATCTCGTAGACAAATTAATTGCACACCAAGTGAACGCGAAATAAAAAAGCGCATAATAGTGCGCAATATTATTATTACTTTTAAAATTTACATTAGTTTTTTGAGAAATCGGAAGTAGCGTAAAGTACCACTTCCAGTCAACGGAAATGACTCAAAATTTAATAGAAGGTAGAGAATTAGATCTTTTACTTACGTATGAAATTTCATTTATCTATCTGAAATAGTACTCAAGTTATAGGCGTTTGAAAAATTCAAAGTAGGAAAAGTACCACTTCCGGTTATCGGAAATCGCTCAAAAGTTGATACGGATCTACGATTTTGATTAAATACTTATATATGAAATTTCATCAACCTAGCTGTAACGGTACTCAAGTTATCGTGTTTACACACGGACACACACACACACACACAGACACACAGACATACGGACAAGATTGCAAAATTATGTTTTTCCGTATCAGTGAGATGCAAAACGTCGAGATTTGCAAAAATCTCGATTTTTTTTTTTGCACGATTACAAGACTTTCTCTATACTTCGTATATACGAGAAAGTAAAAAAGCAGTTCAAAACTTCATTTAACATTTAAAATGTGTTTGTTAGTCTTCAGTTTTCAAAAGAGTAACAAAAGGGGGAAATTTGATAATAATAACGCATAAATAAAAACAGGCTTAATAACAACCAACTTTGAAATACGCGAAAAAGAAATGTTTTTTAATAGCTATAATCACAAGTGCATTGGTCGCTAAACATCCAGGCTGTAAAAAGATTTCTTGAGCGATCAAGCTTTTAAACTAAAGAAATTGTTTGTTTTTTCTTCGCGAGCATATTCTTATTTTAGTATTTACGGTCTAGTGTGGTAGAAATAAAATATTAGTTTGATGTCTACGTTAAAAAACAAAACAACAAAAAACCAATGGACCTACTGTGCTCCGTGTTATTTCCTAGTCTATTTCAATCAAAATAGTAGTTTAGCAAAATTTCCCTTTAATAGCCGCGAAACTCGCATCTAAAATTCGCTATTGATTTGTAAACAATATCAATATTCATGAACATCAGCTCACCAGGCCGATAGAGTGATTGATCATTACTACCACATAGTTATCTCCCTTTAGTTATCCCATTAATTTCAATGACTGATTTTTATCTCTAATTAGATTGAAAATGAGAAATTGTTTACTTGTCATTGTTGACGAAAGAAATCCTCTTTTAGAAATGGATCAAAAATTACTTGACAACCAGACAGCCAGACAGACATTACCACTAAGTATTGTGACGTATGGTTGGTCACACATGACCACCAGGTATTGTGACATGAAAAAGCTTGAGAAAACAAAAAAGTCCAACAGGAACTAACAACCCATATCGCAGTTGTTATCATTGTTTCAATCAGCAATTGGATTAATATTTGAATTAGCTCTTATGTCAGAGGCAACTATTCTAAGAACGTGCATTGAAAGAATGTCTCGCAAGCAAAAGGAAACGTTATTTTATGATAGTTAAAACTAAAACGACTTTTTTTTCAAACACAGCAAATGTAATCTGGTTAAGTGTAGGGCCCATGACTTAAAAATGTCTGTGAACAGACAATTAAATTAATGAGGGAATGGAAAACCCCACATTTATTATTAACCCCACGTGTACATTATATAAGGTAATTTCTTTTTGTTTATTAATTGTAGTTTACAACTTCAGTTCACAAGAACGTGATTGTTTTGCTAGTGTTTCTTCCAGACTTTTTTCTCCGGGGGGGGGGGGGGGCGATATATATATATATATATATATAAATTATATTATATATAAAAATTAAGAACGAAGAAGACATTCATATGCCGAGGTCACAAAAAGACACACACACACACATATGAATGTCTTCTTCGTTCTTAATTTTTAGTGTTGGAAGGGATCGAGCTTTATCTGCCAGAGGGTTGAACTCGAGACTTTTTCGAATTTATCAACCATGAGCTTTTGCCGACTCGACCACGCCTCCATCACAATTAAGGATACGTGTCAACTGGTTATGTGCCATTGAGGCCATTGACTCCTATTTCAGCCTGCTTTTCTTTTTGAATTTGCTTCCATAGCCTTTGTTCAACCAAGAACAAACTACAAGGCAGAAGTTGTTTGATTTTGGAGTTCTCTCCTAGAAGAGTTGCTGTCCCCAGCTCGACCACGCCGACCCCCTGGCATATGAATGGATAGTGTGGTCAGCACTATGCCCAGCCACCTTTACTTTCCCTAACAATAGTATTTCTGGCGAAAAATTCAGCTGTGACCTGTAATTACAATTGTAGGTCCATAAACGTGTTAGTCAAAGGGTTCAGAGAAACGTTGGATGAAAACAAGTGGGTAGCATTGATGTCTGAATTGCTGACACTGACCACAAAAACAAACAAAAATAATAATAAACACGAATCATTGTAACATGGTAACATTTTATTCAAAGTAACTTAAAAAATAACACGGACACGAATATCACACTGACAAATATCACACTAATATCATGCACGTGATCCTACTAATCACGTTAATCTCATGAAACTCACGCTAATCTCGTGTCTAACCTACAAGGAGACGACCGACTTGAACACATGGGATCCTTGGTGATATACACTAGCCATTCTACGGATTTCAATAGATAGGTCTTACATAAGATACATTCTTACTACTTTCTAGGGCTTTTCTCATACAAAACCATACAATAATCTAGTATATGACAGTAGCACTTCCTCCAGATTACACACCTGAATATACATGAAAGACAAGGTTGCCATAGTAACAACTGGATGGATCAGACATTACAATTAGATTAAATACTAAAATATTCAATGGCTCATACAATGTTGAATAACACGCGACATTAAAGCACATAGCATTTAGTCAACGGTTATTATCTTGGATACTAACACATATACATTGAAATAAATAAAAACCCGCTTTAAATAGAATGAGTACATAACATGTTATCTCACCACTCAATGACGGCCAAACGGTGACGTCACGGCTATGGTAATGAATAGGTTACATAAAAAATTGGATTCTTTACACGAGATAAATTACAACTGGAGCATGTATAGAGCAAGATGATGCATATTAGATGAAGAAGGATTTCTCTACATTTGATTATGGCAGAAAATAGACCTAACATTCTAGGAAGTATTGTACAGAGGGTTTAAAAATTTATTTACTATAATACTCAGTGTGATATACCAGTCACTTATTATGAAGTAATAACAAAATTACAAAATGAACATTTCTTTTGCTTTAAATTGCACTAAATGACACAAAAAACATGAGCAAAATGATGAATTTAAGATTCTTTAAAAACACTTTCTTGAAAAACGTGGCACATGTGTCAGGATAATTTTAAACAGTTAATAAATCTCTATATCTTGAGGAAAAACTGACATGGTGAACCTTTGGTTGGAAGATTTAGACTGGCTCTGGCCACATGACGTGTTGTCGTCTGAATCTTGAGGCGAGTCTGAGTTGAGCTCCAAATCTTTATCAGAAGAGTTGGTACACAAACTAAATGTAGACGAAGACAAGGCCCTCCCAACGAACGCCTCGTCACTGTCCACGTGGGTGAGGACGCCATTGTCACAGATTTCTCCCCTAGGTGCTGTATTGCCAGCTGGTGCTCCCAGCCTTCTGCTGCTGCTGCGTATTGAAAAGCTGCGTACAAGCTGGGGGGAGGCACTTTGTGGGCTGTGCTGGGCGTTGTCCAAGCGTTCGTTAGATCTGTTGATGAGAATCTGCTGTCTGAGCAGGCAGGTCCTCAGGAACTGGGCACAGCACAGACGGTTGTAGATGTTGGGCGTGTTGTTGTCCTCCCTCTTCAGGTATTCTATGTAGGCATCTGGTGGAGATAAAACAACAAAACTTATAGAGCTTGCTCCGTCAACTTTTTGTTAAAGTAGAAATGGTATGTAAAGGCAGTTACATTTTCGACACGTTTATGCAGCTTTGTTCGATAAAAACACGTTAAAGAAATATTGAGTACAAGGGTACAACCGTAGATATTTTTAAAATGTGCAACTAAAATTTAGGGAATCAATTTAATATGACGTTTAGATTTTAATCAGCTTTTATTATAGACTGAAGTCAGCTAATGTTAACTAAAGTTTGGCTTTAAATCAATTAATGTTAACTAGTTTAGCTTTGAATCAACTAATGTTAACTAGTTTAGCTTTGAATCAATTAATGTTAACTAGTTTAGCCTTGAATCAACTAATGTTAACTAAAGTTTAGCTTTAAATCAACTAATGGTTAGTAAAGTTTAATTGTCAAGTGCTCACCAAGCTGATTGATGTACGACTGTCTCTTGTCCATCCCGGGGGTCAGGTTCTCATTGCTGGACCCCAGGGGACGTTTCCTGGAGGATCTGTGTCTGGGTGGCGTCACGTTGTTGTTGACCATCGGCTCGTCGTCACTTTTATTGCTTTTTTTATTACTGGACGAGCTGTCAGATTTGCTACTGCTTGAGCTATTCTTTCTGAATGGCGCAGACATCCGAACCTTCTCTTTGAATGAAAGACTGTGTTCATTGCTCTTAGAGTTATTGTTCTTGTCCTTGCTGTCGAAGAGACTCCACAAGCTTTTACTTTTCTGAGATTTGTCCAGCCGCTGTAGGCTTTTGCTTTTGTTTTTGTGGATTTTGGTCATGATGGTCACCAGGTCGGGCTGGGTGACCGGCTTCTCCTGTCGGAGGTCCGACAGACTGCCGACGTTGTCCTCTCTCTTGGCCACGACGACGTCGGGCGGCTGGGAGAAGTTGTGGGGCAGATCCATGGTGCTCTTGCTCTTATCCTTGAGCATTTTTTTGTTCTTGCGGAAAAAACTAAAAGGCATGGTTGGTAGTGCTGGCGAGGATTTCTTTGAGATAAACTAGTCCAAAGATGTTTTACGCTTTTGCTTGATATTGGCTTGAAAACACTTGACCCTGTAAAAAAAAATATCGAACATTTAGAATAATTGTAAATAGTTTAGTTAAACATTTTTTTGCCCTATTAAGATTAACTTTTTTAAAATTAAAAATTGTAGGCTAAACAAAGCATTAACAAAAATATCTGAATAAAATAAATAGCAGGTGAAATTTCGAAAAATTAAAAAAAAAAAGTAACTAAAAACAACAACACCCATCTTAATCAACAGTGTTCACCATGTACCTTAAATAAAACAAACATTCGTGAAACGTTACAACATAGCCAGCCGCTTCAGGTAACAAAATACCGAAAGTCTTACACAAGTGCAACTATTTCCAAGTACCGAGTCATGAGACAACTGCGTGTTTTCTAACTGGCAATAACCGACTGAGGATGACTAGCACGCTTTATAGGCCTAGCTGCCCGAAATCACTGGGCCACGGCAGTAGCTGCCCTCGCTCGTATCACGGGACGCGCGTTGCCAGATTTTTCTCGTCGGAAAGTTCAAACCGCCGCGCACAGTTTTTGCCATGGGTTTTAACTGGGGCGCCAGCGGTGTCAATAAATGACATGGCGGAGAGATGGCCTCGGGTGGGAGGAGCTTCAGGTTCAATAACAAGTAGATGTATGTTTAACACGAGTTGCGGACCTTTAGTGTTAAGAGTACATCTGTGTATAATTGTTTACACAAAAATAAAGGTCTAACATTCCGAAAACGACTTAGTCTAGGCCTACAATTAAAATTTCATCTTTTTAATGAAAGTTGATGTATACAAAATAGTGTCAAAAATATTAGAAAAAACAATTCTTTAACATTTTATAGAAACAAACCGAAGTTTTCAAATAAATATGTAACAAGCCACACAAGCAACTCGCCTTAAAAGTTGGTGCAGCTAAGCATGTAAAGTTGCTAGATCTAGTAAGCATAACGTTTTCCATGCAGAATTCAGATTGCAGCATAAGTGCCGAGACCGTGTCAACATCCCGCCCTTTTAAATTCTAAAAAACCAACGCGGAAGCTGGGGACGTGCAAACACGGAACACTGCATGTCCGGTGGGAAATTGCGTTCCGGTGACCCCGGAGACAGTGTACATTAATTATCTTAATGGTCGTTACTTTAATGAGCTATTAATCAAAATGAACGACCTTGAAATGTTTACAGATTATGCTTATCGCAAAAAAGTTAGCTTTTTATGCTGTTGTTTAGTTTCCGCTAAAGTGTAGTCGCATACTGTATGTACTGACGTTTAAGGTCCCTAAGATTGCAAGCGGCTATAGACCAAATGTAAAAATGTATTAGATCTACATTACATTTCATATTAAACTATCAACCGGAATCTACCATATGCTACAGCTGACTTACCATACCTAAACACAGACTGTCCAACAGCCCAGCCAACCAATGCCCCAACATGCAACTTATTTGACTACTTATACCGAGGCAGGTAAAGATGTTTATCCCACTGACCTTCAACTAACGCGATCAAAATCTAATTAGCATAGATTTCAGATTAAATTACGCTTAACCCAGATGATACCGGATTTCGAAAGTTATTCGGCGTTTTTTTTTCTTTTCTGGTTAGACTAGATCTACTTTCATTTAAACTATCATTGCAATCGATGACGCACGTTTCACGTCAAAGAGAACTGCGCTTTTACCGCACCACGAACGGTAACTTTTTTTAAAATCGCTTGGAATAGCCTCCCCTGTAAGCTGAACGTAAAATAATCAGGTAGAAAGATAGTAATTAATGCTTAACACGTCAGCAAAAGAAAAATAACGGTCTTAGCGTGAACTATGACGTATTGTCTGTATGAGGGAAATACAAAAGCTTACTGTCAGATAATTCAGATACATTTGAATCAAGATATTTTAATTTGGGGTCATGTATTTATGATGTCCTCACCGACGAATTTGGTGCACAGAGGTAAACGCCCAAACGTTAAAATTAACAACAAAATACTACCTAAACCAAGATAATACTAACATTTACCTAGCATACTGAATGTATACGTATAAAACGGCTTAGCTCGGGTTTAATTAAGAAAACAAACAAACTGGAATTCGTACAGAAGTGAACAAGCGATGAAGAAGAGGTCATGAACTCGAGTGGCCTTGACACCACACCCCCCAAAGTAATGTTTATCAGTGATATCAGCACCAAGATAAGTCATCAAACGTAGAATTCTGTTAGTCAATATTAGGACAACTACACAATTTTGATCCAGTACCCGGCTACAGCGATACATAACATCGCCAAATACCATTACTTTTTATGTTTTATTATTAATTGATACATATCACAAATAATAACTTTTCATGTAATATAATGATAAGCCAAACTACCATATCAAATTTAGAAGACACTTTCGAGAAAAAAAATCTTACAACACCAAACCCCTTTAACCGATAAAACCACCCATGTCCTTTTTTGGTATATAACCGATGTATACAAACCCTAATGAACATTTACAATTAACTAATCAGAATCCGCTGAATAAAAAAAGCAAATCAATTTACTAACACAAGTGCTTTATGTCCCCCATCCCTATTCAAAGGGTATTAAGTGTATGAATTTCCAAAACTAAAACTTTGCGAAACAAAAATAAACCGACATATAGATGCGAGACCTCACTGCTCGGACCCCCGGATTGGTTTAATTACCGAACTCACTGGAGAGTTCAGAAATAAATTGGCAAAATGTGAGTGAATTCAAAGCATAGGATCAACGAAGGAAAAAACACTATATTTAAGCTAGGCTTTTGTAAACAATGTGTAATGCAGCGCAACTTTCATGTAATAGTCCAGCACAGTAGAAAATATATTATTCACATTAATTCACTACGTAAAAGTTCCGGGTACTTTTAAAAATCAGAAGTGCAATTTTCAACACAGTGAAACCGTTTTTTAAGTGATATTTTTTCACAGATTTCGCTGATTATCTTAAGGATAAAAATAAAGAAAAGTGCTTAGTAATTTATATTTTTAACTGCATAGGTTGTGTCATTAAAGTAATCCACCTTAAGAATTGTTACATTATGTTTAATATGACTAATTTGTATGACGTAAAAGTGGATTTTTCCATTGATAGACACGTCGTTATGTCGTGAAGATTAAAATTAGATAAAACTCCGCTGCTATTCGATATTAGAAACTACTGAAAGGGGGGGGGGGGGCTTTTTAGCTGGGTGGAATCTCTACCCCCCCCCCCCCCCCAACGTTTCACCCTAGTTTAAATTGCGGCAATATCCGGCAAACTAAATTTAGATTAGGCATATAAATGTAAAGATCTGGTGATGTCATAACTTTTCATTCCCAGCCACAACCTGGTTATCCAGAACACGAATACAACCACCGAAACCCCCTCCCCCCCATGAACACGCCAATAGAGTTCACCCGTACCCTAGGGTCAGCACGAGTGAACACACATGGCCGAGGTAAAAACCAATGACACATGTCTAACGCTACGGACACATCTAGTAGCTATACCCCAGCAACAGCCAGTATACCAACCCAATGTTGGTGACAACAGGTGAAAGCATTCGGAACAACCAATAGACAATATTAATAAACAGATACTATAAATACTAATGTGCTGGGGAGGATGGGGGTGGGGGGCTAGGAAGTATTGACTCTGGTTATCGCAGATTCTAAATTAATCTCAGTGGAAACACGACAGAAATATAAACACCGGTGACTCGGGTTTTTTAATGGCTCCACACAAATACAACTAGAACTAGTCAGAATTATAAAATAAACTGAGGTCTCCTTAGACCTGACGGTATAAGCCTATACATAGGGTAGATAAAGTAGAGTTACCAGTTTCTCAATTTCTCGAAAATTACCGGATTGTCTAGTCAGCATTGTTAATTTGTCTTTACTAGTAGTAACTCATTAAAACTAAATATTTAGAGAGAGAACAAAACTTACCTTATACAAATGGTTTGATGAGTGTGTTACTGTTCAAGTTACTCGAGGTTTATTCTCTTGACTAAGCTGACCATCGACTGACCACGCGTCGTGGGCATCTACCGATGTCCTAACCCTAACACAACAAAACTCACACGAATCGAATCTCATTTGTCTAATGCCGTGGTGAATGGAAATCAGCACTTGGTGAAATAGAAGAAAAAATTGGAAGAAAGTTCAAATCTGTCGCGACAAGATCTCAAACTGCCGTGGTTTGACTGGTTGTCACTTTATATGTCACCCCCGTCGTCTGCGTTCTGCTTCGCTGCGCGCCAGTCCCACCTGTGCGCTACCTACACTGACTAGCGGGGGAGGGGGGAGACTAATCCGAGGGGAAATACTCATTGGTGCGCATGAACGAAAGTAAGTCACGTGACAATTGGGTAGTGTAAAAGTTAAATTATACAGATTTTATGTGAAACAAACAATGGCTTTAACTATACATTAAAACACGAGTGGTTTAGACAGAGTGTTTTAAATATCCAAAATAAAGAAGTTAGAAATTTGGTTAGGTCACTGACTTATGATACAACCACCCTCCATTTTGACACGCGTCCAACATGACGTCATAGATGACGCGCAAGATGAAGAGAAAACGAAATTTTCAGTCATTCGCCCATTAATTAACCTCTGTACTTTGTCCTATTATGCGCACGCGTCCCACTTTCTTCCGTAGGTCCCTCCCAAGATTTCCGAGGGTTTTTTTAGTTGTTTATATGCAGATAAGGGAAGTCACCCGCCTAACTTGTGTCAAGCAAGTCGCCGGATTTTTAAAATAGAATTTTATTACACATTCTGTTTTGCTCATTCTATTTTCTGTTTCTGTTGATTCAAATAGAAACATAAAACCTGACTGAGCTAGATCTAGTTGGATCCAGTTTCGTTTGACTGTCTATGTCCGGCTTGGTCAAGTTTGGCGATTGACCTAGATCGGGTATCAGTACAAGTAGGTCACCAGTGACACCAAAAACAGTCAAGTACCCGGATCTAGGAACTCTTGAATTAGGTTAATACCCGAGGATAATTTCCGTTGTTTTTTTTTAACTCAAGAAATTTTTAAAACGTGAAACATTTCAGATTAGAGTAATTGACATTACTTAGCATCAGAGACGGATTTGGTAAAAGTTTCAGGACGCCTGATAAAGACATAACTGAAGAAATAATGACAAGCTTGATACAAAGAATTTCTGTATTCACGATATCAACACTATTCGTTATATTCTAAACTTAGTAGACGGAGATTCGAACCAGAGTGGATCAGTGGGTAGTCAGCTGGATGGAAAGACCGAATAAAAGGATATTTTCCATAGTGCATCCAGTGTTTCTTTCAGACTTTTTTCTCCGGGGCACTTGTAATTTTCGGAGGGGCGGACTAAAATTTCGGTAAACGGAAAAAAAGTCACAGGAAAAAAAAACACAGAAAAAAAGTCACAGTTTTTGCTAGGAAAAAAAGTCACAGAAAAAAAGTCACAGTGGAAAAATTTTATCGGAAAAAAAGTCACAGAAATAAAGTCACAGAAAAAAAGTCACAAAAATCTTTTTAGAAATCGTTTTATTAATTTGTTAAGAATTGTAAATTTTGTATGTTTATTGCTGTGGGTTGTATTTTTTGATAGCATAAATTATTTATAGACGTTAAAAGCATTATGATTTATAACAATTGTAAGTAAAAATATTCTAAGATAATTAACATAACAATCTCAACTTTTGCTACGTATTTAGTTAAATACGCGGTAGAAAAGTTAACTATAAAAGAAATTTAGGCACATTTTGCTGTAGGCTATTCTCTGGTCGGCCTCTCCTCGGTAGGCATTGTCCGAACATATTTTGTGTTGTTGACGTTATGCGTCAATGACAGCCTTTGAACCTTGTCGGCTTTCTGTTTTGATCCTAAGTTTTGTTATGTAATGAGCGTGACTAATGTGGGCAGTAAAGGTGGTTGAACTAAACATAACTATTGTTGCCATGAGTTGAGGGCAGTAATTCAGATGACCTTACCATTTCACGGTAATTTAATTAAAAAAAAACACGATGAAAACTGTGGACATTCTATTAAATGCTATAAATATTATGTTTAACATAATTACAATCTACATAATTCATACTAAATATTTTTAGATGAATTATAAAAATTACTAGGCGTATACAACCTACACACATTACATTACATTTAATTAATCCTAAGTTAATTTGCACTCTCTGAATATTTAATACATAAAAGTATTAACAAATTCAATGCAAATATATATTTGTGACTTTTTTTCCTGTGACTTTTTTTCCTGTGACTTTTTTTCCTGTGACTTTTTTTCTGTGTTTTTTTTCCTGTGTTTTTTTTTCCTGTGACTTTTTTTCCTACAATCAAAATTTCCGGGGGGGGGGCGCATTGGTAAAACTATATATATTTTCTGTATAAATTCTATTTTGTTTAGGAGGGGGGGGGGCGGTAGGGTCTTTTCGGGGGGCTTCTACCACCCCCCGAAGAGATGCCTGGAAGAAACTCTGGGTGCATCAGTTCGTGGCATGTTTATAGATCGTTCAAAGTTGCGGATAAGGCTACTAGTAAAACACCCCAGCGATAGACCACACACGTTATAGTTTAACTGATATGGTGCTACTACCGACCACCCCAGTACCCCAACTCTTGGTATTGATTCTATTGTTGGATATTCGTTATAATCATTACATTTTTTAAAATTACGGTAAAACTATTAAACAAAACGTATCTTGCATATTTTGTTGGATCAAAATGTCTCTTAATCTTAATCTGATTAAGTCCGTGAGTCATATCTACGGACTCTGTCTCAGTGTTTCTTCCAGACTATTTTCTCGGGGGGGGGGGGGGGCACTTGAAGTTTTCGGGGGGGGGGGGGTAGACTTTCTTCGGGGGGGGGGGGGCGGACACTAGTAAAAGTATATATTTTCTATATAAATTATATAAATTTCATTTCGTTCGGGGGGGGGGGGTGCTTTTTCGGGTATTCCAATATGACTTCGCCCCCCCCCCCCCCCGAAAGAGATGCCTGGAAGAAACTCTGCTCTGTATCGGTCGGTTTTCTTCAATTGCATCCCAGCCTTTGCATGTTTGATTTAGACTTAGCACCGTCTGGAAATTACATCTGACCTTCACGCCATTGCCATGTCAAGGTCACCTTCTTGTGTTCACGCTAGAGAATCGTGGTCAGCCTACAATTGCTGGGCAAGTGTCCACTAGGTCTGTCAGTGCTCATGACCCAAGACGCCACAAAAGTCTGGCCACTTGGAGACAAAATTAGCTCAAGGCTAGGCCACGGCTCACCGCCACTTTGATGTTTACAGCCAGTCCGGTTCAGTCAAGCGTGTCGCCTGGTCCGGTGTTTACCTAATTAGACACTTTATTTTTATCGCAAAGGTGCTGGAAAGGACGTGTGTACTGAAGCTTAGAGCTATAGGATTTGTGGTGGTGGTCGTAGGAGGGGGGGGGGGGGGGTGTAAACCAAATATACTAAACACTTTCACATTCAATATAAGCGTGTTCTGGCGTTTTGTCTCCTAAAGGCTTTCGGCGTCTTTGGATAGCCCGATTGGTCAAAATAAACCAAATTGAGGTTTCCGAATTGCAGTCCCCAGTTTTAACAAAGGTACGAAACCAGAGGACAAAAAGGAGATTCGATTCTCTCTCTCTCTCTTTCTCTATCCTTCTCTCTCTCACACACACATAATATATACTGCATTTGGTAAATCTAAATCAGACGTCATAATTAAATCAGACATCACAACTAAATGTCATATATTACATCATAATCTCACGTCATAGCTAGAAGTCATATGTCACATCTAAATCAGCCGTCACAATTTCCACGTTCACCTGAGACCAGTTCAAATTTTAAGCCCTGGACATATTAAGCTCCCGTAACTCTTATCTAAGTTGGGTAATCTCCCCTCTCTCCCCCACCGTCACAACCATTTTGAGTGTGTTTGAGCCCTTGAGCGTATTCAGGCAATAGGTAGCCTTCGGTAGCCACACATGCAAACTTTGAGGTAACCTACTCAGGGCTGACCCCACGGTAGCTTTTGCTACATATTTTAGTACACAAAATTGCAGTGTAAAACAATATCACAGACCTCCAAATATATACCGCCTTAATAGTAAACCAATTACTATAGTCTACACTAACCTTATCTTCAACCTTGACCTTACCACCTGTCCTAGAAGTAACACAGAGCTATAATCTCACCAGGGTTTCTTTCAGACATTTTTTCTCCGGGGACGGGGCCGGGGTGGGGGGGGGGGAGATTTCCAATAGGTGGAAAAAAGTCACTGGGGGAAAAGGTCACAGGAAAGAAATTCGCAGAGAAAGACAAAGGAAAAAAGTCACAAATGTGTATTAGCGTGGATTTTTTTTTCGAATGCACTTATTATGATTTATGTAATACGTGTTCAGAAAGTACCAATCGACATACCTTTAATTAAAATTCGATATTTTAGTCGATATTTTAGATATTTGTAATTAAGTTGTATTAGTATGGTTACATTTATAACAAATGTAAAAACAATTTTTGTTAATTAAATATCCTAAGGGGGCTGGGCAAAGTGCTGACCACACCTTTCCTTCATATGCCGAGGTCAATAAACATATTAACTTTAGTTGATGTGGATCGCTGGGTTTAATGAGGATTTATTTACTTTTGACTTTAAATAATCTATTACTTGACTGTTTAAATAACGCTTAATACAATTTCCCAACCTACCTAGTTTGCTTTCATCGTGTTTTTATTACTAGCTTTAAATAGAGTTGAAATATGAAAAGACACAGGTCATATGATTTGCTGTCTCAAACAATAGTTCACACGTTTACTGCCCACATTTACCACCCTCATTACAAAACAAAGCTTGGGATCAATGCGAAAGCCGGCACGGTACAAAGGCCGACATTGACGCAAAACTTCAATAATCACCACGTGGAGGGCAAGGCCAACTAAGGAAAATCCAACGGTAAAATCCATGTTTCTCTCAGACCATTTTCTGGGGGGGGGGGGGGGGGGGGGGGTTTAGGGGGGGGGGGGGTCACAAGAAAAAAGGTCACAAATGTATATTTGCATGGAATTTGTTATTACTTTTATGTATTACGCTAATCAACTTACGATTAATTAAATGTAGTGTAATCATTTTAGATATATAAGCGTGGTTTGTATACATATAGTAATATTTATAACGCACACAAAATAATAGTATAAAGTTTGTAGGTTTTAATTGTAATTCTGCTTTACATATAATATTTAATAGAATTTATTATGATGTTTGAACCTTCTTGGTTTTAATCGT